CCCTTGGCGTTACGCAGAGATATGGCTTCACTCTGAATTCTCTATCGTATATATGGAGCGTGTTCCGAAGAATTGTTCGGACTAATACCGGTTGAAACTTTCCGCAAAGATTTCACCCCATCAATAGGTCATAGGTCATATATCAATAGGTCATAGGACATAAGTCAACGGGAATTACCGTATAGGTTTTTGACCCAAAACCTATAGGGTACTTCCGGTTGATCTAGAATTGTCAATTTTGGTTAAAAGCAAGGTCCCAGAGCACAAGTAAAGAGAAAATTCTGAAAAATAAAAAAAGTTGAAAATTAAGGTAAATTTTGGTACTTACAAGTTTTCGCGAAAATCTAAATATGCCCATATCTTTTTATCGTGTTCACCTTGATTTTTATACACCTAATAGGTACCATAGACCTCAGTATCTGGTATAAATTTCAACTTACTAGGTCTACCCGTTCCTGAGAAAATCGGTGGTGACACACGGACAGGCGGACAAGAAAGTGAGGGTTCCTTTTTTACATTTTGAGGTACGAAACCCTGAAAAATCATAAAAAGACGTACTCCTTCCTAAAAGACAGGCAACACACTCCTGAGTTGCAGGAATTCGCGGGCGGCCGCAGTCGCTTTTCATCAGGTAATAATTTCTTATTTCGTGTTTCTAATTTTAAATATTACGAACTTCCATACATTCATCCTTTATCTTTTATTTATTTATTTATTTATTTCTAAAAGGTACACTTACAGATTACTGCCATTACATGTTACAGGAAACAGATGATAGATACATATAAAGTCTAGACAGTGATCCAAATGTAGCATACACAACATGAAATGGCAAAATGGCAAAATACAAGGCATATGGCAAATACAAATGCTAGCCACGCTTAATCATCACCAACACTACTCAAGTTCATGTATCCACAACATAAGTAAAATTAAAACTAAATTATTAACAAAAAGCACTTACCTACCTACCTACCCTACCTATCTTGCCTACCTAAGGCTAAAATTTAAATAAAATCCTTTAACAGTAGGTGCCTACAAAGTATAAGAAATATCAGCTAATATTAGCGGCCAACATTAGCCATAGTTTGCTAAAATTGGCAGCGGCGGTAGCCTAGTGGTTAAGGCATTGGTCTTGCGATCAAGAGGTCGTGGGTTCAAATCCTGACCAGTACACTACCGACGTGAACCCACTCCTAACACAAGCAAGTTAACTCAGCTGGAGGGGTGGAATACTAATATTTTATTCAAACCTTAAAAAAAAACAAGTTTGTAGCCCTAGCGGCTCAGGTTCTGCGTTAATGAATCACTCAGTCAGAGCAAGGAACTTTACATAGTTAGGCTAGTGGCTTGTGGATAAACCAAAGCAGTATTGCTATTTATTTGTGAAGTATTTTTCTCTACATTTGGTTTAAAATCATCAAGATGAACTGTATTTTCGCTAATAGTTAAGATTAAAATAGATATCATACCATCATCATCATAGAAAATTCCTTCGCCTAATTACGATGAACAAACAAGACGTAATGTATCGATTCAGATCTTGGCAGCAAGGTTAAACAATTGTTATTATCACTTACATTTAATTGTAATGGAAAATTTCTTATTGTTATTCTGCAACGTCAATGTTAAATAATTAAAATGTAAAAAATCATTATGTTTTACAAGAAAATCATGTCCTAATATAGCATGTGCATGAATTAAAAATATAAAACTTATGCTTTAATGTTTCTCCAGCTAAGTCACAAGTGTTGCTAAGCGTTAAATAAACATATCAGATTGCATTTGTTGTGCCTTCCATACCTTTTATCTTGATACTGTCTTTATGGATCGGTATGTTTAAGGCATTGAAATGTTTATACTTAATAAGCGCAAATGGAAGCGCCCGTATCAACTAAGAATGAGTAATTATAACTACCAATATAAAATTGCATACAGGAAGTATAGTCTGTTGCACAAATATAATTCATGTCATTGTTATTCACGGAAAAAGATTAATTCGTTATTCTCTACGGTTTCCTAATTAATAACATGAATATTTGCATTATTGCGTGTATTTTAGTGACCATCTAGAATGATTAAACCTATTATTAGGATTCGGGTACGTACCTAGATACCAGACGATCTCCCGCGACTGGCTGAATTCTGGTATGCACGCCCGCTTCTTCGGTGACCCGGATTACCACGATAGTAATTGCTGCTATAAGTATTATTGAGAGGGACAACTCGATTCTGTCGGTTGAATGTCCCAGGCCTGAAATTACGTCTATGAATAGTACCTGAAAACCTTCTTTTGTTATTTTTAACGATAGACAACATATTTTTCGCTTGCAATGGCAAAGCAACCTCTTCGTCCAATGCTGCTTGTATGGCATCCTTTAAACTTTCAAAATTACCCGCGACTATTATAGTACGGCGCAAACCGTCGGCAAAACGCTTAACCGCTTGCTTTTCGTTTAAAGGTCGTAAAATATTTAGGGATTCGTTCTTGCAGTCAGCTTGTGCAATAGTCAGATCCATAAATAGTTCTGTCAGCTTTTTACCATAATGGCCAATAGATTTTTGCTCCTGTTGTAAAGTTTTGCAACGCGACTGCGCTCTTTCTGCGTAAGAGAATCTTGCGTATATCAGTCAATAACCGTACAGAAGTATAATTATAGGAAAGCTTTAAGTTTGCAACTCAAGTCGGTTTTTTATTATACAAATAATTAAATTGAACTTACATTTATCATAACATAGAACTGTAGTAATCAATACCGTCTGTGTGGTGACGGATTCAGAATACAGAGTGTCACCACCCCTATTCATCCCGTGGGTGTAAGAGTGTCATCGTAAGAGGCGACTAAGGAAGCAAACTACGCAGGACTGCAGAGAGAAGGAAAACTTGACACAAACCCTATACCAACCCGTCTGGCCAGCGTGGTATAGTAGGCCAAAACCTCCTTTCTAAGGAGAGGCCTATGTCCAGCTGTGGACTGTTAAAGGCTGTTGATGTGAAACACACTTTTTGCTTGTTTAAACTTTTTTCTTAACAACTCTGGTGTCCTTCTTTTACAATTCAATTTAGTCATATTTTCTTTAATTGACTTAAGTGTATTTAATATAGTTTTAGGTACATGAGCCATAATATTCCATTATAACTAAAATATAACTTATTTTAAGTAACAATCAAAACTAAATTACAGCAAGTATAAAATTACCTCGGGTTTAACACACAGCCTTGCGCAGCACTTTCACTTGTTTTTTTTTTTGCTTTTTATTCAGGAGTCAAAAGCGCGCCGGCCTTGATTTGATCTGTCAAAAAACAACAATTGAGATCTAGCACCCCACGCATTTTTGATGCTTTAATGATGCTTATTTTCTCATTAAGTTTAAAAAAGTCACATATCCTTCAGCACAGGCCTCTTAGTACGTATTATAATTCTAAAGATCCTGATCAGGATTACCGGAAAAATTTATCAAATTATTGTATTGTTTTCGGTCCTTGATAAGTGTGCGAAGTTACACGGATGGCTTAGTGGTTTGAGCGGTTACCACGCCGCTTACTACTACGCAGAGTGTTGTGGGTTAGATCCCCACATGGGACAACACTTTGTGTGATCCACAAATTGTTGTTCTGAGTCTGATTGTTTTTTGTAAAAAAACATCCAGACTATTTCAAAGATCCCCCGCGACACAGAATATATTCATAAAGCGGGAGTAGTCTTTAAAAAAACGAATTCGATGTTTTTAAGTGGGTTTACTTTAGTTCAACAGCTTTTTAGTAGACTAGACGAGTTGCTTTATTGTTTGTTTCAAGCAAAGGAGGCAGTGTTGTTGTCCTGCGTAGTTTGCGTCCTTAGTCGGCTCTTACGACGCCGACGCTCAATAGTAATTACACAACAATAATAATAACACACTAACATGAAGCAATAATACTTCGCCTTAAGTATAAATAAGCATTCTTTAAAACCACTAGCTTAGCAATTAACCAACTGCTTCTTACAATGCATAATTATTCATTTCCTACGTTTTATTTCTCGGCTTGGAACCTTTCAGAGATAACAACGTGACTCTTTTAAAAAAAAAATGCGTTTATGTTCTCGATGTTTAAAGGAAAATAAATAAAAAATTAGTAATTAGAAAATAAAAAAATAATATTTCAACAGACCTTATGAAATTAACAACGAGAGATACATGTTTTGGCAAAAAAGGCCCAGCTCGACCGTGAGATTTATCGGAGACCCAAGGAGATTTAGTACTTTGACTTCCTTTCTAGGGTATACCTGGTTCCCCGGCTATTAGTACCCGAGACGGCGTGCGGTTTTAGTCGGTTCGAGTCCGACATGCCACCGACAGGTGGTATCCGAGGGGATTTCCGCACGGAAAAAAAAAATTAGTATATTAGATTTAGAAAATTAGATTTAGTACTCAATTAAATTTTTGAAGGGAAACTCCTTTAGAATCGTTGTGATGACAGTGTGAATATTTTTATCTTTTTATTTAATACCGTGCGTGAGATGTGTGAAAATACTACCTTATTACATTATACTATATATACATATTGATCACATTTTTAAACATATTACAAAAGAAAAAAAACATTTAAAAAATAGTAGACCACCAACATCGGGTACAGGGACCAAGACACCGGTGGTTAGGACTCCAAAGACAGGAACCTACTCACTACACAAGCTGTGTCAAGGAGAACTGCCTTCTGCATCAGACCCATCTTATCTAATTTATTATATTTTGTATTGTTATAGTATTGTTATTTAACACGGCCTATGACTAAAAAGTATGTTTGTTAATAAGTTATGTCAATAAAAACTTTTTAATCATAGGCCGTACATAGGTATTACACACACCTTAAGTCATTTAAATTATTTATCTGTGATCATTTATTTATGCAATCGATTCCGTGTTTATACGTATAATTCTATAATTTTTTTCGCACACTTTTGATGTGTTGTTTGTAAATAAATTGTTTGTGATATTTAGAGATTTGATTTATACATATAATGGCTAAAAAAGATAAGAAAAAGGTTAGTCTTTAATGGATAATACTAGGTATATATATATTTTTTTTATGTGGTCTAAGATCTTTGTGGATGTCGTCCGCCTTTATGGACATAGAAGTCTTCCAGACTCTTATTGACGAAAAACCACACCAGTGTTTCGCTACTTGCCTATGGTCTAAGGAACGAAGACTTGTTTTTTTTTATTTTTTCGCAATACTTAAACAGGCGTTGAACCGTCTCCCTATAGATGAATTCTCTTATCCGTCGGCAGCACTCGCGTACACTTTCAGCTCTGTATCTGTTTGGATGACTACTTCTTTAAGTGTTCACCGCCCCCAGGCCCAAGGCCCATCGAATGCCTACTTCTCAATGCTGGAGTAGAAAGGACTAAAGCATACAACAATCGCTAACAAGATAGCCTTAGCTAAAGCAATTAGAAAGTAATATTTATACGTTCCTTTATACATTTTTTATTTAATTTATTTTGTACACTGCCTGCATTACAATTTGCTCTAGACTTAATGCCAGACGGCATTATCTATCTATCTATGTACAATGAAAAGAAGCTATGAACTAAACATTTATACATATAAAATTACAATTAGTGCCAATTTAAAGTATATAGACGTATACACAAATATATATTTATGTTATATACATGCAGAATAAAATATATACAATAATAGTACCTAAAGTGACGAGATTATGAGGATATTTCTGCTAGAACAGTTTCTTGTACTGAACTGAACTTGTAAAATTCTAGGAATTTGGGTTTAAACGTGTCACGATTTGTGGACATCCTGATCTCAAGTGGGAGCGCATTCCTAGATTGTACAGCAAAAGAGGAATGAACAAGAGAAGAAGTGTGTATTGGAAATAGGAGTAAAAGATTATTAGGGGAGTTATATTTTATCTAATTTTTAGTAGATTGACTGCACGGATGATATAGTGGTTTAACCGGTCACCTCGCCGTTTCCTACAACGCTGAGTGTTGTGGTTTCGATCCCCACATGGGACAACACTTTTTTTGATCAACAAATTATTGTTCAGAGTCTGGGTGTTCTCTGTGACCGTTTGATGTATGTCTGTAAAGTCCTCGCGACACAAAATAAGTGCCTAGTGCGGCAGTTGTCTTATAAACTAATTTTACGTAAATATCGGTGTATTTCGAAAATGTCCAAGTGTTTTTGAACCCTTTAACAATTCGATCTACCGTGTTAGTTGCTGATGCCACTCTTGAAGGTGGCAAGATGTAGATAGGTTTCCTTTTTCGTGATTGACCACGCTTATTTTCTCCTTATAAACTCTAAAATAGCCTTTTTATTAGTATAAAGAGCGAAGTGTTAGACGGGTTAGGTCATGGTATGTCACTACTGTTGCTGGTGGACGCATGCAACTCGAACTACAAAAGGGCTGCGTTGGTGTCCTTTGAGTTCGCAGCTATCCTTACTCACTCGGTTAAAAAGCACCGAAAAAAATACTTAAAACCGTCATTCTCCACTTATAAGTCCGTGTGGTGACGGATTAAGAATACAGTGTCACTACCCCTATTCATCCCGTGGGTGTCGTAAGAGCCGACTAAGGGAGTAAACTACGAAGGAAAACAGCACTGCAAAGAGAAGGAAAACTTGAATCAAACCCTATATCGACCCGTCTTGCCAGCGTGGTATATTAGGCCAAAATCTCCTTTCTAAGGAGAGGCCTATGTTCAGCAGTGGACTAGTAAAGGCTGTTGATGATGATGATTGATAAAGTGTTCTTATTTTCTTGCTGGCTTTTTAGGGTTCCGTACTTCAAAAATATAAAACGGAACCCTTATAGGGTCGCTTTGTTGTCCACCTGTCTATCTGTTAAGACCCTTTATCTCGGGATTGTCTGGAGGTATCAAGTTAAAATTTAAACCATATACTCAATCCACTACTTCAATGTGAAAAAATCTAACTTCTATGTTCACGTTAAAAAGAGATACGGCCGTTTGTGCCCAAAAAACGCATATTTCGACACTCTTAAGGGCATTAAAATTCGTAGGGTACTTTCCGTTGACTTAAAACCATTAAATTTGGGCAAGTAACATTGACTTATACTACAAGTACCGGGAAAAATATGAAAACTATACATTTGTAATAAAATTTAAAAAATATAGTCTTTATTTAAAGTACGTAATCATCGAGGTTCAATTTTATTTATTAAACACAATTTAAGTAATTCTAGGTTTTGGAAACTCGGAAGAATTTGGGGAAAAGCTCGGACAAAAAAAAAGACTCAATTCCTGAACTATTTATAATATGTACCTACCTACAAATTTGTACGGAACCCTCGGTGGGCAAGTGCAACTCGCACTTGTCCGGATTATTTTTCCAATTTATTGTTTTAAATAAAAAATATAGTTGCATAAATTAGGGTTCTTTGTTAAAGCATAATTTACAGGATTACCTGGTATTTACATACACTTATGACTATATTCATTAAAGAGAACCCTACAAAATCAAAGCGATGGCCGGTCCAAGCCTCTTGTTTGAGATCGACTACTATTTATAGCGTTAGGTATAAATAGCTAGAATAATGTGACATTTTTATTTGTTTACAGGTTGCAGAAACACCAGGTACAGTACATTACTACGGATAAGTAACACATTTTTCTGAAGTAAATTGTATCATCATGAGCCTATCGCAGTCCACTGCTGGACATAGGCCTCTCCCATTGCACGCCACTTAGATCGATTTTAGGCTTCTCGCATCCAGCTCCTGCCAGCCATCTTGCGCAAATCGTCACTCCACCTGGCCTGTGGGCGTCCTACACTACGTTGATAAAACATAAAACGTTTTTTCCTACGATAATTGCATACATATTTGAAACTAGCTAAGACCCGCGGTGTTACCCGCGTTTGTTGTTATAACCGCGGGCAACGCCGCGGCGAGAAGCTAGTCTAAAAAAAGTAGCCTAAGTTACTTCTTATGTCATCAGCTATCTGCCAGTGAAAGTCCCGTCGAAATCGGTCCAGCCGTTCCAGAGATTACCCGGAACAAACAGACAGACAGACAGACAAAAATTGTAAAAAATGTTATTTTGGCATATGTACCGTGTAAACATACATATGCATTTAGTAAAAAGCGGTTATTTTAATATTACAAACAGACACTCCAATTCTATTTATTTGTATAGATAGAGAAGGAGTCATAAAAACAAAACAAATGATATAAGAATAGAGTGTCATGTTGATCGGAGTAAGTGACATTGTAAAGGGGTATTGGCTGATCTCTGTTATGGCTGCAGGCTCCTGCCAATGCCCACCGCCCATGAAAATGTTATCTATTACAGTAAGGGCAAAAGAAAAAAGAAAAATGTTGTAAAAGAAAGTGTTGGACGAGGGAGCTACGGTAAAAGATGTCCCAAGTCCCGTATGGGAACCGGGTCTGAGACTGGAGTAGTCCTAATAAGGTACAAGGTTATTTGACAGTCAGGGATATCAGTTGAGGAAGATACTGTTTCCTATACTTCAATAAGGAAGTGAATTTGAAAAGATCGTCAGGTGGCATTTTATCCTTCCATTTATCGATTTTGCAATTCAATTATTTATGATTAAGTTAATAACTATTCTACAATATTAGAAAAGGGGTAAAGACTCTTTGTCATATTGTTCTAACTTAACAAAATACTATACTCATTTTAATAACACGAGTATTCTGTTGGCTGTTGACGTAGACATTCAAAAATATTAATCAACGTGAAAACTTTAATAGTAATTTGCTTTCGGAAGATGGCGTTAGGTGTACAAATATATTTTAAAGGGAAAAAACGAAATCTATTTAGGAAAAAATTAGTGCATCTGTCTGTCCGTCTTTCACAGCTGTTTTGCTCCGAATCTACTGGACTTATTAAGTTGAAAGTTTATACACATATCAATTTGGACTGCACAAGTGGCGTAGTGGTTTAAGCGGTGACTTCGCCGCTTCATACTACGCTGAGTGTTGTGGGTTCGATCCCCACATCGGACAACACTTTGTGTGAACTATAAATTATTGTTCTGAGTCCGGGTGTTCTTTGTTTCCGTTTCATGAATATTTGTAAAGTTCCCCTCTTGTCTCATTTATAATCTTTAAAAATATTAAATCTAAATTCTCTTCCAGCACCCGAGGTGCAAGAAGAAGTCCTGGTGACTACGGAATTGGAACCGGAGCCCGAGGAAATCCAGTTTACTGATACCTCCTACTCCAGTGCTTCTTTTGAATCCCTACCACCCCTTCCAGTTGAAGGTAAGTTCTTACTTTATTTAATGGTTTAAGGGATTGGTTTAAGGGTCTATCAGATGGGCGGGTAAGTAACTACCACTGCTGATAGACATATGTACCTCGAGAGCCCCTCGCCCCTTCTGGATTAGGGGAGATTAATCGGGCTGTGTTTGTGTATTCCGAGGCCTCTATGTGTGTAACTGTGTGTTTATGGTTTTAATAGGTACATAGGTTTTGACGGGTTGTAGTGGTTTAAGCGGCGCTTCCTTCTGCGCTGAGTCTCGATAGTTCGATTTCCACATGGGACAACACTTTGTGTGATTCACAAATTGCTGTTCTGAGTCTGGGTATTCTTTGTGTCCGTTTCGTGTATGTGGAATAGAATATGGTTTCATCATCATCATTAACAGGCCTTAACAGTCCACTGTTGAACATAGGCCTCTCCTTAGAAAGGAGATATGGAGATATAAAGTCGTATTGTAATAAATGTAATCGTAGTGTAATAATGAAGTTTAAAGAGCGCCATGACATTGCTAGTTTATCAGTTGGGCGAACTATTGAAATAGCCTGTATAGAATTAAAAGGTTTACAGTAGTATGTGTTTACCGACCCCCTTAAGCTACCTATGATTGTTTTGAAGTCAACGACTGCAGTCCATGAGGCCTCGGGTTCGGTTCCCGGACCGGTCAAAATTTCATAAGGTTTTTCTGAGAGGAAAACTAGTTTTAGTTACTCCTTATATAGACAGCTATCTAGTACTAAAATATTATCAAAATCCGTCCAGCCGTTTTCAATATTACCCGGATCAGATAGACAAAAAATATTTAAAGTGGTTCTTAGGCATACCGTACAAATAACCGTGTGAGTATGTAAAAAACCTATAATTTTGACATTTCAAATAGATACTTCAACATTATTTATATGTATAGATGTGCTATCCTCATTTCTCCCCCTGAAATATATGTTGAAAGCTATACACTATTCCTGCGGACTCCCCCAAGTTTTGTCGATTCGTGTATCCATGGCAATCATGGTGTGTTTGATGAGTGAGTGCAGTTTAAAAATACCGTGATCGTAAAAATTGATAGAAACCCCATAAAAAGCGGGTAAGTTGAATATCGGATATCAATTAGTACATGATTTATGTTTGATAACAGTTTGAAAATATGCGAGCACTGACTGTATTTAATGCCACAGTCTTTCGAATACCTGTTAAAATATTACCTTATCTGTTTATTAAATGCAAATTACCATTGTTATTGTGACACTGGCAGGTAAAATTATATAAAAATAAATTATACGGTATAAAATGCAAATCAACGGTTACGTTTATACCTAATTGTGTGTAAATATGTTCATTTTGTATGTAATATTTGTGTCTGCAATAATACAAGATTTTCTGTCACTTTGATACCCCAAAAACGCATTGTACATTGATAAAAATGGGTCTTTGTAGTAGTTTTAATAGTTTACTGGTTGACGTTTTCACCAGAAGACTAATTCTCATAATAAAAGTTCGGTCACAATTCAGTTCCGATCAACTTTCGATCTCACAACTGTCGTAAAAGGTATATTTTCGTAGTACCTAAAGTATTAAACATCCAAAGTTGGCTTCAAAGGGATTCCATAGCATTGTTACCTAAAATTGAATCTATAATCTGCTAGTCTCAGTAATACTTTACAATTTTACTACTAAAATACTTTTTTGACAGTTGTGAGATCGCTAGTTGATCAGAGCTGTTTTTTTTTATGTTAGAGGGGGCAGGCGAGCAGACGGGTCACTTGATGGAAAGTGACCATCGCCGCCTATGAACGTCTGCAACTCAGGAGTCACAAACGCGCTGCCGGCCTTTTAGGAAGGAGTACGCTCTTTTCTTGAAGGTCGTATCGGTCTGGAATTGGCATTGAGGATGCACTAGACGTTAGCATTCCTAGTCAAATTTCCGACCCGAAGCCATAAATAATGATGAGAATAAGCATTTATTTTTCGTTAAAGGTTACAGAATTGTTACATTGCCTGTGATAGCCACACAGCCTGTATCGTGGCTATCAGTGAATATGATTAACTAAGGCCTAGGACTTTAACTTCACACAAAAGAATTCACAATTTAAGTAACATAATAAGGAGATAGCTGCATATTATTTTAAGCGGCTGTAGCCTAGTGGTTAATGCATTCTACTTGCGATCAAGAGGTCGTGGGTACGAATCCTGACCAGTACACTACTGACGTGAACCCACTCCTAACACCAGCCACTTAGCTTAGCTGGAGGGGTTAACGGGAATACTAGTAATTTCGGTTGCTAGTATGCCTTTAAAAAAAAAAGAGTGTGTGTGTAAGAGAGTGTGAGTGTGTGTGTGTGTGTGAGGACTCAATGACTGGGAACCCAATCGTGGTTCTCCGTGCGTGATGGTGGCCTGTAGTTACTTCCCATCAGGTAAACCGTGGGCTTGTTAGCCATCTTTTTCATAAAACTAAATAATACAGATGCTGTATTTTACTAAAACTTCTTAAATTTTGTTTTTAAATACTATCTTCTTATTTGTTTCTTCTTTTTTAGTTGAGAAAAAGGACAAGAAAAAGAAGAAGAAGAAGCTAGATGTAAGTTATCCATTTATTATTCAAAAAATTAAGTTGAACGGGCGTTAGCTTCATCATCATCATCATCAACTGCCTTTAACAGTCCACTGCTGGACATAGGCCTCTCCTTAGAAAGGAGGTTTTGGACTTTTTCTTCGAGTTTTCCTTCACTTTGCAGTGTTGTTGTGCTGCGTAGCTTGCTCCCTTACGACACCCACGGGATGAATAGCCAAACCAGCCAAACCTTGTATTGATGCTGGTATCGGGGCTGTTGCAAATTTTTTATTTGTGTCATTAAAGAATCACTAATTATGGCAAAAATTTGATCGGGAATTCGAAAAAATAAGTTTGAAAGAGAAAATAAAGAAATTGTTTAATTTATCGTGTATTCTATGATGTCGTGATTTCACTAGGTCGAACCGTCCCATGTTTGCCGAAGTTTGACTCTCCCACAATCACCTTTAAAGGGCTGTTTTTGTAAAAACCTTTGTATATTGTTGATCTATTCTTACACTCCTGCTTTAAGATAGTTAGAGAAGGATGAATATATTATACACCTTTGCCTTTATAGGATAAAGAATCAGCTCAGATCAAGAAATCCGCAAGCGAAATTAACTGGTCTGAAGAGTCGTTACCAGTGATTGATTCAGGTTATAATTCTACCTTTTCTCATGAAGAACTTAGAGGAGAGTAACTCACCACTAACGTTGAAAAAAGAGTCGTTAAAGTATTCAGGCCCCTCTTCCCACTAGGCACTCGATTAATACCGGTCTCGTAATCTGCCAGATCACCAATCGATAATCGATATTACTACCAAAAATTATATTTATTTCGAAACATCCAGCAATTATGACTACAATACTTTCTTTTCCTATTTTAACAAAATAGTGCTCAGCCAAAGTAGTAGGGGCGCTATAGTTTTGATGTATCCAGAGCCTCCAATAGGCTATAGAGGGGCCTGAAAGTAATCGAGCCAATTTGGTATAAACCGCTGCAAATAGCTTTTTTTTTTGGTGCAATACTTTTTTTGCATTCTGTTTTGAACGAAGAGTTACTCTCCTACAGCAAAGAAGAGTAGTGTGGAAAAGTTTTATCACATCATCACATCAACAGCCTATACTAGTCCACTGCTGGACATAGGCCTCTCCTTAGAAAGGAGGTTTTGGCCTACTATACCACGCTGGCCAGACGGGTTGGTATAGGGTTTGTTTCAAGTTTTTTGTTGAGAAGGAAAGTTTTATACTATTAGGTATATAGTATATATGTATATAGGTTATTATTTGGTAGCACAAAAAGCACAGGGGTTCCCACACAGGAGGGGGTCATCTACTCTCCATAGATGGCCCGAGGTAACTGTGGGTACCAGGGATTTCCTTTCTATGGTATACCTGGTTCTCTAGCAACTGATGTCCGAGACGGCGTGCGGTTTTTGGTCGGTTCGAGTCCGGTGGGTGGTATCCGAGGGGATTACCGCACAAAAAAACAAGATAATATTGTATAAGTAGATTTAGTTTTTGTTTTGTTAACTTCTAATTAATTTAGAAAAATAATAATCTAGAATATATTTCGTGAGTAGACGAGGTGGTGATCAAGCCTGAAGAACCAGTTGAACAGAAACCGAAAAAAGGAAAAGGAAAGAAGGGCAAGGAAAAAGAAGAAATACCAGAGTTTGAAAAGGTAAGAATGAAAAGTTGTTCTGTGAAATTCTATTTTTGAAAAGTGTGTTTTTTTTTACTTTTTTAACGGTATCGGTGGTAAACGAGCACACGGGTCACACGATGGTAAGTGCCTACCTGAAACCTGCCACTCAAGAGAACAGAAATAGGAGATTTGGGGGTTTTGAACTCCAATAACCTCCATCACCCGGTGGAAAGCAGGGAAAGAATTGCTTAACACTAATTTTCTGTGAGTCCGTGGACATAACACTCTGGTTGAGCTGTCCCATTTGTGCCTAAGTAGTGTTCTTCCACGATAATCTTGGCTCTCCCTCGGTAAACTATTCTACACTAGGGTCTACTTACTTAGCTATTTATTTTTGAGTAAAACTGTCAGTATTTACGCCTACTAAAACAAAAAACCCATAGACAATCGAGAATTGGTCTTTATGCGTCAATCTGTTATAAATTTTTAAAAGCAATATTTTTTTTTTACTGTCACCTTTTACTCCTTGTAACATTGTATTACACACAAATCATTTGTTACGAGAAAAAATCTGATGCAATATACACACTAAATGTTATCATAGACAATTTTATCAACATTTTAAGAAGAAAAGGAGTTTTATTTGATACGAAAACCTACAGTTTGCCGTAGGTACAGGTAGTTTTGGTCTGCTTAGGAAGTTTTATACAAAACCAATTCTTATTTTTAGAGCCAATTTAGAGCTTTACCTAAATCCCTCGCTTGAAATAAACTTCCTAATAATCAATGTTATAACAATATAATTTGAACAATTTCTGATTTTGTTTCTAAAGTATTAATAGAAACCATTAATAAAAAGTAAACGAAATGAAAATTGAATCGATTTGAAATATAGTTATGTAAACGACATGTCAATACGTAGTTGTTCACCACGTCGATCGAAAAATTTAGGGTCCCGTAATCAAATTTTAAATAAAAACCTTTATTCATAAACGATATACCAGGGATGCATAACAGGTTTTTATATTTTGTTAAAATATTGTATAAGAGTGCAGTGTATGTATACTGCTGGTATACCAAATAAATAAATAAACGATATTTTTAGTAGTCTTTTAATATTTAGTTAGTTACAAATTTTAGCAGGCATATATACCTTTTCGATGTTGGTTGGAATAACAAGTTATTTCTTGAGAGACTATTTAACAATCTATTAAAATTTTGCAGTAAAAGAATATGGAAGAACCTGATATGTAAGTATTTTTAATAACTAGAAAAATATAATTATCACAAAAATCACATAATGAGCATTATTTGCACAAAAGTCGATTTTAAATCACTGTAATACAGCACAAATTGATTATTACATGCTGTTATTTTTAGCGTATTCCTATTTTTAGTGAGTACATACAATATTAAATACATAATACGCACTTTGATGCACATATTTGACTATCTAAACTAATCTAAAAAGCTGAAGAATTTTTCCTTTGTTTGTTTAAACTTAATATTTACTGAAACGGTCCGCCAAATCTCAATGATTCATTTTGTATTGAATAGAGGATTCATAATTAAATAAAATAAGCATTAAAACTTCACGCTACGACCCTTAGCGAGCTGTCCTAAACCCAAATAAAATTGCGGATTTACCAGTAGCAGGTAAATACAAACTATATCAGTTAATATACAGAACCCAGCACGCAAAACGAGTTTCTTGCCTTGCTATATTTTTTCGTTGCTTTCCTCCGTGTCGGGTAGTAAACATTGTTGTTTTATTACAATCCACAATTTCCACAATAACTGGTGAAAGTTCCTCCCCCACGAAATACGAGACCATTTCAAATCCTCTTCACTAACGAAACACACGACTTTCTAAATGATCGTCGTCGTCTGTGTTGAGTCCAAATTTTATAATTAAATTTTTTTAATTGGAAATTTGTTGTGTGTGTGAGTGATTGTTTTAGCAAAATGCATAATGTTGATTTTAGTAAACTTTTGCAAAGCTCTTGTCCTGTAGAACCTTTAGTGAGTTTTTATATTTTCATGTTCTAATTTTTAGGTATACAGTGTAACAGAAATGTGTATTATAGGCACAATAAAGGAATTTGTCCAAGCCGCCTTTTGAGTGAATAGCAAAGAATGAATTGAAGACGCGGGTTTTCTCTAAGTCCGCTGTATCACTCCAGTCGAGCAATAAACTATATAAATAAGTTTATATTATATTTATTGAACTAGCCACAAATTAAATATATATTACAAATCACACAGAACAGAAATATGTCGCGGTGTGACAAGGAGTATGTGCGGTGTCCGCGAGTCGCTTTGCCATATAATAATATTAATATGCAATATGATATTACATTTTTTACCCCATTTAAGTAATAGATAACAAGAAGTTTAATTAAATATATATTAACCGTATCCCAGCCAAAAGAATGGAAGACTATGAACAGGAAAGACCGGGAAAACTGGATGACAGCAAGAATAGAACAATGGAGGGCCGAGAAGGAAGCGGAGAAGTTAGTTTTGTCTTTTTTCTTCTTTTTGTTCAGATTTGAACAGATGTTCATCTGTGTGTATCTTTCACACTGATATCCATAACTGATTTTATAAGAATACGGAGTGTCACCACCCCTATTCATCCCGCAGGTGTCGTAAGAGCCGACTAAGGGACCAAACTACGCAGGACAACAGCACTGCAAAGAGAGGGAAAACTTGACACAAACACTAACAACCCGTTTGGCCAGCTTAGTATAGTAGGCCTAAACGAGAAAGAAGTTCTCGTTTCTCGAAGAGGCCTATATCCAGCAGTGGACTATTAAAGGCTGTTGACGTGATGATGCTTTTTATGTAGTGTAGTTTTTTTTTATTATCACCTGCTTCTAAGCTTTGTAAAATAAATAGAATACCGTGTCCACCATTAAAACTATTTAGTTTTAGTAGGTAGTTAATTTTTGTTTTGACACAAGTGCGTTAAGTGCCGTCCCCCCGGAATAAGAGGCGAGAGGAGGGGAGGATAGTTAGGCCTTCTGTGACCGGAGTCATTCATGCGAAAAGCTACGATAGAATTACTTAACATTTGTTTTCATCAGAGGCTGTAGTTTCAATTCCAGGTTTATAATATTTCCAACTCCCTTCTAATTAATTTTGTTGCAGGTTTTTGCCTGGAACTTCCCGAGTGTCATAACTCGGTGTGTTCGTGGGTCAATGTTGCTGTTTCTGGTGTACAGGAGTTACAGTAGTGGGCGTGTGTACATTAGTTTCCCTTCGATCGAGCCTGTCCATATGTGCGAGCTTGACTCTCTAATGGCTGCCTAATTTATTTTATTGTTTAGGCAAGCAATTCTGGCTGGAGCAAAGGAGAAGAGACTGGCTTACGCTCGCGAAAGAAATGAGCAATTGGCGCGGGACGTAAACGACCAGGATATACGAAGGGATATCTTACAGAAGACTTGCACGCTGTTCCATAGTACGTTGGCTTTACTAATCATTTACTGTACTACCTTCGTGTCGTGTCGATGGAGCATTTGACATAATAAGATTTGCAAGTTTAAGGGTGTTTTTCTGGTCCCTGTACCAGAAAAAGACCCTTAAACTTGCAAATCTTGTGAAACAGGAGATGGGTCATTCCGGGACACCTTCAGCTTAACAGAAACGAGTGCGTTGCAGTCGGTCAAGGATATTAAATAAAAAAATAACATTTTCAGAATAAGAATAAGGTCTTGGTATATATAAGGTATTTTGTATATGATTTACATCTTACTATCATTTTATTCTTATCTAGAGCTTAACTTAACATAAAACATAGTTCATCGCTTAAATTTTTTTTTCTCATATATATGTGTATGTGTATGTATATATGTATGAGTATGTGTATGTATATATATGTGTATGTGTGTGGTATTACGACGTATACACCAAATTCCAAGATAGTTGGTTTTTAACAAAACCACTATCGTTTATTACCCTATCATAAATGCACCTACCTCATTCTTTGTCAGCACCGCCCAATCGGTCGACTGGCAGAGAATGTCTTAGGCATTAAGTCCGCCGATGCACGTACTTGTGCAAAAAGTTATAAATAAATTAAAAATAAAACTAGTATATGACTATTCTAAAATGTGGAAAGAATGAAAAGAAAATAGTAAAATCAAAATATTACAAATTCTTTTACAATCGGCCTGAGCTAGGTGTGAGACCTGTGGTTCAGGCATTCGCTTGACTATAATGTTAGATCGGTCGATAATGTTATATGACTTATTGTTTAATAACTTGGATATTATGGATACAGATACACAGTATTTAAGTCTAGCCGACATGTGCTAGAGTGGAGACCACGACTAGGTAAACGTATATATGCGGCACGATGGACCGACGACTTGAGGAAAATAGCTAGCAGCGGGTGGATGCAGACTGTCCAAGACCGGGATGGTGGGGGAGGTCTTCGTTCAGGCAATAGGCTGATGAGAAAGTCTACATACGAAAACATACGAATCTCAAATTTTTCGTGGTTAATTACGCATGATCCTGAACCGACAGACTGTACAGTACCGAATTCATTCCGTCATTTTTCCACTTGAACATCGCGTGGTATTTCTTTTTAAAATATGAACGGAACCAATCGGGAAGTTCCCAAATTAAAAAAAAACATTCATATGGGTTCATAAATGACGGAGATCTGAGAAGGATGCTCTGTAACTCAATAGTGCGCTCTAATCGCATTCATCATCATCATCATCACATCAACAGCCTTTAATAGTCCACTGCTGGACATAGGCCTCTCCTTAGAAAGGAGGTTTTGGCCTACTGTACCACGCTGGCCAGACGGGCTGGTATAGGGTTTGTTTCAAGTTTTCCTTCTCTCTGCAATGCTGCTGTCCTGCGTAGTTCGCTTCCTTGGTCACCTCTTACGACGCCCACGGGATGAATAGGGGTGGCGACACTCTGTATTCTTAATCCGTCACCACATGGACGTAATTAACCGCATTTAATTCTCCTATTCCAGGATACGAAAGAGAAAAAATAGTTGAAATGCAAAAGAAACAAGCGGATGAAGAGGTATGTGCATATATTCTGAAACAGAAACAGCTAGAACCTGATATATCTTAAGAAGCCGTACTTCAACAGTTTTACCCATGAATTTAGTCACTGCACCGCCCTTAAGTGGCGTAGCAAACCCTTCTGCTGTATTATGGACTGGCTCTTCCTCAACTCCAGAATGTGGCAGTCTGCTAATCACGAGCCGTGCACGCCGAGCATAGGCATGATTAAGGTTTGAGTTGGTTCTCGAAGTAGGGTATACCTGGATCTCCTGCAATAAACGGGTTGTGACAGAATACGGTTTTAGTCAGTTCGATTCCAATGTTTAATGCTTCACCATAGGTAAGATAAAGTGTTTTTATTAACGTATTATGATGGTTTCTCAGTGGGAGCAGCATCTCCGCTGTGATGGACTCCCAGACCCTCGGGTGGTCCCTCAGATCCAGACCTATCTACATCTATGGGAACACCTCACGGTGGTTAATGCTGAGGAGCTGGATAAGCGATGCATTGAAGTTTTACCGGTGAGAATCTCCATTTAAACATCCACGCATATAATAATAATAATATTTCGGACATCTGACACACAACGCCATCTAGTTTCAAATTAAGCAGAGCGTGTACTGTAAAACCCAGATAAACTCTTCTTCATGTTTGTCGTAGTCCGATCCTTTAAAAAAGTGCGTATACCCACCTTAGAGGCTTGTAATGGAACTTGTGACTCCTAAGATGTAGGCGTTCATGGGCGTCGGTAATCACTTTCCCTCAGGTGACCCACCTGCTTGTTTGCTCCCATTTCATAAAAAAAAAACTAAACGTTATTATTTACAAATGTCTATTTGCTTAACCCCATTGGGTTATGGGAAAATATGGATGGAATTATTTACTATTTAAAGTAAAGGAACATTATCGCTTAAGGACTGTGAAAAGGTAAGATACAGAAGACACAATATCATCAGCCAGAAGACCACGTTTGAATCATCATCAGCCTATCGCCGTCCACCACCGAACAAAGGCCTTTCCCAAGGCGCGCCAACTATCCTCTTGGCTTTCCTCAAGTCGTCGGTTCATCGTGCCACAGGGTATCCTACATTTTGGCGTTTAAATAGCACTACAAAAACATTATTGGTTTTTTCTTGCTACAGTCACCAGCCACTAATGTCTTTTTTTTACGTGTGGAAACCCACTCGGGCCGTCACCCCACCGGTTGCGGTTTGCGGCGGGGTGGTGTGTCGGAATCGGACCGACTAAAACCACACGGTGTACCACTTTGTGCCCATAATAGGAGGGATCTGGGAACTGCTGTTATTAAGACATCCGGACCGCTCCTAGCGCCTGCCCGCAACGGCGTGGGCACTACCTTCGGGTAAATTCTCTATTTAGGTGACGTCCGGTCACCTAAATGGCCGCTGTTATTTCCTGTGACTTTGAATCTCTTTTTTGAAGGGATCATTGGTCATGTAAAAATATATACTCAAATATTAAGTAGTATGTGTATTGTAAAAGTATTTAGTAGGTTTATGTTTATGTATATTAATTATATCTAGAGTCTTATAAAGTACACCACAGACTACCCTAAATCAGATCTGTCAAAAACCGTGTTATGGTTGTCTGTAAGAGATAGCCGTAAGCGATAAGACCACCTATACGGTATACCATGGTGGTGGTCTACATGGTATACCATATACCATGTAGATGTTCATACATGTGTGTACAATGTATACTGTAGCGGTGTACAATAAAGATGTATAAATAAATAAATTAAGTTATTTACTAGGATATTTCGTTCTTCTATTGTTTGCAGTTAGATTATTAGTTTATTTGTTATCTTTGCTTGTTTCAGATGCTGGAGATGTTAGAACAACTGGTGCAGAAAACGAAGCAATTTACTCCGCGACAGATTAATAATTACAATGAGGTATCTATGCATGCATTATATCGACCTGCACGGATAGCGTAGTGGTTTAAGCGGTCACCTGCTGCTTCCTACTGCGCTTAGTGTTTTGAGTTCGATGCCAACATGGAACAACACTTTGTGCGATTAACAAATTGTTGTTCTGAGTCTGGGTATTCTTTGTGTCCGTTTCATGTATATCTGTAAAGTCCCTCGTGACACAGGATATATTTCTAGTGTAGGAATTGTCTTAAAAAAAAAAGACCTGCTGACGTCTCTTAGACTGCCGCCTAGTTTGGCATCAGACTGACAGAGGGACAGACAGTTTAATATTATTACTATCTTATTTACAAAAATCTTTTCTCCTGCCAGATCAGGCTTGCTCTCCGTGCTCAGCTCAGCGAAACGATCCAGTTAGCATCATACTTCCTGCTCCGCGACCTGGAGAAATACCTCAAGATGGAAAGCACAAAGCTGGCCACGTATGAGAAAACTTTTAACGGACTAAGATTAAACATTTGGGTGGCTATTAAACAACCAACCAGGAAGCGGAAACCAGTGGAGCCTGAACCGTAAGTGTTTATTTTTACAACTTTTTTATGACATAGGTGGCAAACAAGCAGACGGGGCACCTGATGGTAAGTGATAACCTTCGATACCTGCAACTTATAAGTGACAAGTGCCTTGCCTCCTTTTGTCCCTCTAACTAGAAACAGAAGCAACGAAGAATTGTTTAACACAGGAGCTCCCGCCCTGCCCATTCGACGATAACCGGCTGGAGCGCCTACACGGCGACAAATCAAGCAAGCGTCAAACCTCAAGCCGGGAAGAATTGTTTAACACTGGTCTTTTCCACGGCCTTCGGCCAGTCGGCCAATTTGAACTGATAAACTACTGCGACTGAAGTCTTTGGTATGAGTTGCAAAGAGTGAACCAAACAAAGCCCACCTTTAGTTTTATATCTAAAATTATAGGGAGCCCTTTGTGGATCCTGTGCAACCCTTGGTATTAATTCGTACACGATCAAGCGGTGATTACTACAGGATGCGTCCGGATGGACACGCCATCCGGATATCGACACGTCGCCGCGCGTAAGCATCACGTCAATAGAAGACTCACCCATTGGGTTGCAAAAAGTTGGTGGTGCATCGGGGGTATTGTGAATAGTAAGATTCATTTCCGCAATGAAATCTTCAGAGATCTCAGCAACGGCGCAGTGTGACGTCATAAGATTACGCAAAGATATTACCGTAAAATTAGAACTTGCAACATATATCCCAGCTTGCGAACGGCAGTCAAGCTGTACTACATTACGACGCAAGCGAGCGCTCTGATATTGTTCTTGTATACGGACAATGTCTAACTTTGTTCTAAAATTAAACGGTCTAATTCTGATGTAGCTATTCTGTAATTGGTATTTAATATTAGCTGTTCCAGTTTTAATTTGTATGTGGCACAGTCGTGTGAGCCGCATCGATGGTCAGATGTTTTTTTGAACCGCTTGCACTGTGCGCACGTGGGCTTAAAATCTGGTGTGTCTTTATCTGGACAAGCTCGCGTTTCATGTGCGGCGGCGCAATTAGCACAAGTAGGGGTTTTAATGGTGCAAAACTTTTGTACATGACCGAATTGCTGACAATTTAAGCAACGAACTACTTCTATATCGTCTATGAATCTACATGTGGCCCAGTCTATATAAAGTTTATCTTTTGTGTTGGCTAGATGTTTCCTAACTGCTGCCTCTAATTCTAAGCCTATCCATTGACGCCCATTTTCTAGTTTACGATGCCTAACAATTTTGGTTGACTTAATAAAATCGTTCTCACTTAATTTTAATTCGTCCTTGATATTCTGACGGTATAAGGCTGTTAGGAAGGCACGATCTTCCATAGAACCGTGTACGTCTTCTACAATTATGCGGGGCTTTCGGCCTTTCGGTTTTTCTAATAGTAACCCTACTGATTTAATGGCGTCTACAGATTCCAGTTTCTTAAGCTGCCCTTTGTTAGCTACGCGTAACACGACGCCTGCCTTAGAGGTTTTTATAACGCCTACAATTTGGAAACCCTCATCGCTCGGTTTAATAGCCTTCATGAGAGCTTGTTTCGTTGCTGACGAGGTCGCATAGTCCGCTAAGCGTTCCGTAGTGGGATAGGCAATAACACAAGGCCTAGGAACGCGCGCTTCAGTAGATACCGGGCACGGGGCAGATTTAGGTGGTAAGCGAAGCTTAAGTTTGTCCGCGTACGTTAAACTCGTTTGTTGATTTGCGATACCCTCCATTTGTCGCTCAAAATTCGCTAACTTCGTTTCGTTGCTAAAGGATTTTATTGCTAACAGGGATACGATACCGGTAATTCGTTGAGTAATATCCATAATCGCCGTTTTATTACCTACATTCATCCGAGATCCCTGATCATTAACTAATTCATTAATTTTTGCCAAATAATCAGTGGCCTGTGACACTAAGTCACAGTAGTTGTACTCCCCACAGTTATCACGACCGGTAGGAGACGAAACATTACCACTTAAGTCCGAATTAATAATGCGCCTAAGGCTACTGTCTTTCGGCGAGAAATCCGTAGGTGACATTTCGATAAATGTCCTTTTCCCGGTTGGTGTTAGAAATTCACTTGTACCGCCGGGGTCCGGCAACTCGCTAACGACCGACATAGCCAAACAAAGACACACCAAACAACAATTTCAAAAGGAACAAGTTTAAAAATAAACAACACGCAGAGAAAAATCAATATAAACAAAGGATACCTCCTACCCACTTTTATAAAGAAAATAAATTTACTCACCAATAGTCGTAATAAAATAATTCAGCACTATATTACTGTTTAAAAACAATAAAAACTTACTGACTTTCTTTAAAACACCATACACAACCTTTAGCCGCCCGCAAGCCGGAAACTAGTCGCAGAAAAACAGAAAACAATATTTAAATTGTTAGCACATGAATTCACACGTTAGTCGCACGGTGCCGCGAAGGGAAGTCCTATCATCATCTCTCCTATCACTGGCGCAGAGTGGCACACCGTGTGGTTTTAGTCGGTCTAATTCCGACACTCCACCCCGCCGTAAACCCCGGTGGGAAGACGGCCCGAAGGGTTTCCACACGTAAAAAAAAGGGTTGCCTATATCAGGAGTTCTCACTCTTCCATAACAAAAACACTAAAACTTATATTAACATACCTTAGACTGTCGTTAAACAAACGTAAAAATACAAAATTTCAAATTCATTTTTATATTCTAATATCTATATCGATCTATCGTATATATCTAATAAAAAAAAAAGGGGACATCCGGGCAAGTTAGGGATTGGGTATACTGAAAGAAAAGGTAGATAAGTAGGCGAAGTATTGGTAGAAAAGGTATATTGCTTTTATGGACTGATTGAGGAGCGTAAGCGAGCGGAAGGAACGCCAACTGTCCCGGTTCTAGGCAGTTTTGCATCCATCCATCTTTAAGTCGTCGGTCCATCGTGTCGCAGTGTGCTCCTACCAGTACTACATCACATTTAATTACAATTATACAATTACTATTCATAAAATTTTAACATTAAAGGAACAAAGACGACATAAACCTTTTTAAATTTGTCAGCATAATTCATAAATGTATAATTAAATTAAATTTACTTGCATTTCACACAATGCGTAATTAATTAAATTACGCATTTGGCAAATAAACCAGACTTTAAGCAAAGGTTTACTTTATCAATTAATTATACGTTGCACAAATGCGCTGGCTCGACCTCAGTGACCGGTCTCACAGAAAACCGGTGTTAACCAATGTAATTATTTCGTTGCATTTCGACGATTAAGTTCAAGCTGTCCAGGTGGTGATGGACTAAGAACACAGAGTATCACCACCCTATTCATCCCGTGGGTGTAGTAAAGCCGACGTAAGGGAGCAAACCACGCAGAACACTATAAAGAGAAGAAAAACTTAAAACAACCAACCAATTCGCCTGGCCAGCGTGGTATATCCAATCAGTGCAGAGAGGAGAGAGATGTAAGACCAAAACAATATTCTTTCTCTGTTTAATAGCCATACGCTACCACGTACAGAGGAATATACAGTTCGCGCCCTCTATTATATTATCTCTATGGTGTCACCACCCTAGTCATCCGATGGGTGTCGTAAGATCCGACTAAATGGAATAAACTACGAAGGAACAAAGCACTGCAAAGAGAAGGAAAACTTGAAACAAACCCTATACCAACCCGTGTAAAGTAGGACAAAACATCCTTTCTAAGTAGAGGCCTATGTCCAGCAGTGGACTAATAAAGGCTGTTGAAGATGATTGATGAAGTGAAGTTACCTCAAAGGGTGGCAAAGCATCTCTGGAGCTGCGGGTGTCTGTAGGTGGTGGAAGACACTTACTATTGGGTGACTCTACTCATTTTGCCCCTTAGATAAATTACACCCAGACACATACCAAATGATAGTGCCCATCACACAATTATTTTTCCTGGGTTCGAATTGAACCCACGACCTCTGGCTTAGCAGTAAGACTCACTAGCCACTAGATCACAGAAACTTTTCCCCTAGCACAACCAATCTGTGGAACAAGTCATCGTCTTCTGTTTTTCTGGGGCGATACGACCTTCAAGAGAATAGCGTACTTCTTTCTAAAAGGCCGGCAATGTGCTTGTGACTCGAGTCACAGGCATTCATGGACAACGGTAGTCACTTTCCATCAGGTGAACCCTCTTCCATATTAAAAAAAAGATCAACAGGCCATCTTAGTAGATTTTATCTATAGACAAACGTATTCTTTTTTAATTGTCTAGGATCACACGATGGCTTTTATTTGTCATCAAACCTTGATCTGATTTAGACAAGGGCATTAACTTTCAAGTGATTAACGTGATAAGTGATTAAGGCATTAACTTTCAAGTTAATGCCCTTGTTTGCTTCTATAACATAAGGACTTCCATTGTTCATACCTAACCTAATAATCTCAAACCATGACCTGGTTCTTGGTTTAATTATTAATTGTTTGCTAATTACAAGCGGGCAATATTTTCACTCTTAATTATTCTATTTCCTTGATATTTTCCTCAAAGGTTTCAGTTTACGACATTTCAGTTCTGTTCGTAAGGGTCAAATTCGTTTAAGAATTTTTTAAATCGAGCCTGCTGTTTAGGTGTCACAACTAGCAGACAGACAGAGCTACTTTTGACATTTATAAGAGTAGAACAGCATACATTTACAGGACAACTCATCCCCTCTTGTGGCTGTGGCTTAGCACTAGATATCTAGCGCCCCTAATTTGTTGGGGTTTCGCACTAGTACTAACTAGTGCGGAACCCCAACTAGTTCCGCACTATTTAGAATACTCCCTTAATAATACTGACCATTGTTGAATGATGTTTCATAGTGTGACGCATTAAGAATACGGAATGTCACCCCCCTTATTCATCCCTTGGGTGTCGTAAGAGCCGACTAAGACAGCACACTACGCAGGGCAACGGCTTTGCAAAAAAAGGAGAACTTGAAACAAACCCTATACCAATCCGTCTGGCCAGCGTGGTATAGTAGGCCAATAACTCCTTTCTAAGGAGAGGCCTATGTCCAGCAGTGGACTAATAACTCTCACAAAGTGACGTCATTTCGATCTTTTTCAGTGTACCCGTACAATTATCATTCCCAGCGCTGAAGGTAACCGTGACGCTGCCGAAAATTATCGACGGGTCTTGTGTCTGCGTACGCGCAGCGAGGTCTATGATAGACTTGCTGAGCGAGAGCTCACGATCTTTCAGCACTACAGCAGTCTTACCAAATAAGGATGTAGGTATGTATACATACAGGGTGTATCCCTTACTTCTGCGTAGGCTGGTCGTAACGAATACTGAAATAGTATATTCAGACCATCATTCTGAGTCGAAAATCATTGGAATTTTTTGCCAGCAACTTCAACTTTTTATGCAATCAGCTCTCAAATGTTAAGGTCATTACCCGTAGGTATCGCACAAAAGTAATAACTACATGTGGTTTCCGTGCAAACACTCTACGCACACTGATATAAGTTGGGGGCCGGAGGGGAGGCACTGCAGTTCAGCTGTTTGATTAATTACATTGCAGTTTTTGGTCGTATGCAGTAATTATTAAGTTGTTTTCGATAAAATGTTCTACACAATGTTTTGCACAATGTGTATAATGTTATACACATTATGATATCAATTTTTAAAAAAATATGGAAAATTATAAAAAAAAATTTGGGCAGAAAATTCCAATGATTTTCGATGCAGAATCATGGTCTGAATACACTATTTCAGTATTCGTTACAATGTCCCTTACATCCAATAAATTATAAAGAAATGTATATATTTGTGTTTTTATGGTATGGGGGAGGGCAGACGAGTCACCTGGCAGGTGGGCGCATGAACATATGCAACTTAAGAGTCCAAGTTGACGTCCTTGGGAGGTCCTCTAAGGGAGGGCTTCTGCAACCAAAGTCACTCGGTGATTGATATAGAAATTGGATAGGATAAGTGAATTTAAATCGAAATTAAAGATTATATTACAACGAAAAATATACTAGTGTTAATGAATACTTAGAAGACAAATATCTAATGTAATCACTATACTTTTCTAAATTCTATCTACTACAATATAGTCAATTTGACTCATGATCTACTATTTAATTGACATCATAATTATTGTTATTGGTATGACACTAATTCTGCCATTTTATTCTTTTTTACGTGTAAATTTTTGTATAGATGTTGTGACTCATAAATCATGTTTAGATGATGTTTGAAATGTTTTAGTGAAATAGTAATATAAATAAAGTATCTTGAAATTTTTGCATGCCACAAGGTTAAATATCACCATCAGCAACAGCCTTTAATAGTCTACTGCTGGACATAAACCTCACCTTAGAAAGGAGGTTTTGGCCTACCATATCACGCTGGCCTGACGGGGTGGTATAAGGTTCATTTCTTATTTATATCTTATTTCATGTTTCTAACTTTGACGAACCTTATTTTGGTGGGGGTGAAATTCTCAATAATCCTTTCATAGGTGCTTACAACATAGAAAACATCAGCTGACAAAATTCCAAGTTTATAATCCCAGCGGTTTAGGGAATGCGGTAATGAATCAGTCAGCAAGTAATTTTATTTGTTCAAATGTTCAAGTTATTTTGCTTGTAAACAGACCTGTTCGATTTCAACGAAAAAGAACTTCAGGATATGATTGTCACCAAGAAGCAGCAGGATGACATGAGAGCCAAGTTCTTCAAGGCAATAAGAGAGAAGACCTACGAACTTGAGCGGTTCCTTAAAGCAAATCCGTAAGTTTTAAGTATTTTGATTATTGATGACTTAGTTTAATTTGATCACATATTCGGCTGGAGTATTGATCTAGTGACAGAGGACGGATCTACGGTTTATTCGAACCGGGGCACAAAGTCAATAAAAGCGCCCCCTCTCCTCAGCGTTTGAGATAAGTAACTTAAAAAAACTCACAAATACATAGCGTAGTGGTTTAAGCGGTCGCCACGCCGTTTCCTACTACGCCGAGTGTTGTGGGTGCAAACCCCACATGGGACGTACTTTGTGTGTGCCCTTCAAAAATCAGCTGGACGGGAGGCAACAAACTCTTCAAAGGCATTTTGTACTGCCTCTCGTGAATTGAATTTTTTACCCACTAAAAAGTTGTCTAAATTTTGGAAAAAGTAATAGTCGGTAGGTGCAAGGTCTGGTGAGTATGGCGGATAAGGGAGAGCTTCCAACCCCAGCTCTTGCAGCTTGGAGACTGTCTGTTGCGCAGTATGGGGTTGTCGTGAAGGAGCAGTGGGGACGACCGATTGACCTTGTTCTTGTTCTTGGAGAACTTGTTCTTGGAGCCTACACGAATCACTGCCACCACTGCCACATGTTTGGACAATATATTTACAGATATTGTTATTAAGGACAAGAAAATAATCAATCAATTACATTCTGACCACTGTGGTCAATTAGTATCTTTCTGTGATAGGTATGAAAAAGTGTCAGAAAAAAGAATTGTGGTGATACCTAAAACCGCAAAGCGTTGTGAAAACTTTAAGGATAAACTTAAAGCTGCTTTTAATAATTCAGTACTCTGTGTAGAGAATAACCCTAATACTTATTATAATAGTTTTTTTGAAACTTTCTCTTCAACATTTAACACCATTTTTACACCAAAAACGCTAGTGGTTAAAGGTAACGCCACATTTAGTGAATGGGCTACCCCTGGCTTACTCAAAAGTAGGAAAAGATTATACGAGCTATACGATGAGAGGAATTATAATAAAAGTGAACAGTTTCATAATTATGTTAAAGAATATTCGAAGCTGTTTAGGAAACTTTGTAAACTGGCTAAGTCTCGTTTTATTAGTTCAAAGATTAAAAGTAGTAATGATAAGATTAAAACCACTTGGAAAATTATTAATAGTGAAACTGGCAAAGATCCAAACCGTGATAATGAATTTAATTTAAACATAAACAATACATTTATCACATCAAATGCTGAGGTTGCTGCTGCATTTGAGAATTTTTTTACTAACATTCCTGTATCAACTACTAAATCTTTGAACTCCTCACCATACCTTGCAGAATCAATTTTAAAAGAGAATGTTAGAAGAATTGATAGTGAATTTAAGTTCCAATATGTGTCCCCCTTTGAAATTATTAAAGCCTTTAACACTATTAATGTTAAAAAAACAACCGACCTATGGGGAAATTCTGTTTTAATTACTAAGACAATTATATCTCTTGTGGCTAATCAATTGTCATTTACATTTAATCAATGTGTTGATAGTGGTGTATTTCCTGATCTTATGAAGTCTACTAAAATTATTCCCTTATTCAAATCTGGTAGTACATCTGACCCAACTAACTTTAGACCTATCTCAGTACTACCAGTATTTAGTAAAATTTTTGAAAAAATTATGTATGATCAATTGCACAGTTTTTTTAATAATAATAATTTATTGCACAATAGACAATTTGGTTTTACAAGGGGTCGCTCCACAACTGATGCTAGTGTTGAGCTAGTAAAACATATATTTGATGCCTGGGAGGATGCCCACGATTCTCTAGGTATCTTTTGCGATTTATCTAAGGCTTTTGATTGTGTTGTTCATGAAACGCTGATCAGGAAATTACAGCACTATGGTATCAAAAATAAAGCCCTGGAACTACTTGCCTCATATCTATGTAATAGGATTCAAAAAGTTGATATTAATGGTGAGCGGTCTCCAGGCTCTGTGATAGAAATGGGAGTTCCACAGGGTTCTATTCTCGGCCCTTTTTTGTTTTTAGTATATATTAACGACTTACCTGACTTTGTCAAGGACAATCTCGAGATTGTGTTGTTTGCAGATGATACATCACTATTATTTAGACTAAAACGGACACTTTCTGATTTCACATTTGTAAACAGCGCCATTTCGAAAGTGGTTCATTGGTTTGATGTCAACAATTTACTATTAAATGAACAAAAAACTAAGTGTATACGTTTCACTATGCCAAACGTCAAGCCAGTGAAAACTACTGTGATAATTAAGGATGTCGGGCTGGACCTTGTGGACACTACGACATTTTTAGGTATGACACTAGATGCTAAGCTACAGTGGGGCCCACATATTGATAAATTGTCGAGTAGACTCAGCTCAGCAGCATACGCAGTAAGGAAAATCCGAGAGTTGACTGATGTTGATACAGCACGACTTGTTTACTTCAGTTACTTTCATAGCATAATGTCGTACGGTATTCTGCTGTGGGGGAATGCTGCCGACATTCAAACTATTTTTGTGCTGCAAAAGAGAGCTATTCGAGCACTTTATAATTTAGGCAATCGTTGTTCATTGAGGCAGAAATTTAAAGAAATAAATATAATGACAGTGGCAAGTCAATATATTTATGAAAATGTAATATATGTTCACAAAAATAAAGATAGCTTTTTGAAAAAAAGTGATGTACATGCCATAAATACCAGAAATAAAAATAAATTTGTTGTACCCGCCTCTAGGCTCCAAAAGATAAACAAGTCTTTTCGAGGTCAATGTGTCCGATTTTATAATAAAATCCCAAATAATATTCAGGAGTTGAGTATTAACAAATTTAAATCCGCAATAAAACGTGGCTTGTGCCAGAGGGCCTACTACTCGATTGTGGATTACATGGAGGACAAGAATGCTTGGGATTAATTAGCAGGCTATTTCTTTCTTAAGTAAAAATGTGGTGTGGCTAGTATGTTTTTTATTATTTTTTCTATTTTTTATGTTTCACTTTATTTTCTCTTGTATTCGTTTGTTCTTCTTAATCTTGTTTTCTCTTCCTTGTTTTTTCACCTTTAAGTCCTTAATAACGGACATACTAGCACACATCAAAACAATGTTGTGATATATTTAATAGTGCCATTGTATCTACTTGTGAATTGCAAAAGAGTGGCCATGAGTTTGTTTGCCCTTTCTTCTCATAAGGCTCAACCCCTTGGAAACGGGCGGTTGTAGATCGGCACAGGCATAGATTTTGTATGGGTTTGATTTTGTTAAATTTATTTGGTTACTATTTGACAAAACAGAGATTGTTGCTTTTGTGTGTGTTGATCTATGACTTTAGAGTCTACATGGAAGACGATTTCAAACAATTTTGAAAATTTTATGAAATAAAGAAAGTTTGAGTTTGAGTTTGAGTTTGAGTTTGACCAAAGCTGGTTGCTTGGTACTCACCAGACCTTGCACCTACCGACTATTAATTTTTCCAAAATTTAAATAAACTGCCAATGCGTTGGCAAAGATGCGTCGATTGCATGGGTGATTACTTCGAATAACAGAAATAAAAAAGTTTGAAAAAATAAGTACTTTCACTTATTGCATACAAAACGGCAATTTCATAGGTAAAGACCTATTATATATAATTTACCAAAATAACTTCTTTTTATAACCAGATACACTAAAAATGAGAAGGAGAAAGAGGAATTGGATAATCTGAACATGCAGGAACCGCCGCCGGTGGAAGAACCAAGGCAATGTCAAGTGACAATAAATGGTAAGCCATTATCGACTACAATAATTTTAAAGTGAAAACTTCTTTAGACTCGTTAGTCATTTTAAAACAACAAACAAAAGAATGTATTTTATGGGAAAAACCATTAAACTTGAAACACTGTTACCGTTACCGACACCTGTGTATGTAAGTAAATAAATAATAAGTTTTCACTTCTGTCGGCATAACGGAGTGTCACTGTTTTTTTAAATACAAGCATAGCAAATCGTTCTCTCGACCGAAGTGATGCCATGGCCTCACATAAAACCAGTGTTAAGTACCAACCAGCCCTCCCCCTCCAATTCTGCGGAGATTCTTAAGAGCCATAGCCGACCGTAGTCACTTACTTTAAGGTGATCCGTCTTCATGTTCTACATTCCTAAAAAAAATCTAAAGGTTGCTTTTTAGAGATTGCTATTGCATGAAGTTTCCAAGTACACACTTTACATCACACATCACATCGACAGCCTTTAATAGTCCACTGCTGGACATAGGCCTCTCTTTAGATAGGCAGTATACCACCCTGGCCAGAGGTGGTTTGTTTCAAGTTTTCCTTCTTTTTACAGTGCTGTTGTCCTGCGTAGTTTGCTCCTTTAGTCGGCTCTTACGACACCCACGGGATGAATAGGGGTTGTGACGCTTCGTATTCTTAATCTGTCACCACACAGATAATCAACAACTTCTACTGTATATTAATCAAGTAACTTAAAATAGAAAACAAAAGGAAACGTTTCTTAAAAAAATAATATTAATCCAAATATTCTACGAAAAGTGTGATGGGACGAGATGAACGGAAGTTGAGAGGGAGATATAAGAGAAGATAGAAAGAGAGAGAGTTATGTTTCGTATATACTGTAGGGGCAAGAGAGAGAGGTGCGAGCAGACATTATCTTTCTCTCTTTCTCTTATAGCCAAGAAGTTTTACTTCAGTCGTGTGGTCTAAAGCATACACGGTTTTTTTTATTTGCATAACTTAATGTACAAGTTGTACACAGGCAGACTTAATGCCGAGGGCATTCGCTGCCAGTCGACCTTCGGTTTATGTAGAAAGTAATGCGGTAGGTGCAAGAGAAAACAAAGAATTTGATTTTATTTATATTTTTAATAATTTAAGATAAATCTAACTTACATATATACAGTATATACTATTACATAGAGGTCTCAAGTATACACATACAATACGTAAACTTAAATAATAAATAAATAAAATAAATAAAAAAGCCATTTATTCTACTACTTAATTATTTACAATACTTGATGGGATTGTAATTAGTAATGTACATATAAAGTAATTTGCTTATTCTAAATATTAAATAACATTGCAGTAAATTTGATAATAACCAGTAAATGGTGCTAAATATTAAATAATCTTTCAATGAATAATATAATCATTAATTAATTGTGGTAGGTGAAATAAATAACATTGTAATGAATTGAAAATAATTAATTAATTGTGCTAAATAATAAATAACATTTAGTGATATATTTCATCATCACCATAAATAATATATATCTTATTTAATTTTTAAAAACCTTAGAATATTGTTTAAAAATTAGTTCATTCTGTATCAAATAATTTTAAACATTAATTCTATGTGTAACATTGCATGGATGTATATAAATTAATTTTATTTTATCCATATTATTTCAAATTTTTATTTACAAATTTTGACTAAGTAGTAGTCGCCTCCTTGGCGTAGGCCTCCCCCATTTCCTTCCAGTACTGCCTGTCTCTGGCTTTGGTCATCCAGGTAGGTCCTTGTCTTTCTAGGAATACATCTGCCCAACGTAATGCTGCCAATACGTAAACTTACACATACATAAATATATAAATATTGCAATACACAGTCGGGTACCAGCGTTGTGTGTGACCTTTCCGTCAACTCATTTTGAAGAAGATCTTGTACGTAAAGCGGTTAGTGGACATCCTGATTTCAACTGGGAGCGCATTCCAGAGAAGAATTGACTGTACATAGAAGGAAGAAATGATGAAGTTGGAAGTGTGGAAGGGGGTCCAACAGTAAAATATTTTTTCAATTTGAACCTGTAATTCCTGAGCACGCTAGCTCGACCAAACGCCAAACTCTACAGATGTATATTATTAGCATAGATATTGTTTATTTTGTTTAGTTTTGGGCACATATCCATGTGGAGGAACGGGTGTCATGTCCCTCCAACACAAAGGGAGGATCCTCCAACCAGGCGAGGTGATCATGCCTGGCGGGCCGCGGCCCCAAGATGGCGCTGTAGTATGTTTCTTTGTTTCATCGTATGTGGAAGTCACCACATCCATACTTAATATTATAAATGCGAAAGTCTGTCTGTCTGTTTGTCTGTTGCCTCTTCACGCTTATACCGTTGAACTGATTTAGATAAAATTTAGTATAGAGATAGTCCAAATCCCGGGAAAGGACATAGGGTAGTTTTCATCCCAGAAATCATACTTTAAAGGGGTGGAAGTTTTTATGGGGAATCAAAAGCCGCTGAACTGATTTAGGTGAAGTTTGTTATGGAGATACTTTGATTCTTGACAAGACATATGCTACTTTTTACCTCGATAAAAGGTAGTATGTCTATAATATGTTTCTGTGCGCCATATTTGTTTAAACAGGGATGCAAAAACTCTACTTCACGTATTAATATGTAGATATCTCTTATCTTTTCTTTCTTTTGTTACAGAAAAAGCTTTTAAAAAATATCTGAAAGGGTGTAGATCAAGAACCAGAATTGGAGAAATTAATTTAAGAAAATACAGGTAAGAAGTTCTCAAATTCTCCGCCCCTAATTCAGAGGGCCACATAAAGGGTGGCAACTCGCTTGTGACTCTTTGAGTTGCAGGTGTCCATGGGTGGCGGTAGTCGCTTACCATCATGTGACCCGTCTGCTCGTTAGCTCCCCCCCATAACACGAAAAAGGAAAAGTATTCTGCAATCATACAGCAATCAAGCAAATGACAATTGTCTTTATGATGGTGATGATGGCTAACCTGTTGGTCTAGCGGTTAGTGACCCTGACTGATAAGATAGAGGTCGTGGATTCGATTCCCATTCAGGTTGTCCTGAGTTTTTAATTGTGTAATTAGCACGATCATTTGGTATATGTCTGGGTGTAATTTATCTATAATGTATGTGTTGAGAAATATTTAAGTACGTTTATCAAAAATCTTAAACAGATGTTAAGTCACGGAAATCATCATAGTTTTAGTCCCAGGATCGCGAACTTTGACTATAACTCCTTGATTGTCTTGCTTCAGAATATGCGGTGGAACACTCAACCTGGATCTGATCACCACGCCTCCTCAACCGAAATATATGATGTACTCTGTCATACTAACTGCATGTGAGTATTTCTAGCAACTTCTAACATTACTATCCATAGAAATGGTCCACCCCCCCCCCCCTCTCCCCTTCCAGGAATCAGGAAGATCTTTCGTTGCTTTTTTCCAAGTGAGAGTAAGGCAGAATGCAATTGCGATTCTCGCTCCCCCGGCAATTGGCAAGAAGAGAAACACTGGGGTGGTTTTTAGTCGGTAAGAGTACGACAGACCCCTTTGCCACTTCCTAACAGACGAAGGACATCATTGAGGATCTTCCAATCAGTTAAAAAAAATAAAAAAACCAGTCGGTACTCCAGGAGTACCGACAGAATGGAAAACTTATATACAGAGGTGTCGGTAACGGTAACAGTGTCGCGAGTTCTATCGTTTTTTCCCATCTCAAATAATAAACAACTTTTCACTTTAAAAAATACCCAACGCGCCAATAGAAGTTTTTACTTTAAAAAATTCTATCGCGCCTACGTCACGTTTGGGCTTGGGTAACCTTTTACTTTTACTCACTCGCAAAGAAGCAACAAAATAATTACTGAACACTGGCCTTCTGTGAGGCCGTTGGTATCACACCAGTCGAGACGCCCTATGCGTTCCGAAGCGTGACTCGCCATTTACTAGTTTGTTTAAAAAATAATTTATAAATAACAACCGTTTCCTTTTAATTTGAAAAATCTTAAGCCATAGACACATTTTGTGTAAGTTTATTCTTGTCAGTCGGAAGACTTTTTTTCAATCTCTTCCAGAAGAGCACTCTCTCTGACTCTTCTTTCGGCCATACTATGTAGGTTTTTGTTAACATCAAGTAATGAAGCGTGTTTGGACGCACACGACGTGGAATGTCTTCTAGGAGAACTAGTATTAGGTCTTCTCGACGGGTTTCCAGAAGCCTGAAAAGAAAAGAAGTTATTTATTTATTTAATACATACGTACGTAAATACGCCTAAATACATATAAACTGATGCAAATACCAAGTAAACATTTAAAAAACATACCAAAAACAATTTTGATGACAAGTCATGGGCAATTTTTTTTGACAAAATACTGCTTTACTTTTGCTTTAAATTAAAAAGCGTTTGTGGCTAACCTTAGAGGGCAAGGGCGCTTCAAAGAAGAACAGGACGTCTGGTAGATGTAAAACATTAAAATTATTTTGTAAAAAAATAAGCGGAGTCACTGGTGCACGCCTTGTTACTTATATTAACACATAGCGTGGCTACGCATGCCGTGGCGACTTGTCGCGCCGTCGCATTAGATGTTTCACATCAAAAGGGATGAGATGTGATGTGATGATTTACTATCCATAGATTTTTTTTTAACAGAACCCGCCATAGAGAAGAATCTATTCATCGTGGCAGTTTCGTTTTCCCCACATTCACACAACGCCATCTAATCCTAAATTAGTTTGGGAATAGATGACGTAGAAAAGCTTGTACTATGGCTACTAGATAGATATCTGATATCAATACATATATACTTTTTTTTGTGAATATAAACTTATTATACAAAGAAACACCCAGACCAAACCAAACATTAAATGTTCATGCACACAAATGTTTGACTTGAGCGGAAATCGAACCCGCGACCTTTGCAATAGCAGTCCGTTACACAAACCACTACGCAATTCGGTCGTAGTTACTACACCAGACTCATGATACTTCTGCACTCTACTTTTAAAAAAATTAGTCCATTATGGAATCTAGACTCACTGAAGATTCGAATGACGGAATTATTTAACATTCCAAAAAACAGGGCACGAATTTTGTTTGTTCAATTTTGCTCAAAAGCACCTAACATGGCCGAACCATGCTTCTGCTTCTTGCACGGCTTCGACCAGTGTGATTCCTCGGCCTCACAGAAAACCATTTAAGTATTTCTTTCGGTACTTTACAGAGAACGAGCTAGCTTACCAGAGGCTCAACTTCTTCTCTCCCTAATTCTTTAGGGACTAAGCTTTGAGCTTAAAAGGCGGCAACTCACTTCTCTCTCTTGAGTAGATGTGTCCAAGCGCCATTGGGCGGCGGTAATCACTTACCATCAGATGACTTGTCTCCTCGTTTTCCCCTTAAACGAAAAACCTAACTCAGTACTGAAATGTAGTTACCTATGCTGAGCCAAATGCATTTCGAACTGACACCAGCGGCTGATCAGGAACCGTTGCGAGAGCACCAGCATGATGAACCTTGAGCGATCCATGCACAGCACTATGTTCTCCAAAATTGACAGGCCTACCTGGCAACAGAAAAATTTTATGTTTGTTTGTTAGTTAGGTTTCCTTAACTACTTTACCGTTTGTCATGGAATGAATACTAATTGTTAGAGGATAGTTATTGACCACAAAAAGTACTGTTCCAGTGGGATATCTGGCTGCATTGCCAAAATCGATTTTAACAAGAACGAAAAGGTACTATAATAGCAGCTAACACTCAAATAATCTCAATGGAGTAGGCCTTATTACAGTGAATTTTCAAACGTCAATAGGATACAAAATAATAATAAAAGAGGAACAGGGTTGACTCTAATTTCCTGAGTCAAACGTCATAAGAGTCATATTATGAATACATGCCTATTGCAAGGCTTAATATAAACCAGCCTGTCATCACCTGACGGGCTTAAAAATAAAACTTTGCAGGTTGTAACGTTTCAAACCAGAACAGACTCCTGCAAGAAAAACTGAAAGGTAATAAAGAATCCACAAAACCCAGTCGGGTTGATGGAACCTCCGTCTGAGACGACGCTTACAAAACATTATTCTAACAACTAGCTATTCAATCCCAATCAGACTTATCATAAACTGGCTTTTTCCCGCGGCTCTGCCCGCGTATATTTCGGTTACTGGGGTTATATCATCAACGAGTAACTTATGCCTATGTTACTCGCTGATAATGTAGCTTTGTGTAGTGGTTTAGGCATAAAAACGTAAATAACAAACTCACTTTCATATCAATAATATAAGTATGGAAGTATTGATGGATGTAATCTTCATTCTTCTTCTGGAATAAGCTTTATTACCGCAGGAGAGCTATGCTTTGGCACGAATGGGCCTTCTTGAACGGAGTGATACCACGGCCTCACAGAAAACCGTTGTTAAGCAATTCTTTTGTTGCCATTCACTGAGTGAGTGAGGTTATTGGAGCCCGAATCCCCCCTCCCGCTGACTCGAGCGGGAGGGTCTTCAAGGGTGGCAACGCACTTGTGACTTTTGAGTTGCAAGTGTCCATTGGCGGTGGTAGTTGCTTACCATCGTTGCGTACCATCTGCTCGTTTGCATAAAAAAAGCTGGCTTTACTCTTACTTCTCCAACTACTCTAACTTTGCAATCCATCTACGATTAAAATAAGGGCCACACCGGCATCAGTAAAACCTTTTTCCAGCAGTATGTATGTGTCATCATCAATCATCATCATCAACAGACTTTAATAGTCCACTGCTGAACATATGCCTCTATTTTTAGAAAAAAGGTTTTGGCCTACTATACAACGCTGGCCAGACGGGTTGGTATAGGGTTTGTAGCTGGTCGGCGCTGCGTCTGCCCTAGGGCGACTTTTGCCCAATATGGGTGGACCCAGCGTCGCGACAAGACGGCTGTACACGGGGGTTGTCCGGTCAATGGCACTGTACGGTGCACCGGTGTGGGCGGCGGCTCTGACCGCCCAGAATAGGGTACGCCTCTGGCGCCCTCAGAGGGTACTGGCGGTCAGAGCCATACGCGGTTACCGCACCGTTTCGACGGAGGTGGCATGTGCGTTGGCCGGAACTCCCCCGTGGGATTTGGAGGCGGAAGTGCTCGCCGAAGTTTATCGGCGAGTGGCTGACTCCCGGGCGGAGAGCGGATTTCGCCCTCCGCCCGAGGATGTGCGCGAGTGGCGCGAAGCCGCTCGCCGAGCCACGATGGCTCGTTGATCGTTCCGGCTGGAGACTCCACGCGCTGGCTTCGCCGCCGTGGAGGCTCTCCAGCCGGTCATCGCCGAGTGGGCAGGGCGGCAGCACGGGACCCTTTCCTTCCGGCTGACGCAGGTGCTTTCCGGGCACGGTTGCTTCGGAAAGTACCTGCACTCGGTCGCTAGGAGGGAACTGAGTCCCGCCTGCCACCACTGCGACTGCAGTGAGGACTCGGCCCAGCACACGCTGGCGGTCTGCCCCGCATGGGCGGCGCAGCGCCGGGCCCTCACTGCAGTCATCGGAGTGGATCTCTCGCTACCGGCCGTAGTACGCTCCATGGCCGGTAGCGACAGTTGTTTTACCGCGGTCGCAACCTTCGACGAGGTAGTAATCTCGCGGAAGGAGGCGGCGGAGAGGGCCCGGGAGGACGACCTCCACTCGGACCCGATCCGCCGCCGGGGAACCGGGCGGCGGAGGCCCGCCTATCACAGCCTCATGCCGCCCTGAGTGTGGCCGCGGGTGGACGGGGTGGGTTTCCCCTCCACCCGCATTAGCTTGGCCAGCCGCGAGGGGGCGGCGTCCGCGTGTGCCGGACGTCGCCTATAAAGAGAGGAAAAACATTGAGACGGAGCCCGCACCAGGAGCGGGCTGGCGCTAGGAGGGGTCCGGATGTCTTAACAACAGCTGTTCCCGGATCCCTCCTGTTACAGGCGCAGAGTGGCACACCGTGTGGTTTTAGTCGGTCCGAGTCCGACACACCACCCCGCCGCAAACCCCGGAGGGGTGACGGTCCGAGGGGATTTCCACAGGTTAAAAAAAAAAAAAAAAAAAAGGGTTTGTGTCAAGTTTTCATTCTCTTTGCAGTGCTGTTGTCTTGCGTAGTTTGCTCCTGTACGGTCCGTACACCAGGGTTTAAAGTTATAGGATAAATCAGTAAACTCAGAGATTAATTTAACTGACTATTTTTATAGATAAAAATGATGTTAATGATAATGATATATGTGAGCCGCGACACGTCAATTGATAGTCGAATATGAACGCAAACTGATTGAAGAATGATTTAATAAATGAATAAATAAAGTACTGTCACAGCCGCTACTACTACCCGCGTTTGTTGTTATAACCGCGGGCAACGCCGTGGGGCAAAGCTAGTCTAAAAAAAGTAGCCTAAGTTACTCCTTATGTCATCAACTATCTGCCACTGAAAGTCCCGTCGAAACCGGTCCAGCCAGCCAGTTCCAGAGATTACCCGGAACAAATAGACAGACAGACAGACAAAAATTGTAATAAATGTTGTTTTGGCATATGTACCGTGTAAACATACATATGCATTTAGTAAAAAGCGGTTATTTTAATATTACAAACAGACACTCCAATTTTATTTATTTGTATAGAGTATAGATGATACGGGAAATGTATAACGTGGCTCGTACAGCTCCCGTACTTGGCTCTTGCTGCACCCACGGGATGAATAGGGTAGGTGACACTCCATATTCTTAATCCAAATAGCATAGCAAAATTATGTTTTTCGTGGATCTAGAAAAGTCTCTAACGTTAATGATCGTTTTTTTGAGGTTATAAATGGGACTGTAAGTTTGTTAGCTCAGATTTCCTTCATTTATGGACTGATCTTAAAAATTATTTTTATTTGGAAAAGTAAACTTCCTGTTTGGTTCCATTAAAATTTGAAAAAAATTGCTGTCCCTTAGGGTGATAATTAATAAATAAAATATTTTGTTTATTACGACTCATTAAGATGGAGTTAGATTAGATCCGCGACACTATTAAGAAAATAATTGTCTTTATCTACCTGACATTATCAAAAAAATTACTATTAGTAGATTATCAAAATAAATCACCTCTTTCTTCAATGACGTTAGGTTTTACCCCAGACACATGTTTGAGGAAAAAACGTCGAGGAAAACCTATAGAATAGAAATAGAAACTCACTTGAAAGTCCCTCTCGTGTAGACAGGCGCTGATGCTGCAATCAGCCTCCATATGAGGCAGCAGATGATCCAGCACCCAGCCACGATCTTCATTGCAGTATGATACGAAGACGTCATAATTGAATATGGTCCCATCTTTAAAACAATACAACATTTAAGGACTACTATAATGGACTGTGAAGTCAATTCGGATTCAATTGATTAAAGGTCAAAACGGTACTTTCTGTAGAGGATTTGGTAGCGTCAAATTGTCAGAGCAACAATTCAAAAATAACGAATCAAATTTTCGAATGTCTTGAATATTCATAATCATCATTCCAGCGAAAGGACGTCTACTACAAACCTTCGGCCTGCAATTTCTTGACCCTGTCGGATTGCAATATTTCGACCCTGTCGATTTGCTTTGTTTCGGTTCTATCGAACTGCGACCTTAATAAACTAATCACTCACTAGTATTTGACTCTTTTACTCCCTTTACCGAAACAAAAAGAAAAAATTAAAAACAAATTACCTACCATCAACAATTTTCTTTTTCTTTATAAATCTCAACAAGGCAGAATTTTTCATTGATATAAATAAATAATCCAAATATCTTCTGACAGGTGGCAACAGCATTACAGCAATCATCGTAAAAGGTATAATTAGTAGTACAAACAAAACATTTCTCCCAACGTCCAGATTGTTAGACATGTTGTTCGAATCTCTTTTAACAGTAAAGCAGTTTTGAACATTCATAATTGATATAAAAATACCATCAGGAACCTTCAAGCACCTAAAATCAGACTTGTCGTAATCTATCAAACGGAATCTGCCAGTTTTTTCTATTTTCGTTTTTCCTTTAAACACAATTGGTGTCCTATCAAATATGATTCTGTTATAAAAATAATAACCTCTATGATATAAGTGCTCTGCAGGATTTATCTCTTTGATCTTTGTATCATTCAATTTATTTTCATTAGCTGCAGCCATCTCGAAAAACTCTCTTACGTCGCAGTAACATACAATAAAATTGTTTGACAAACCTATGAAGTCAACTCCACTTAAGTCTCGTATCATTGTAGGTGATAACACATTTATGTTATTCTCACTCAAACTGAGGAACCTCAGGTTTGGCATCAAAGAAAAAGTTCTGTTTGTCCAACTGATTACCCTGTTCACACTCAAGTCTAAGATTTGTAAGTTGGTTAAAGTTGAGACAACATCGGGTGGTATATGAACGATTTCGTTTCTAGATAATCGAAGAATTTCTAATTTACTAAAATTTTCAAATATATCAATGTATTTAAGACCTGTACCACTTGCGGACAATATTCGGAGTGTACTCTCTAAATCTCCTAAAATGTTGGATTTAGCCAAAATACCGTGATTGTTTGATATGTCAAGAATTTCCAATGGCATTGCTGAGAAAATTCTGGGTTGTAAGTCTGTTAAACCTGTATTGCATATTGACAGACTCTTCAGTTTCTTAAACCCCATAATCATGCCGCGGTGATCTGGACTAAGGCTTGAGTGTGATAGATCCAGTGATTCTAAATTATCCAAGTGTTCAAATGCTAAAAATGAGTCTGTTTTCAAAGACTGTAGTTGTCCATCTTGGTCTGTTGGAGTGTTACTACTCAAATCCAGGTGAAGTAAGTTATGCTGTCCTATAAATACTTCGGGGTGAATATAGAAGATCTCATTTTCTCCTAAATAAAGAGCTTCTAATTTTGGCATTCCAGAAAAAATATACGAATGCAAAAATTTTATAGAGCACGCTCTTAAATCTAATTCTTTAAGGTTAGGGAATTCAGTCTGTCTCAGGCTAGATGACCACGTGTTATCTGCTTCTGAAATAAAGATGAAAATTCTGACTGATTTCAAAAAAATTAAAAACTTTAGGTTTTGCTTACGCATGTATTTCGGAGATATCTAACTAGCGTCGGAGCCGACTGAAAATGTCTGAGAACTTCTTTTTCTCTATAAACGTATCCTGGAACTCGTAAGGAACTACCAATTTTATAACTTGCTTGGTGTTGAGGGTATGATGCTGGAGCCAAGCAGTGGATAATAGCAATCTTTTTAACCGTCAAAAAATGACGTGGTTCTCTATTCGGCTAAATTTTTATACTTGTCACCTTAGAACACTGGTTTTTATCAACCGGTTTGATTTTTTTGACAGTTTTTCCTTTCCGTTTGGTCCCATTAGGGTGGAAAATTAAGGAATGATGAATACAGCTTATTACAGTTCATTATGATATAGGCGCATTGAAGTCGATGATATTTTTTAGGGTTCCGTAGCCAAAATGGCAAAAAAAGGAACCCTCATAGTTTCATCATGTCCATCCGTCCGTCCGTCCGTCAGTCGGTCTACACCATATTTCACAGATCTTTGAAAAGTGTATTAATTACTATTTCGTTCGCTTCTATTAAAAGTTTTTTTAACTAATTAATGAATTAATACTTACCATTACTTTTAGGACTGATAGGCGTATTTACTGGAGCTGTTTCAGTGGCAGAGTAAAGTTCCTCAACTTCCGTGTTAGGAGCATGGGCATCATCAAAATTGTTGCCATAAAAACTCATAAACTCTACCGTTTCTGATAGAAAGCTACCACCACCGATGCTCATCTGATATATCTGAAAAAGAAAAACATTTCCTTATCTCTGCACAGCATAAAAAAGATCTTGAAAATTGTATGCACATTACGTCACGTCAACAGCCTTTAATAGTCCACTACCGGCCACACAGGAAACCGGTGTTAAGCAATTCTTTCGTTGCATTTCACTGAGTGAGTGAGGATACCGGAGCCCGAATCCCCCCTCCCGCTGACTCAAGCGGGAGGGACTCCAAGGGCAGCAACGCACTTGTAACTTTTGAGTTGCAGGTTTCCATGGGCGGCGGTAGTTGCTTACCATCAGGTAACCCATCTGCTTGTTTGCTCCCTTATACCATAAAAAAAACCTGACATAGCCCTCAACTTAGAAAGACGGTTTTGGGCTAGGCAACAGTCGGTTTGCTATAGAGTTTGTGTCAAGTTTTCCTTTTCTCTTCAGTGCTGTCCTGCGTAGTTTCCTCCCTTACGACACCCGGGGGATGAAACGAGGCGGATGACACACCGAATTCTTTATCCGTCACCACACAGAAAGCGGTGAAGAAACTATATTGGTGGTGGGGATTTTTTTATGGTAGAGGAAGCTAACAAGCAGACGGGTTGCACGGTGGTAAATGAGTCCCGGGTGATCCGCCACCCAAGGACACCCTATGGAAACTCAAGAGACACAAATGAGTTGCCGCCCTTTCAGTGCTCCCCCCATACCCCCCTCCCCCTAAAGCTAAAATAGCGCCAATAAAATGACATGAACAGTTACCATAATAAAAATAAATTAGTTACCGGTGGTATTTCGGTGAGAGCGCTGTTCGCGAAGCTTATGTATTTAATGGGATAGTAGATCTGGGTCGTGTGGTCCGTCAATTGGTGCAACACCTGCACAGGGTTCTTGGTGTAAGACAAGTCTAGAGAGTAGTTGTATTCAGCTGAAATGTTTGAAAATAGTAATAATAATATTTTAACTAACACACAACGCCATCTAGTTTCAAATTAAGCAGAGCTTGTACTATGAAAGCTAGATTGACTGATGGAATACCAAAAAATCTAAACCCCAAAACAAATATTTGCAGATCATACAAACATTTGGTACGGCCTGGGCATCGAACCCGAGACCTTAGTACGGCAGTCGCATACGCTCCTACTACACTACTGAGGCAAATGAAATTATTAGGAATTAAATGCCGGGTTTATGTGTATAATACATAACATATAATACATATTATAGAAGAGGAAACTTTAAACTTTAAAATGTAAACTTAAAAAAAACATGTTTTTGTGCGCTTACAATGCAAAGGCCGGCTAAACCTTCGTGATAGATCAAATGTTCACACACTGTGCCACTACGTATCGTGGCAGGGTATAGCTGATTGTATTATAAACAGTAATAATAATAATATCTTTATTAATTTCTTAAACATCTTACAATCTAGTGGCTGGGGTCTCCTGTTAGGCAATGAGAAGCCTGTGTTAGGAGACTCCGCTCCTCCTAATGTTCCACGATAGCGTAACAGTAGGTATACCGTGTCTGTTTGTCTAGTAGTGAGTGACCCTGACTACTAAGCTAGAGGTCGTAGGTTCGATCCCTACCAAGGACAAATAATTGTGATGAAAACGATCAGTTATTTCGTATCTGAGTGTAATTTGTAATATGTACATATTTCGACTTTTACAGTGCCTAAGGGACGATCTGATGAATACTGAAATAGTGTATGCGGACCATCATTCTAATTCGAAAATCATTGGAATTTTCTGCCGGCAAATACCTACATCCTTTTTTTATAATTTTCCTTTTTTTAGCTTAAAATGATATCACAATGAGTAAAGTACCGTATTTTTTTATAAATACCGCATACAATAAAAAACTGCGATGTAATTAATTAAAATGCCGAAGCGCGCGAAGCCTGCCCTGCGGCCGCCAACTCGTTAGTATGCGTAGACCGTTTGCACGATATCCGAATGTACCTGGTCATTACTTTCCACGGGGAAGAACCTTAACCTTTAACAGCCGATTGCATAAAACGTTTAATTTGCCGCCAGAAAATTCCAATGTTTGTGGTCTGAATACACTATTTCAATATTCGTTACACCGTCCCTTACACCCTGTATAAGTATGTTTATCAAGCAGCCTGGTTGCCATAGTTCCTACAGGTTCTGTCTCGTTTGAGATCAGATGGCAACTACAACTCAAACACAAGAAATTTCATTAAAATTGATAAAGCGACTTCGGAAGAGTTCAATGACACTCGTGTACAGAAAAAGTATGTGTCAAAATATCTATTGTGATTTTGCAAGTTTTTTACCAATACGAGAGTAGGGGCGTTTAAGTGAGTGTATATATTTATTTGTCTTTGGCACGCTCTGTAGCCAAAACGGCTCCATGGATTTCGGCTTAAGAGGTGTCGTTGAATTCGTCTTAATTATGAGAGTTGCACAAATGAAAATTACAAAAATTAAAATCCCTATGCATTCTCACGCAGTCAGGGTTATTCGTTTTCTTTTCTCAATAATTAGCCCATTACTGTGCCTAGTTAATATCTGGTGTAATACAGAGTATTATATTAAAATCATTAGGTAGAACTCACAGCGGGCAACACTCAACGCTCCTAATCCATTGACCCATGATTGTCTGTCCGTCATATGACCGCTGAGGCAGTTTCGTCTTGCTGAATATCTTGATATTTCACAGGATATGATAACAGGTAGATAGCAGCATGTTCTAGAAACATAAAGAATTACAAACAAATCATAAAATCGATAATTAATAAATATACTCGATATCGGATTCCTTTTTTATTACTTCGAGTAATATCTTTTGAATTATTATTTCACAGAATTTCCGCATATGACAAATCAACTTATAAACTAAATGCTTTACGCGTTTTCATGTAAAATAATCTGTTCCATTTTATTTATTTACTTTTATTTTACATTTCCTGCATTACATTTTGCACGAGGCGGACTTAATGGCACATGGCATTATCTACCAGTCAACCTTTAAATAGTTCAGTAAGGGACATGGCATATGTACAATTAAGCTATGAACTAAGCATTTATAAATATAAAAATAACACCTAATAGTGTTATTTCAAAGTACCGACATGCACGAATACACAAATACATATTTATGTAATATACATACAGAATAAAATATGTACGATAATTTCTGTACCTGAAGTTACGCGGTCATGAGGATATTTCTGCTAGGTGTTTAAATTTACTTCAATTATTCATTTTATTAAATTATATTCCTCATCATCATCATCATCACTTGCCCAAAATAGGTTCGGGTCGTCTTTTAGTTTACTACGACACGGCTGACCTCCACGACGCAAGTGCTAGGCGATATCAAAGTTCTGTAGAAAGACTATTGTCGGAATTTTTAGGACGCCAACTACCCGTAACGATTTCTTTAAGTACACAAATAAAATTAAAAGAAAGCAAATATAATAAAACATAGTTTTACAAAGTGGTTCTTAACTGTATTGTCTAGCCTATTTATATTTGGATGGATGCATGAGCATGGATTTTTTATGGTATAGGGGGTAAAACCAACAGATGGTTCACCTGATGAACACCTGAACACCTGCAACTGAAGAGTCAACAGTGCGTTACCACCCTTTGAGTAAGAATCAAGTCAATAGTTCAACACCCTCCTGTGTTCAGGCACTGCTCACCTCACAGGCTCGGTGAAAAGCAGTAAAAAAAATGCTTAGGACTAGTTTTCTGTGAGGCCGTTTTAATACTCAGGTCGAACCCATTTGTACCGAAGGATGGCTCTCCCACGACATTTTATTTTTGAAGTGAAAACTTCTTCAGGCGCGTTGGGCATTTTTGAACAACAAACAAAAGAATGCATTTTTGAGTTGTTTTTTTTCTCTATATTTTATTTATATCTTTTTCTTTACAAATTCACATTTAAATTGAACCTTAACCTATATTGAAAATGAAGCAATGTTTGTTTTGAAAGTTGTGTACAGTTGTAATTGGACTTCAGGTTCGCTCACTGTTTATTATTAAGGTCATTCTTTGTATGTCTTGACCTGTTGTCTGTATCTGTACCTATTGAATAAAATAAAAGTTAGGTAAAATATTGCTTTATCGCGAAATCGTGAGCAAGCCTCGTCTCGCCTGTCTCTCAAATCTATTTATTTATACCTGGGAGCCGGGTTGCAATACCAGACGCCTACAGACCAGCGCACTATATGGTGTTTGAACGAAAAAACGGACATATTATTTTGATTTTAATCTATCGATAAACGAAATCATTTTCAAGGGAAGAGTAGAACTGCCGTGCGACAATTTTGATTTAAACGTAAGATATTTTATATTAAAGTATTTCCACGGCAAATATAATGATGCCCTTGAAATATGAGGGATCTTGAAACATCTTTAATTAAGCTATCGGCACACCTCCAGCGTCTGAACACTAAAAGCGCAGGCACCACCTTTGAGCAAAACTCTTTCATTAAGTCCGAAGGTGCCTAGACGTCGCTTCCTCGCTACAGGTAATTATGGCGTGTGGATGGGGAATTCTGTTTTACTATTTCTGGAAAGTGCGCTTCTTACTGGGTCCAAGTGGAGATTTTCCCGCCTTCTGCGAGATGACGTCATCGTAGAAGGTTGGACTGCGGTAAAACTCCTCACGCTACCGGTCATGGAGATGGTTGCTGGTGAATGGTGCCCCCCCTATCCACTCTATTATCACCAGCTGGAAAAGCCAGACATTTTAGGCATTGTGGGGCAACAACTGACCACTGATACGGTATGGTACGTCTATGGCTCCAACCACCATAACCCTCTCCAGGGTAACCCGGACAACCTTTACGGGAGATTGACGATTTTCCGCCGAAATAAATAAATAAATAAAAAACAGTACGGTGTAACTTAATTTGTGAAATCAAGAAAGCATAACAATCGCAAACGATACGAAACTTAAAATAAAGGGGTTTTATATTTTTGATTAATTAAAAATCTGGCATAGCATTTTTAAGCTTTCACTTGTTGAACTGATTGCAAATACGAGTATTTAAAAATATATATTCATTTCTGGAATTTGCAACTGATACATAGGTGATGAAATTATAAACTTCCATCACAGTAATATCACACGTGTTGAAATTCATTACATCGAGTATGAATAGATGAATCTCACAAAGCAATGATATCCGGTCAAATTAATTAGTAATGAACCAACTTACAATAAAATCCTGAAAAACATTTTCAGTTTCATCTGTTCGTCCAATTAATTTGAGTCAAACACATCCTATGTTTTACAAAAACACGCACAAGTCTTAAAACCGTTCACTTAATACATTATACGAAAAGCACAATACAAAAACTATAAAAATTGCGTAGTTTTAAGTAATATAAATGGCTAATATACGCACACGATACACAATTATCAATATGTATTGAATTCTTGACAGATTAACTCAATATACATATCTTATCAACAAACTGATGATAGATACGGGTTTAGCGTCCATTTTGTTAAGTTATCTGTTATAAACAAGTAAATTTCACACCATAATTTCTGATTATTCATTTCAAACATAATATATTTTCATATTATACATAATAGGTACAGCGTACAGAATGTTCACCAGTTGAATTTAAAGGAAAAACGACTTCTAGAGCTACGCTATTAAGTGTAATTTTGCTCAACCCTCAGTTGGCTTATGTAACCTTTGATTTTTTTATGTGTTGTTATGACCAATCTTTAACAATCTAATCTTTAAAGAATTAAATTGTCTGTCGCAAAATACAATATCGGCCACAATATTTTATAAGTGTCTTATTGGCTTACCTTTTCAGCTTATTATTGAATGCGTACTATCTGTTATTCTCACATTGCGCTTAAATTTGAGGGAGGACCCCACCGTGAGGGAGCCAAGGTACGAAACATAAGGGCTGGCCCAACAGGAGTATACCAAGGTCTCACAAAAAACCGGTGTTGATCAATTCTTTCGTCTCGTGAGGTTATCTAAGAAACAATAATAATAATAATAACTCCACCAATAATAATAAATAACAACTCCAAGCTAGGCAAAGCCTGTTCTTTTGTAACTAGACAGCTGATAAACATACATATACATTTCTTAATACATACATATTATAGATAAATTAAAGAACCACCTCAATTAAAAAAAGGGCGTACATTCAAAGGACTTATGTCTCAGGAGTGTCAGGTGTCGATGGACGGTGGTATTCACTTACCATCAGGAGATTCACCTGCTCGTTTGCCCTCTATATCATAAAAGAAGAATAAACACATCTTTGATATAATCTACTGTTCTATACTGTATATAAATTAGTAACGTCCGAATGGGGATGTTTTATACGTCTCTGCTCACCTTTTCTTTTATATTGGCGTGAGTATATAGTATCATCATCGTCATCAACAGCCTTTAACAGTCCACTGCTGGACATAGGCCTCTCCTTAGAAAGGAGGTTTATGCCTACTATACGACGCTGGCCAGACGGGTTGGTATCTGTAAGGTTTGTGTCAAGTTTTCCTAAGATTTCGTATATAGTAAGTATGTTTTTTTTTTATGGAATAGGGGGGAAACGAGCAGACTGGTCACCTGATGGAAAGCGACTTCCGCCGCCCATGAGCGCCTGCAACTCAGGAGTCACAATCGCGTTACCGTCCTTTTAGGAAGGAATAGGTTATATGTATTTAATCCGATTTATCTTATCCATGCTGCAAAATTATCAAATTGATAAATATTTATATTTTTCGTGTTTGGACGATATGTACTATATTTCTAGTAAATCATTAACACATATATTATGCATTTACTACATAAAAATACAAATAATCTTTAATGCTGATACATCTTTACAAATAAATAAAATTGAACATGTTTGTAATGTCAAAATAATGGGTTTTTTGAAGAAAACCACACGATTTTCTTCAACGATACCTATACCTAAAAACTATTTTAAATATTTTTTGTCTGTCTGTCTGTCGGTCTGTCCGCCTATCTGTCTGTCTGTTTGTTCCAAATAATCTTCTAACGGCTGGACCGATTTTGATAATATACTACCATTTAGCTGTCTATGTAAGGAGTAACTTAGGCTATTTTTTCTCAGAAAAAGCCTTTAAAATTTTGTCCGGTCCGGGAATCGAACCCACCACTAAGGCAGCGCTTTTCAAATTCATTTTTAACATACATTATTTTTATTCAACTATTCATACTTCCATACTTATATTATAAATGTGAAAGTCAGTTTGTTTGTGTGTTTGTTCCGCTTTCACGCCTAAACTACTCAACTAATTTTAAAAATTCTTTCACATATGGAAATCTACATTATCAGCGAGTAACATAGACTACTTTTTAATGCGATAACCGACACACACGCAGGCGGAGCCACGGGCAAAAGCTCGTACTTTATATACAATACAATAACAATTTTATGCATAAATTATTCAATAGTACGAATACAATTATAATCTACGTCATCGGTAACGTTACTATCAGTTTGTGCTTTGACATAGGGTTCTCCTAAGGTTCTCTATATTCCTCTATTTGCGGCATTTTTTTGCCATGTTATCATCCCAGCAATTTTTATTTTAGACTATATCCCAACTTATGTTTTGACGGTCCTATCCTTCTTTTTCATCTACAGAGTACCACACACTTCTTTTGTTCATTTTCGATGTGAAACATTTCGTTTTGAGTACGATATTTCAAATTTCTAAAACTAGTATCTAATTATATCCTTAGTAGCACAATTTAATCTAAGATTTCTGGAGGAACGGATGTCGCGTCCGGCCAACGCAGGGTGAATCCTCGGGCCAGGCAAGGTGACCATGCCCGTCGTCAACGGTCCAGGTCCAACGGTTGATGTTGGGAAGTTGATAGAGCATATATATTGAGACAATTCTATCATATATTTATATGATAGAATTGTTTACATCGCGATACAGGCCTAGCAGTTACTCCGTAGTTCGGTGTGTCTTCGATAGATAGCGCTGTAGTATGTTTCTTCGTTTCATTCTATGTGGAAGACGCCACAGATTCATTTCCATAGCAGCAAAAAACCGAAACTTTCACAAAGTGTCCTGTATGTTACACAGGACTATGGTTAACCTAAATCCAAAATTTAATTCAAATTCGTCGAGTGGTTTTTACGTGAATCGACCACAGCACAAAGACAATCAGACAAGAATTTTAAAAATCATATTTTTGGCATCTATAACATCTACAAAGACCCTGTGCTATTTTTCATTTGTTTTCCAAATAGAATGATTATTTTGATTTGATGAATGATTATTTGATGAATGAGATGATTATTTATACAGGTGTAGGTGACACTTGTATAAATAATCATCTGTTTTTCTGACGTTCAATAGTTTCCCAGACTTACTTTTCTGAGTTAGATTTTTTTAACTAATGTTAGCCTATAAAAGTAGTGTGGAGGCACGGGTGTTATGTCCCTCCAGCACAAAGGGAGGATCCTCCGACCAGGCGAGGTGATCATACCTGGCGGGCCGCGGCCCAACGGTTGATGTTGGGAAGTATATTTGCTAATCGGCGAGAGAATTCTTCATATCACGATACAGGATTAGCAATTCTTATTTAGTAGTTACTCCGTAGTTCCATGTGTCTTCGTTAGATGACGCTGTAGTATGTTTCTGTTTCTTTGTCTGTGGGAGTCGCCACAGTAGTATAAAATTACATAGAACAAATAGGACAAAAATCGCATATTTTTAGGTTACATCAGTATGTGGAACTGGCTCCATGGCACTACTGGGAATAAATATCCACTGAGGTACGGGACACATAACTCAACTCATGTTTTATATTTTTAGCTTCCTAATGTGTGGAGTATGGTATAAGAACAGATATTGTACAAATTAATTATATCCAAATTGTACTCACATATTCGCAAATGGATAAGAAACAAATAAATAAAATACACATAAATTTATTGTGTAAACTTGCAATAAAATATCTACATGCATAAAAGTTATTTCTCGTCTTCACCAGTCCAGCTCCCGAAAGCTCTTCAGCCAATGAAGTACCAAGTTCAATATCGAGCGCCTCCTCCTCCTCCCCCAGGAGTCACTCGCACTCCTGAAGAGATTGAGGAGGAGATCAAGAGGACTGAAGCACAGCATCAGAAGCTCGCTCTAGTTTTTATTGAGTAAGTAAACTACTGAATGTCGAACCCACAGTCGGTATTGCAGTAAAAAGGATGTCCTATGTCCTTCTTCAAGAATCAAACTATCTCCATATAAAAATTTCATCTAAAGCAGTTCAGCGGTTATTGATTCCACATACTAACTTCCACCCCCCTTTTCATCCTTTTAAAGGGTGATTTCTAGGATGAAAACTAGTCCTTACCCGAGATTCATTTTATCTTTTTTATCTTTTGATTAACAAGAAGTTAAGTGATTTTAGAGGATTTCTTTTGATTTACTAGCTGGTATCCGCAACTTCGTTTGCGTAGAATTTGAAAAGCTCTGCCTTAGTGGTGGAGTACGTTATGCGACAGCAGTCCATGAGGCCTCGGGCTCGAATCCCGGACCGGGCAAAATTTCATATAGGGGTTTTCTGAGAGGAAAGCCTAAGTATATAGCCTAAGTTACTCCTTGTGTACACAGCAACCTGGTAGTAAAATATTATCAAAATGTTTGAAGATTACCCGGAACAAACAGATAGACAAAAAATATTTAAAATGGTTTTTAGGCATAGGAACGGTGCAAATAACCGTGTTAGCATGAAAAAAACCTATTATTTTAACACAGACACTTTAATTTTATTTATTTGTATAGATAACATCCTTGATCTCGGAAAGATCTGTCTGTCTGTTTGTTCCGGGTAATCTCTGGAACGGCTGGACCGATTTCGACAGGACTTTCACTGGCAGATAGCTGATGACATAAGGAGTAACTTAGGCTACTTTTTTTAGACTAGCTTCGCCCCGCGGCGTTGCCCGCGGTTATAACAACAAACGCAGGTAACACCGCGGGTCTCAGCTAGTTAAAAATATAACCGAAAGTTAATAGAACAGTTATTTGGTAGTTTTATCATGAAAGATTTGAAAATAGGTAATTTTATAAATTTCAATGTCATCCTTTTACATAAAATCAATAAAAAATGTGATTGCATAAATTGTAAACAATTTGCTGTGGTTTTCGTTTTGTATTTAAATATATTTACCGTGTAATGAGTCGGCAAGGAGATATTGTCATAAAGATAATGATTAGATAGAGGAGAGAAGCGAGCTACAATCCGGCGGCGTTGGTAGAAAGGGAAAGAAGACGGCGATTTTCACGCGTCTGTCTCGCATCTATTCGCTGTTCGGTTTGCATGAAGTGATAACCGTCTTCTTTCTCTTTCTATCGACGTCACTATTCCACTCACAGGCAATCGATCAGGCTCTATGAAAATCAACGAAACAATTACTGAGCACCAGTTTTCTATGAGGCCAAGGCTGTTGTCGGACAGTCCAAGCTCTCTGTGTAATCTGTTATAGAATATAATTATAAACTGGTTAATAGGCTTCCTCAAGAGGTGATGTGGACGGAGCCTCCGGTGGTGTGCCAGTGGCAGGAGGCTCGCAAACTCTGGACAACGAACTATGTCAACGATTATAAGTTCAATGAAGATAAGTTGACTGTACAATTTAGAACTGGTGTTCTATGTAAGTAGCTGTGACACCAATACTACCGGCAACTATCCGGTGTTCGGCCTATCTACCCGAAATCACTATTCGGCCGGATACCATATGCTTTATCGGCCAGATAGTTGTCTGCGTAATTACTATAGTAAACAAGTATACGGCCGAATTCCGGATAGTACATTTAGGTACATCCCATTACAAACATAATTACTATTTTTTTTATAACAATATTATTAATCTTTAAAATATAGTAATATAATAAATGAATACCTTTTTCTCTGTATTAAGAATAAATAAACTTGATGTTTTCGTTCTTCTAGACCGGGCTAGCTAGAAAACCAGTATGCCGCTGTATATACTAATAGTTTTGATTTGTAATCTCTCTGATGTTTCTGGTATCCGTGGAAGTAATTTCGTGACACGAGTAAGAGGCGGAAGTATGTAAATCCGGGAAAGCTCGCCTTTTTTTAATAATGAGCGCGCGTGTGGTGACCTGTTAAGAATACGGAATGTCACCACCCCTATTCGTCCCGTGGGTGTCGTAAGAGCGGACTATGGGAGCAAACTACGCAGGATAACTGCACTGCAAACTTGAAACAAACCCTATACCAACTCGTCTGGCCAGCGTGGTATAGTAGGCCAAAACCAACTTTATAAGGACAGGCCTATATCCAGCAGTGGACTATTAAAGGCTGTTGATGTGATGCGCGGCGCTAGAGCTCTCCGTCAGATGGTAGATTAGATATCAGGTGTTACACGTCATATGCGACTGGTGTAAGGCTAGCTCGATTTTTTTATTGAGCTATATTTTCCAATCTTACAATTTGTGTAGGCCGCAAATTAAATTAGGAGGATGGCAAAATAATTGTGAATATTCAGTGATTTCTTCGTTCATCTTTAGAAGTTTTACATGAAGGAGTAGTGGCAGAAGTGTCTGACTGGTTGCAGTCTATCGAGTTTTTTTTTTAAATTAAACTTTATTTGTACTAGAAATGTTATATGTCGCTTTATGTATATTTGCATTGGTTTATTTATATACATGCGTACAAATATAGGTACGCCCCTATGCAATCCCTCTATCAAAAAACAAAGATCGACTCTGACTCGCAATGGTGCATACTATTGTGAATCAGAGTCGATCTTTGTTTTCTGTTGTTTGTGTCATTGCACCTCTTATGTATTTATTTTTGTACAGGGCCTATTGGTATAGCTGTGTTGAAGTACAGCAATATGCCTTACCAAGGATGGGACATGAAACCGGATCCCTATTCGTAAGTACAGACGTACATATTATGAGTTTCAGGTGGCCATCCTATGGCCACCTGAAACTCATAATATGTATGTACGTGCCTCCTCCTCCACCTCCTGGTAGAGGAGTTGGAGAAGGAGGAGGAGTGATCACTTACTTACTAAAGTTGACTACTCCCGCACTAGGAATAAATCCTGTGTCGCGGGGACTTTACAAACATTCATGAAACGGGCACAAAGTACACCCAGACTCAGAACAACAATTTGTAAATCACACAAAGTGTTGTCCCATGTGGGGATCGGACCCACAACACTCAGCGCAGTAGTAAGCGGCGTGGCGACCGCTTAAACCACCACGCTATCCGTGCAGTAACATGTCGATGTGAAATATCATGAATGCATTTTAATTTTTTATGATTTAATAACATTGTTCAATTATTGTGCCTACTACACTATTAATTCTTTTTTTTATTTGATTTAAATATTTGACTGCCTCGGTGGCGCAGTTTTAGCGTATGCGACTGCTGTACTTAGGTCTCCGGTTCGATTCCTAGGTCGGACCAAATGTTTCTATGATCTGCAAATAAATGTTTCGGAGTTTGGGTGCTTTCAATGTAAAATATGTATGTATTTACAAAAAAAAGTATAAGAGTATTCTATCAGTCAATCTAACTTTCATAGTTCAAGCTCTGCTTAGTTCGAAACTAGATGGCGTTGTGTGAGGGAGATTTCTCTATATCCAGGCTTATTTGAGAGAATATATTCTCTCAAATAAGCCTGGAAATGCTACTAAGTTTAGATTAATTGTTATATTATAGACCATAATAAGTATATATACACTTAGATAGCAATAACTATTTTGATTTTGAGTAACGGAAGACTTAATACACACCGGTTTTCTGTTAAGCCGTAATACGCAGTAGTACCAACAGATTTAAAATACTTTTTCTAGCAAAGGTGTTCTCATCACGGTGACCGGCCTCTGTGTGACTGTGACCTGGCTGTGTCTGGGTAACTATGTACGTCTCAAGTTCATCGCCAACTCCCCTACTTCGGCACTCAGGGAACACTTTAACAAGCCGTACTCCGTTAAAAGGATGGTTCAGGTAAAGAACAAACATGTCTGCGTTACTTATGTGTTTTTAAATAGGATTATAGATGAATATCATACCGAACCCATGGTCTCCGTCTTAGCAGTCAGGGTCCAACCACACGGTGTGTCATATTGCGCATTAAATAGGAGGGATCTCTAGCAAGAGTGCGGTCATCACCGGGTCAGAAGTCTCTTTAAGCCAACGTCCAGGCGCACGCGGACATCATTCGAGTGCATAACTCAACTTCTAGAATTAACAAAAATCCTCGTACACAACTACGGTAAAGGTAAATGGGATTTTGAATCGCAAGTATCTTCTCCAGTTAATGCGCGAGGCTGGCTGCGACTTCTTCCCGGAATTCGACGCACACGACCACGTGGAAGGCTCCTCGCACAAAGAATGGGTGATGGAGCGCCATCATTATAATGCAATGGCGTTTCTTTCAAGAGCTTATAACTTTCAATGGAGCAGGTATTTAGAAAATTATTATATACTAGCTTTTGCACGCGGCTCCGCCTGCGTTTATGTCGGTTATCGTGGTCTACTTCTTCGTTGTACCAACGGGTGAATCACATCACATCACATCACATCAACAGCCTTTAATAGTCCACTGCTGGACATAGGCCTCTCCTTAGAAAGGAGGTTCCTTAGAAAGGAGGGTCAACGGGTGAATACCCTTAAATTTTGTCCGTCCAAAAACCACGACAGCCACGGCATTTTCCGTTGCTCACCACAGCTCCTCACACACATTTGCTTTTTGTCCACTGTGCCCCTCCAGCTGCACAGTGGACAAAAAGCAAATGTGTGTGTAAATGGTTTGCATTGGAGAGCCACATTCACAGTGCGTTTGCGACTAGTCGATGCAGCCCCAATTTATAAAATAGCTTATGTTACTCGCTGATAATGTAGCTTTCCATTGGTGAAAGAAGTTCTAAAATCGGTTTAGCGGTATAAGAGTGAAAGCGTAACAAACAAACACACTTTACATTTATAATATAAGTATCGAAGTATGGATTATTAGGTCTAAAAATGTATTAAAGAAAGGTTTATGTATGAAAATTGACGGATGTATTTATTTATTATAGATCGCCAACAGTATACATATACAACATTGTTCAAAATACGGATATAAGGATAGTTCTTATAAGTAGACCAATTAGAGGCATGCACAGTATACATCATTGGATAGACACACATACAAGTAGTAGCAAGATTAAGATTAAAGTGGAGGCGCTCCAGCCGGTCATCGTCGAAAGGTCAGGGCGGCAGCACGGGACCCTTTCCTTCCGGCTGACGCAGGTCCTTTTCGGGCACGGCTGCTTCGGGAAGTACCTGCACTTGGTCGCTAGGAGGAAATTGAGTCCCGCCTGTCACCACTGCGATTGCGGTGAGGACTCGGCTCGGCACACGCTTGCAATTTGCCCGGCTTGGGTGCCGCAGCGCCGGGTCCTCATTGCAGTAATTATGGGGGATCTCTCGCTACCGGCTGTCATACGCTCCATGGCCGGTAGTGACAAGTGTTTCACCGCGGTCGCATCCTTCTGCGAAGACGTCATCTCGCAACAACCTCAAGTCGACAGCACGACAACACCACGCTGCCGCAAACCCCGGTGGGGTGACGGCTCGAGGGGGTTTCCACGCGTAAAAAAAATGTCACGAAAAAATCGCTTGACATAGGTTTTCGGGTCCTTAAGTAACGAAGTGTATCTCTAATAGACTAAAAGGAAACTGAGGCGTTTTAAAATCTCCCATATGGTTTTTATTTAGGTGGAACGCAGAAGCAGACTCTCGCAACATGATTATGCAGATGCGGGAAGTCGTCGATCCGAAAAGAGAGGTAACAGCTGCTAAATTATCTCTTATCTATATGAATATTCTTTATTTTCTCTTCTTTTTTATCCTCAATGTAGCAGATCACATGACCAAGAAGCATATTGTATTACTGTTACATATAAGCCTTGGCAGTCACACAGTTTTAGTTGTAGTTTGTTAACGAGCACGTTTCTCCGGCTAGTGGTTTCCCTCCCTCGGTACGAGAGAGTGATAGCCCTTTTAGAAGCCCACACACTCGTACTTTAGACCATGAACAACACAATGGTCCACACAGAGTTTTGCCATCGCGACGTCTTGTGGCGTTACTGTGTTCACGCTCAGCACTCCACTAAAGTGTGCAATCATTATAGTGGTATTGATTACTATCGAATTTAATATACATCATCAATAGCCTTTATTAGTGCACTGCTGGATATAGGCCTCTCCTTAGAAAGGAGGTTTTGGCCTACTATACCACGCTGGCCAGACGGGTTGGTACAGGGTTTGTTTCAAGTTTTCCTTCTCTTTGCAGTGCTGCTTAGTTTTGTTCCCTTACTCGGCTCCAACGACACTCACAGAATGAATAGGGGTCTTGAAACTGTGTTCTCTTAATCTTTCAACACACTGACAACAGTTATCCAGATAGGCGTCGCTTAAAACGGGGAATGTGAGTGACAGTGGATCAATTCTTTTTCTAACACTGTGACTCAAAATTGGGTCACTTTATGTCAGTGCATAGCTGACAAGTAATAACTTGGGTTGTTGGTTGGTAAAAAATCCCTAATCGTATATTCTAAGCAGTTTCACAAATGTGTGTGTGCGTGTGTTTGTAAGAAAGTAGAAAACAGTATTCATTTCTAAGAACACGACAGTTTTTACAGAAAAACAATTACAAATATAAATACATTTGTACGTGTGTACGTGTGTTAATTGATTCTGATTAAGAAGTAAAAAGCGTAACAGAAAGACAGATTTACTTTCGCATTTATAATATTATTTTGTGTTTAATCGAATTTGCTAAGCAACTGTTCGGAATATTCTATTCAACACTAAAAATAAAGTTTATGAAGTCTCATGAAAATTTGATTGTAGATTGTTTTTCTATAATCAATAATCTTTAGATAATTAATATATATATTAATATATTGGCAACGATTGCATTATTTACCAAGCACTCACCTTTTTTTTTTAACCCGGGGAATGCTTTTCGCACCATACCCTCCGTTGGGGAACCGGATTACCCACTCAACCCCGCGGCGGCCTACCTCGGCAGTCAGGAGAAGCTCCAGGAACGCATCAGCGGCTTCTGAAGTCCTCCCTGCCGTACTCCATATCCGAAGCACATCCCATTGACCAAGCACTCGCCTAGACATTATACCTACATTCGAAGCTACATCGATGATCTATTGTATCCCCTGATCTACCGTGACCCACTCTTCCTTACCTGATGTCTACGTTTGAATACTTAAATTTAAAATTTAAACAAACGATTTGAAAATTTTCATTGTGTATTGTATTCTACTAGCCAAGCCCTTTCATTTGATACCCATATTGGAGGAGTTGTAAAAAATATGTAATCCGTCATTTTGTGGCGACGGCTATCTTGGACCGATTTTCACATAACATCTCCCGACTAATTCACCTTTCAAACAAAAAAAAAAATCAAAATCGGTTCATCCGTTCAGGAGCTACGATGCCACACACACACACATAAAACTAATAATAAAGTACACAAATTCATACAGATTGTATTGATTTCAGTCCAAGTTATCACTCCTTCACGTGACCCCTCAGCGAGCCACCATATTGAAATGCAATGAAATGACTCCAGAAATAAATTACGACCCAATGGTTGGTTTCCCGGTAAGTTAATATTTAATACTTCCACACATTCTCCTAGCCTTTACCCGAACTAGATTAGGGTCGGTTTTAAGTCTACTGCGATATGGTTGAACTTCGAATATTTAGCGACTGCCTTCGGTGATTTCGAAGTTCTGTAGAAGAACTCATTAGGGTTTCAAAAAAAAAGGGTAACGATTGCCACAGATGTTCGTGTAGCAATCGGGACCGAGGGCTTAACGTGTTCTCCGAGGCACGGAGGGGTCTCAATGTGTCAAGTATGGTCCCCATCCAAAAACTGACCTGCTTAGAATTGCTTAACTTTGAAATGTGTTAACCTACTCGGTTACTATTTAATCACCAGCCCCTCATATTTAGATAAAAAGAATGTGTGAATTACAGTGAGAGGGATCGGAATTACCAGCAACAGCAAGTTCTAGGTAAGTATATTGTTTAGGTATGCTGCTCAACCCATCCCTATAAGCAATTTCCTTTTTTAACTACTTTTCGTTTTTCTTATCTGTGGGGGAGCCAAATGGGCCGGCTCAACCGGAGTGATATCACGGCTACACAGGAAACAGGCTCTCGTTGCTTTTCACCGAGTTATCGAGGTTACAGGAACCTGAACCCCCACTCTCCCCCTGACTCTTGAGGATGCGGATGCTACAGGTAGCAACGCACTTGTGAGTGCTTGAGTTGAAAGTGTCCATGGGCGACGATAGACACTTACCATCAGTGACCCGTCTGCTCTCTTCTGTCATTAAAAAAGACTAATTCTGAAAGTACCCGGTGGACTAGGCTTGTTCCTTATTATGTCACATCATTACGTCAACAGCCTTTAATAGTCCACTACTAGACAGGCCTCTCCTTAGAGAGGAGGTTTTGGCCAACTATACCACGACGGCCAGACGGGTTGTCATAGGCTTTCTTTCACGTTTTCCTTATCTTTGCAGTGCTGTTGTAGTAGTTTGCTACTGTAGTCGGCATACGGGGTGAATAGGGGTGGTGACAGTCAGTATTCTTAATCCGTCACCACGCGAACAATTAATACTGTATAATTTGTTCTCTAAAATACTTCTAACTATTTGCAACTATCTCTTACAGTTCTACCCCGATCTATTCACTTTGAACATGAGTTACGGCTCCGTCGACGCCAGAAGAATCACGTTCAGCATGAAGTACAGACTGGTCGAGACGGTCTATGAGCTGCTGCAAGAATTGAAAGTTTTAAGCTTTTCTTAAAAAGAAAATGCATAAACAGGATATCCATAAGTTATGCCACACAAAAAATAACTTCAAGTGCGGGTAGTTGCCAAAACAGCTGCGAGTCTGATCAGTGCATTTCGGTTTAAAAGTCAATAACGAAAACAGTATCATACATACACACAGTTAATGCCAGGAACATCTGTTTTGTTAACATCTTTTGCCGTAAAACCATCCACTTCCTTTCCTTCTTTCTTACTCGCCTATAACGTGTGAAGTTATATGGATGTTCCTCTTTACTCATTCTGCTTCTGTCTTTTACCTTTCATTAATTTCTCAAGAATTAATTTCATACCAGTACATCGTCGTCCATCCATTGTTCTTATTTTTTTCTCAATTAATACGTTATTTTCGCCTACTCGCTATAAAAAAAGTAGTTTTTAAGTAATGAATCGAAATAAAGAAACATTTTAATATTTTTGTGAATGATTTTATTGTAAACAATTTTTTAAGAGGAGCAGATGAGCAGACTGATGGAAAGTGACTACCACCGCACATGAATGCCAATTCAGGAGTCACACACGCGTTGAAGGCATTCGATGGAAGTACGCTCTTTTCGTGATAGTGGTATCGTACCTGGAATACCGTAGACGATAATATATATTCTTCCACGGAACAATGTATAACAAAAATGCTAAAAAAATTCTTGTATAGTCTATGGTATCTGCTGTTTCCAGCAGATTCTTTAAGCAGCTATAATTTTAGTCATCTACCGTTTTAGCTATGAGAGCAGTGTTTCCCGAAAAATGGCCTTGTTACAAACTAACAACAACCAATAGATGTGTCATTGCTCGTTAGTTTTTTATTCACGTATTAATACCTAAAAATATCTGACCTAAACCATTCCTAAGCACTGTGCAAGACGTACATTCTACTGAAACTAGTGTAGAAGAGTGTACTAGGGAAACCCAGCCCGACACCTGGAATCATCATTTACCTGCTTTTGTCCCAATTTTTAACCTGTTGCCTGCTTGACGCCAACCGTCACTGGGAATGGTAATAACAGGATTCTTCACACGGGACTAAAGGAGCTAGGGTCTTGGATTGTGAGACCAGACTAAGGCAGCAGTGGCTCAGAGAAGCCGGGGTCGCGTATCATTGTTTTTCTGCGGATTTCCTGCGGCAGTTCCCTCGGATACCCCCACCGGTTGTTCGGTAGTGTGGCCATGTCGGACCCGAACTGAATAAAAACCGAACGCCGTCTCGGGTACCAATAGTCAGGGAACCAGGTGTCACTTAGAAAGGAAATCTTTGGTACCCCGACAGAGGGCAGGTCGGTTACCAGTATGTCCTGTGATTGGAGGCCACTGGAACAGTTACTGTAAGGTATACTTTGCATCACACAGGAATAAATAAAACACGCACTGTTTCTATAAACAATTTATACTATATTTTATCGGATAAAAAAAACTAAAGACTATTAATAGTAAAAAAGAAATACAGCGACCGTCGCTTACTAAAACCACGAAAAACTTTATTTTTACAAAAAAAAAAACTTTCGGTTTTTTTTAACAATTTTTACGATTCTCTTTGTTATTTATTTATTGGCAGTATGTTATATACAATTTTATATATAAATTTATATGTATATTATCTTACTTTTGCGTGCGTCTATCAATAAATCATTATAATCGTTTAGTCACTCAATCAATAAAAGCATCGATTAAATATCGATTAATCATACAATAATATTTAATAACAATTGGAGTCGATTTTTATTTGAAAAAATATATCCATCGACAATTTAAAGGAATTCGCAAATTATTTAACGCACACAAAAGTACTAAGCATTTATAGTATTTAATTGCATTTGTCAAGACTCGTTTGATAAAAAATATTTTGAGTCCACATTGGGCCAAAACACGAACTTAACCCCTTACAGGCCATGGCCTGGATAACAGAACTAAACGTTTTTTTTTCACGTTGAATGAGGTATTGAACGAACTTCTTGCAAATATACGATTGTAACAATGTATGTGTTTTACACATTACTCGTAAGAGATGTATTGACTTTTTATTTCAAAGGACTTCTTATTTAGTAAAGATTTTCGATTTTACTTCCGTGTGTATTTCGGAGAATCCCCAGTAGTTGCAGTAGTCCCCAATAGGACGCTTCGCGCGTTTAAAAAGTCAAGTCCGAAAGTAGTCAAGGTTCTCCTAAATACATCTCAGTAAAATCGTGTTATTATACCAATAAAGCACTTATTAACGATGCTATTATTAACGATACGTGCGTGTAAGGAAACCGTTAGGACTGTATCTAGGCCACGCCCTCACTAAGTCATATAAATCATAGTCATATAAATATATTAAAGTCCAAAGTCACATTAAATTAAAACAAATGTCCAAATGTGATTTTGAATACTGAGGATTGACTTTTTTTTATCACAAGCGAATACAAAAACAAATCAATAGGATCGCAAGTTTATTACACATTATAAATTTTCTCATCACAGTCATCATTTTAAATTAAAACATCAAAAGTCAGTCCTCAGTAGTGGCCTGGGGATAGCGATAGTGGCCTGGAAATTAATTGATTATTCGCCTAACCGCTATCCCTTAGACCGTTTAGAGAAATGGCTAACCAACGTTATTGACTAATACTATTCCTAAGATTTTTATATTTTGAAAATAAATTTAAACATTAAAAAATTCAGGCCATATCATTGCCAGGTAAACGGAATTTAGGTAAAATTAACCTTTCTTTCTCTCATAATTGTTTTTTTTTTTGCTTAAGTCTCAAAACAGATGTAAAAGGTTATAACGGTTTAACCGTTCCTCTAACTAGTGAATAAAATTAAAATCCAAGAATTATATGGATCTAAACATATTAAGTTCCATGTATGCTAAATTCAATGGATTGTGCCCCCTAATGTTAAATAAAAAGCAAGTTAATTTCTGGAATTAAATTAATAGCTACAATCTACAAAGATAAACGATTTTTACTTAATATGTACAATAAATGATATATATAAATTGAAGTGTAGTCATATGTTTTTTTACAATAAAATCAAATATCTACACAATTTAAAAAAGTACTGGTAAATAGTTGTTTTTTGAGAATTAAAGATGGCAACACCATGATCTTCTAGGGTCTAATGAAACGCCGAAGAATTAACACATGAAATTGGACACTGTCCGTTAATGGGGTTATAAATACCCCCAATTGTGATGATCAGTACCCAAATAAGGGAAAATTCGTATGATTTTGTGATATTGGGAAGCGACTAACACCCGAAATAGTTGATAAGGCTGGATCTTTGAAAACCCTTGGAACAGCGCATCGAGGTAGCAAAAAAACTTACACTACCACACTCAATATGACCTCACAACTTTGTTAAAAATAATGCCCAAAGATATGTTAATAATATACAAACGCTTACCTTTTTTCCACTTATAAATCAACAATTTATATTCATAGTAATTATGGTTACTCTTGACGTAAAGCTTACAACACCATAGTTATGTATCACTGAACAATTGACTGTGAGGGGAATAGCCTGCGCATTTTCTATATTTAGGAGCCTTAATGTTTTTTTACACCCTTAGATCGAGTCAATTGTTTATTCAGACCTATCTGACATAAACACTTTTTTAGGTAAGTATTAAGTGCCTATTAGTAATTTAGGCATAAAAAACTTCAGTAATCTGGTAACAAGTTTTTTGATAAATCAGAAACATACCCAAGTTTTAAATTTGAAGAGGGTGTTTTGACAAACATCAATTCTAGACTTACGACCATCAGACCTATAGTCTATTCACGTTAAGAAAATAGTAACGCATCGATCAAGTCCCGCAGCCTGACCATTCAAGTTCTAAGCTTTCGTACGAATATTAGTATTTTTTTGGAACCTGATTTGTCAGGGGGCGGAAGCTTGATCGATGTGTCACTATTTTCTTAGCGCGAATGGACTAGTTACTGAATTGCAAGTAGTTAGCGTTTTTACAATATAGGGAAAAAGCGAGCAGACGGGTCTCATGACGACATAATAGTGACAACAGCCTCCCATAGAGACCTGCAAAAACAAATGCCCAAGAGTGAGATAATGGAACATAGCTCCAACGGTCATTTGATTTTGTTTAAAATACATTTCATCGTAAGTGCATAAGTTGAGTGATAGTTGTAGCTTTCTGAGGCGCAATGGAATTTCAATTATTTTTAACATGTATTCGTTTTATAGAAAAATACTTTTAGATTATTTTTTACTAATACTTTTTACTTTTTTACTTTATTTAATGGTGAGGTGTATAATTTGTATCTATTTTAATTTTTTAGGAAGAAATAAAGCCAGTGCTTTCAATAAACTATATTTACCTGAATACTACATGATTTCAACTTAAGCAAGGTTAGAAAAATCTTTAAACAAAATCGTTCTTAAACTAATAGAAAATTTGCTATGGAAATTTTAAATTTTAAATTCAATGATAAACCCAACGCATTTTAAAAGGTTTAAGTGTAATCTAATTATGAATTTATTTCAATTTACTATTTAAATCTAGGTATTGGAATGTTTCTCTTTATGATCAAGAGCATATATAGTCAATCAAAGGCTTATTAAACTTGTATATGGGGTTCCACAAGGCACTAATCCAGTACCGTGTAAATTCTAACAGAATTATTGATATTCCTTGGTGTAGTTATAATTAGCTGTAATTTTAACAACAGAAACTCTAGCGTGTTCTACTACTGTAGTGTTTACGTCTAATGTTTTTTTCAATCATTCACAAGAAATAATCTCTTTATTCATTACTTCACTGTCTCTAAATATCTGTATTCTATTTTTATTAAAAATCTGTGCGTTTTAGTAGTATTATTTTGACAGATCCATCTTCTATTTTTGCTGTAAATAATTTCTTGCTACAGATGACCCGAAAGACCAATTTGTATGATATTAACGTAAGACTTTATACAGTTTGGTCTTTCGAGCACCCAATGAGCACTGTTTGAATGCTCGAAAAACCAAATTGTCTATACTTATAGAACATCAAATTTGTAAATTTTAAGAGCGCTCATGTAATTTAATAACTAACAATCGGTATTTATATTAGCATTCACCCCTATTTTAACTGTTATTGAATTCTTTAATTTATTGTTGTTATGTAATCAAATTGGATTATGAATTATATGGATGAGAGAGCAATAGTTACTTACAGCCCATTTTATCCAGATTTATAAGTTTTGATATGGACTATCCATTCACATCACTTGCCATTTATTTGTGTATTTTCCTATCTCGTGTTGGAAATTGGCGTTCATATTGGCCTTCACTATTTGTTTCTTACACAACAACTGCATGTATTGCCTTCAACACTATCAATGACAGTACAGCTATTAAGCAAGTCCATGTTTTTAAAATTGATTTGCCAAAAGTACAAATATGTAAATTTTAATCTCAAGTAAAATAAAAACAACTTTACAACTAGGAACTATACTGAATAGTACGAGATAATTTCTCCGTCCCTTTCTCTCGCCTACAGACTATAAAACATTGGACGCAAACACTGTCAAATTTGAATAAAAACAAGCATTAAAATATGAGCTATATTCATTTATTTACACTGATGCCAGCGACATTTTGATTTTATTTATATGAAGTCATAAAAAGTTTGGCGCGTAGCCTTTACTTTTAATGGGTATCGATGACGTCACCTTCACTAATTCCAGACTGTGCAACAACGCCATCTATTATTCGTTGCTGCATAATCTGGAAAATTGTTAAAGACTATCCTCACTATCTCCAAATGGTCATCATCGTCATTTTCGGGTTCATTAAAGTCATTTTAATTAAAAAAAAAGAACATTAAAATTAACAATTAAGCTTTGCTATACCTTTGAAATTCAAACGTGAATGAATCTAAGGTATTTTCGATCAAGAAGTTTTACGTCAAAACTGCGCTCTATCTCTAATGTCTATGGCTCTACGGACGTGAGTCTATACTCAAGAATACCATAGACAAAACATGTAACCATCAAGAATTTCATTGTCAGAACTTCCAAAACCCTTGTCTACGATTAGGTCTTAAAGGAAGTTGTCACCGCACTAGAGAACGTAACATAAATTCAACAAATATCAACACAGATGTTTTACAAGTTGTTCCGATACATCCGTTTTGGTTAAATCCGCAAATTCCGCGGACTTTCCCCTTTGTAATATTTCAATTGTACTTCTAGACTCCAATTGCTTGATGTGATGCATTAACTTCGTCTCTGACATTGGCTGCAGTGGCCTGGCTACCACCAGATTCGTGTTTTTAAGAGCCCTGGCGAGGGTTTTGAGGAACTTTGACCACTGTCGCTCGTTAGAGGTAGCTTCAGGTGTGTTCACTAGTAGTGACGCCTTTTCTATTAATGCGCAGACGCAGCTTAAGGTAAACTGAAAAAAAGTTTATTCTTTGAAGGTGTTACGACATGGCAAACCAAAAAAGAAAGCAAGCTTCTGGAACCTTCTGTAGCTTTTTAAATAGGGGAAACATGTACGCTACAGAAGCTTGATGTGATACTGTCGAAATCTATCTTACAATTAAAAAAGTACTACAGCGACGTGAGTCAATTACTATTTATCTCAGTATCCTCTTCAGCTAAGCTAAATATTCGTGTTAGAAAGGTATTTACAATTGAAAATTTATTAGCAAAACCAAGGAGGTTTTGTTTGTAGTTTCACCGCTCCATCTCGGCAACTATTAATCAGTATAATAATTATTTTTTGTTTGGATTAGAGTAATTATTAAAGAAGGTAGACATTGTAATATCACGCCACGACCCTAAGCATGCCCGTGTAGTGACGGATTAAGAATACGGAAGGTCACTACTCCAATTCATCCAGTGGGGTCGTAAGTGCCGACTAAGAGCGCAAAACAACGCAGGACACCAGCAATGCAAAAAGAAGGTAAACTTGACACAAACCCTATGCGAACCCGTCTGGCCAACGTGGTATAGTAGGCCAAAACCTCCTTTCTAAGGAGAGGCCTATCTCCAGCAGTGGACTATGAAAGGCTGTTGATGACCCTAAGCAGCGACTACAAACGCCAGTGAAATTGTAAATGCTCATATTGACATGTGCTTATTTTGCTAATGCTCTTCTGTAGAAATGGTCGTTATATTACGTGCTATAGATTTCTAACTAGTAGCTAAGGTATCTGATCAAATACTTACAGAGGTGGTGAGGGCGTAGGGTGTTCTTGCTGGGTCGAAGGCCTCCGCTAACATACTACACGATTCCAATATGGGCGACCAGCCAGTTGTGTTTTGAATGTAACTGCAAAAACAGATATGCAATTAATGTAACTATTAACTTAACAGGAGCGATATGGAGTCACATAAAATTGGTGTTAACTAATTTTATTTTTTGCGTTTCACTAAGTGGGTAAGGTTGCCGGAAATTCCTTCCTCCTTATCTTGGGTGGAGTCAAAGGGGTGTTAAAGCACTGGTGTCTCGTGAATTGCAGGCGGTCTTGTTTATTCATTCATCATTCATTCATTCCATTCGTCATCAGTCGATTAGTGTGCTCGTTTATTACGTTTTATAAAAGCGCAAGAATTTTCATTGCGCGATGCAGGATCATATTTATATTTTAGTCTATCTTTATTAGATTGAAGTAAGGTTTTTGCCGAGTCGATGATAATGATTCGGTGCATTAATATTTATGATATCGTTCTTCGTAATAGTCGTTGTAAAATTCGAAATATCAATTTTTCCGTGTCACTTATTTCTATATTTTTAAGGAAACGTCATAGATTTTCTTAATGCAGTGCTAGATATGTAAAGCGTAAATATGTCGGAAGAAATGAAAGCGGGGACACACAGGTGAAGGTAAACAGGTGGAGTAACCGAGAGGGGACAAACAGGCGGGGCGAAGACAAGCGTGTGTCGTACCTCCGGTAGTGCGGCGCGAGCGGGGCGAGCCCCTTGGCGTCGCGTCGCGCGGCGGCGGGCAGCGCGCGCAGGAGACGCGCCCACAGCGTGCGCAGGCGCAAGTGGCCGCCGCACACGCGCGGCACGAAGCGCGCCACCAGCGCCTGCGGACAGCGCGCACGTCTCACTCCACCACATACTATACGCTCATTATTGGTAAACCTAAACCTCAATTTAAAAAGGGTAGCCACGAGTTTGCTCGTTTTTTTCTGACAGCTCAACCGTTGGAAGACGAGCGGATAGATTGACGCATGCAAAATACGGCGCTTACAATAATACAATTTAAATTGTACTTTATAAACAGCAACGAATAAAATAATTTCTAAATAAATAAATCTTAAATGACTTCAACAAATATTATGTTAAAATTTTAGCTGCCACATATACGTAATAATATAAACAGTACTGAGTAACTTTTTACAGCATCACAGTATTATTGCGAATAACCAATTCGCTTTAGTCCTGAAATGTCTATAGAAGACACCTAGTCTTTACCACTGCTAATAAACGCAAATATAATAAGATGTTCCTAGATTTATCAAAGGCGTTCGACACGATCTCTCTATCCACTCTTATATCAAAACCTATAAAAAAGAAGTGAAGAGCATAGAATAACCTTACACATCAGAGACTACCATATGTGACGTTACAAAGTGGGTACAAATAGATTTACTAGCTAGATAATATCGCATTTGTATGGTGTACCACAGGGTAGTATTTTGAGACCTGCACCCTTTCAAACCTATTTGAATAATCTCTATATATTAAGACTATAAACTAATAGCTTTTACTGATGATGCTGTATTAATAATATCTAGGGGAAAATTGATTTGAGGCCAAATATTTCTGAACATTGATTTGGTTAACCATAAATCTTAAAATACATAAACATATTCTTTATTTTCCTCCACCCTTCTCTTCTGCCTTCAGTCGTAATTTCTCTCTATATTTCAACTCAACTCACCTTCCCTTTCCTAACAGAAAGAATTTGCTGCAACCGGTCACTATGCAAAAGACCCGCGAACATTTTATTCAACAGATCATCTTTATCCTCGTCTAGAAGGTTTTTTACTGGCGCTGGCTTCTGATTCACAGCCAGGTTCACAACCTGGAAAAGCAAATCAATTATTAGACTTTAAAAACATCACGGAAACGGCAAAAAAAATCTTTACATGTTAACTCAGAAATGATTTATAATAATGTGGCAACCACATAGAGATATTTACACCACTGTTTTAACAACATGTTGGTTGACTGTCAAATCAAATAATATTCTAACTACAGTCACACAAAATATTATTATAAACTCTTTTAATATGACGATTGACCCACAAACCTGTCTTTTATCAATATTCTCATTCTTCGGACTGTCCTGCTTGGGCCTCCGCTGCACCGACTCAATGTTCTTAAGGAACAGGTTTGATACATCCTGTTGTTCGTTCTCCGCTTCCTTCTGCGCCGCTTCTAGCTGCTTCTGTTTCTCTTCTCTTTCCTGTAAACAAGAGAAAACTTTTTAGCATTTCGACGGGCCTGTTGTTATAGTGGTTTTAATTATTGTATTTATCAATCTAACAGTTTATTTATGGTCAAGGGGTATGAGTAGACTTTTTTTTAACGGGACTAATACCTCCCACATCCCCATGAACTCCAGGATCAACAGCAGGAGCAACCGAGAGTTATGACACTTTTCCAGGAAAAAAAAACTGTCTTGGAACCCGCAACGAACTTAATCAGAAGAAATTTGGAGGAGTTGGGAATATAATATAACCACTTCTCTCCTTAGGGACCAACGCGGGAGACAAAATGAAGTAGAATAGGCATACACCCTTTGAAACATTGAAGCACCACGGCCACAAAATATTATGGGTTTCAATAATATGTATAGCAGTATCGCCTAAACGCACGGCAATTCGCCCTAGTTGACACAAGAACCCCATAGTCAGGACCTGATTAACCAGTAGACAGAATAGGCAACTGATTGGGGCCCCGCATCGGTTAAGTGCCCCGCTTTTGATGTTAGTTCATGAGGAGTTACGCATCAATCAGGTGCTGCTGCTGATGCTATTACTCACAACCCTTTATCGACTTACAAAGACCTGATTCTTCAAAAAAAAGAGGCCACGAGGATAGCATTGCCCAAGGGCCTCGACATGACTAATCCGGCCCTGCCTATAGTATACCGCCCCAGATGTCACCTGTAAGCTATTCAGCGTAACCGAGTAGACTGTAAGTGACTACCATCGTCCATGGACACCTGCTTCAGGAATCAGGAGTTCGTAGCTGCCCTTGCGAGGACTCCCTATTATTTTTTTGTATTTCTGATAACCTCACTCATTCGGCGAAAATCAAAGAAAGAATTGCCTAACATCGATTTTACGGGAGGCCGTGGTATCACTCTGATCGAGCTGGTCCATTTGTGGTAAAATTCAGACGAAACGTTGGGTAAACAAAGGTACGAACAAAAACACTAAACACTACATAAGTTTAGCCCTGAATGCGAGCCGGTAATACAGTTCAAGAATTTGTATGAAAACATTTCAAAATGTCTTGAACAGACATACAGAACAAAGCGAGTGAACACGCGGTGCATAAGGTAGTATTAAATCATTATTATTTAATTCGACTTACCTTCAATATTAACGCATTAGATATCGCCAGAGGATCGTTCAGTTCCTCCAACCTCAGTAAGATCAAGTATAATGCTTCTATGTCAAGGAGTAACTGTTTTGTCCGCTTCATCTCTCTAGGGATCTGTCGATTGAAATTAGACGTATGATATTATGATAGGGTAAGCTATTATTAATATCCATAAATACTTGTATTGTTAATAAACAATAAAGGGAGGATCCTCCAACCAGGAAGATTAATGTTGGATTATATATATTTTGCTAATCGTCGAAAAAACTTTCATTGCGTGATGTAGGATTAGTAGTTATTACGTAGTTCAGTGTGTCTTCGTTAGATGGCGTTGAAATATGTTTTTCGTTGTGTGTTAAAGTTGCCACAATTTTTGGAACGGTATTTTAATTTTGCTTAAGGTAGGTAGGCATAAAATATGGTAATGAAGAGTAGAGTTTATTACAATTTAGTATGATGTAGACATATTGAAACAGGCTACGTAATTATTTTTAATTGAATCCCTAGTGTAAAATTGCTAAGAGCCGTATGAAGAGTTAGCTTACCTCCTGCGGGTGCGTGGTGCTGGCTACACTGGAGGCCCGTGACATCCTGGAGGGGGCGGTCTCGTTCCCCACCACTTCCACGTCAATTATTTTCCTGGGGGCCGTCACACTGCCGCACTGTAACAAGCATTATTAAACTATGAATGTTGTACTATATTGACAGCTCCTAACCTGGGGTTAGATTCGATGTGCCTAATCCAGAGATTGTGAGTTGAATTCCCATCGAATTTAGAAATATATAAGTATGTTCATCAGCAGTCTGGTTACTGGTACTGGTACAGGCTGTCAAATTTGTAATCAGACGGCCCTGTGTGAGAGATGTGTAAGTTATTGATATGACGTGGAGGATCAAACCGGCTGTAGGCGCGGTGACGCGTCGCCACGAAATTTTAAAGTATAAGTAGTCCTTCCTTTAGACAACAAATAACAAAAGTAAATTTTGTGAACAGCTTGTGATTCGCTATGCGAAACCTGTTTCACTTTGTTTGCTCGGGAATGAAAGTGTTCGCCCGCTCGTCAATATTATATTTTTGTATTCTACTATAGAAAGGAAGTACCTCCTTTCTAAGGAGAGGCCTATGTCCAGCAGTGGACTATTACAGGCTGTTGATGATGATGATGATTCTACCATAAACTTAACATTATTAAGTTAATGTTATTATTTTTAATTACTTATTTTATTTTAATTGATGTGTAAATACATGTTGTGGCATAGCGCATAAACCCCAGTACATTTAAGTAGTTGTGTAGTTATGTAAGAAAAAAAAATGTAAAATGTGTTGTGGCGACGCATCGCCATACCCAAGTGACTGCTCGACTCTTTCACGCTGATTATATATATCAAATGGACTAATTCTATATAATCTACAAAATAATTTTGATGTTCCACATTTGTGCCAGTTATTGCCACTTGTAGTAGTCAAATATCTTCCAGTGTATTCTTGAAATAACTAATTACAATACTTACTTGTAATTTCCCAAGTGAATTTTCAAACTGTGTCGGTACGTATGTTCGTGGAGTACCGCTGTCTTCACTTGTCGAGTTGTGCCGATTTGAGTTGTGTCTCTCCCGATGTGTGTGACTCTCTTGTTTTACACCTGAAACAAATTCATTATTACATCATAAATGTGAAAGTAGGTTTGTTCGTTACGCCTTCACGCCTAAGACACTTCATCATCATCAACAGCCTATACTAGTCCACTGCTGGACATAGGCCTCTCCTTAGAAAGGAGGTTTTGGCCTACTATACCACGCTGGCCAGACGGGTTGGTATAGGGTTTGTTTCAAGTTTTCCTTCTCTCTGCAGTGTTGTTGTCCTGCGTAGTTTTCTCCCTTAGTCGCCTCTTACGACACCCACGGGATGAATAGGGGTGGTGACACTCTGTATTCTTAATCCGTCACCACACGGACAGACACCTAAGACACTTAACCGTTTTTTTTTTTTCACCAATACAAAGCTCCAGTATTAGCGAGTAACATAGGCTTATTACCGCGATAACCGACAAACACGGGGGCGGAGCCGCGGGCCAACGTCAGTGTTATATACATTAAAAAATACTTTCACTACTTAAATGGCAGTGAGTAAAAACATCCTAAAACGTATTTTTTCCGTCCCTTTTCATCCTGTGGGTGTCGTTAGAGCCGACTAAGGGAACAAACTACGCAGGAAGGAAAAGTTGAAACAAATCCTTTACGAGCCCGTCTGGCCAGCATGGTATGGTAGGCCGAAACCGCCTTTCTACGGAGAGGAGGCCTATGTCCAGCAGTTGACAAATTAAGGCTGATGATGGTGAAAACATATTTTTCAGTCCTATTTAGATCTTCCATGTAACTCTTACATGAAGTACAGACTCATTTAAATTCACATATACAAGCATAAAAATATTTGCCTTGAGACATTTTGAGCAAATTTTATTGGTATTCAGTGGAAATCCCTGTCCTGGCCTCTTCAACAACTCTTCAAGCTACTTCAGTTACACTCTGGTTTACCATGCAAGACTTTGCAGTATTCATTACCCTGGTCTATATGTCTCTCCCTACTCCATATTCCTCAAATTAAATTATTTACCAAATTACCTCATTGGTTCAATCAAAACTTGACACAAACCCTATACCAACAGGTATGGCCAGTGTGGTATAGTAGGTCAAAACCTGCTTTCTAAGGAGAAGCCATTGTACAGCACTATTATGCACAGAGGACTATTGAAGGCTGTCGATGTGTGATGTGATGTAGTCCAATCAAATATCATGCTGTCCCAACATTAATTTACACACTTCCATCCTTTAGCACAAAAATACTGAAAGATGTTTAAAATCAAAATGATGTAATGTTCTCACCTCCGCTGTAGAATGGATGGTTCTGTTGATTGGCTTTGTGTGCTTCTTTGATACCTTCCTTCTCTTTACTGGCTTGTCTCTCTAAGAACACCTGCAGGCAAATGCAAAGAAATCAATAACTTGTGCTAAATATTTAATAGGTTTGGTAGATTATTTATTAAATTTCTACATTTATTATCTATAACGGCTCTTTTCTGATTAAAACAGTTAAATTCACTTAAAACTTGCAATCTCTTATATCTTCTTACGACATTAGCGCTGAATATATTTACCTTTTAATGTATGAAAATCCGTGTGGTGACGGATTAAGAACACGGAGTGTCACCACCCCCTATTAATCCCGAAAGTGTCGTGAGAGGCGACTACGAGCACTGCAGAGAGAAGGAAAACTTGACACAAACCCTATACCAACCCGTCTGGCCAAACCCTCCTTTCTAAGGAGAGGCCTATGTCCAGCACTGGACTATTATAGGCTGTTGATGTATGAAAAACTATATTTTCGAATATATATTATTCTTTACGCAGTGAAAATGACGCCATTTAATTTTGCTTCAAATTGTAATGCAGTGTAATGAACTACGAGTAACATACAACTACAAGTACTCGCCGACGGGTTAAATACTACCCCATCTAAAGCCCTATTACGTACCGTATAATAGAAGTCATGTATATAAGGCGTCCCCGTGTTGAGTTGTAGCATCTGGATGTTGATGAGCCATTGTTTTTCTCGCTGAGTCATGAGACCCGCATATTCGTCGCCGTCGCTACCGTTTGTGTCATCGCCATTCATCGAATGTCTGGAAAATACGAATTTATGTTTTAGTACGTGTCAGTTAAGGCTGACTTTAGATTGACGAAGAATATTTGAATGGTTGAAAGATTCCTTTTAAAATAAGTACTCTCAATATATTGACGTGCGACTGTAATGGCTGCCATGTGCGATATTAAAAACTTAATACGAAATTATAAAGCTTCCAATCTCTGTTGGTATTAACAGTATTCTAGTATTCAGTAGTCCTAACAGTATTCTACGCCTACATTTTGCTGCCCAAAATTGTACGTAACTATTTATTTATTTTATTATGGCATAGGGGGCAAACGAGCAGACGGGTCACCTTTTTTTTTTTCGTGCGGAAATCCCCTCGGATACCACCTGTCATAGAACAAATGATCATGGTCATCACACAAATATTTGTCCTAGAACCCAAGACCTCCGTCTTAGCAGTCAGTCACTAACCAAAAAGACATGATCGTATGTATGTGTGTAAAATAAAGTAATCACTTACCTATTGTTAAAGGTCCCGTTATGCCTTTGATTAAACATCGGATGATTAAACTGACTATTGGTGTATATATTCCTGTTATTCTGCAACATCGGATGATGGTTGGCATTGTGAAAACTATTCATATTATTAAACTGAAGCATCGGATGTGTATTCTGTATCAACTGCACCAAGTTCTGCGAAGTCATATTTTGTTGTTTCGAGTTGTTGTAAACACGAGTTTTTTGCATTTTCTGTTCTTTCTGCGGCTGTTGTTGTTGTATCTTTTGCTGTATGTTTTGATGTTTCTGTTGTTGGTTTATGGTGTTTAGTTGGTGGTTGGGAGATTTCATATTGTTGATGGGTTGTTGTTGCTGCTGCTGTTGTTGATGCGGTTGTTGTTGTTGCTGGTTCTTCATGATTATTTGTTGGTTCATCAACATGTTTTGTTGGTTTAAGGGTTGATTAACCGTTGGATTTATTGGCTGGTCTTGTTTTATGGGCATCGATGGCGTCTAAAAATAAAAAATCAGAAATTCAGGTGTCTAAGTCCGCAGTACTGAGCTAACTTATTAAATTACGTAACTATGACGTTACCCTTAATTGATTACGTAAATAACTAGCAAGGTAATTGGAGTTAGTCCGTGTACACAAACTGATATTTCCCAATTTCAATATTAACTAGCTTTTCCCCAGGGCTGATAATGTAGCTTTCCATTGGTGTAAGAATTTTTAAAATCGGTTAAGGAGTGGTTAAGGAGTAAAAGCTTAACAAACAAACTCACTTCCATATTTATAATATAAGAATGGAAGTATGGTGTAATGGTAAGCTGCTTACCCGAAGCGAAAGGAGGGCAAGCGTGATGTGTTATGTCAGAATCGAACCGACTAAACTGACAGGGTGTTGATACTATATATATTTTTATGGGACAAACGAACTGACGGGTCATCTGATAGAAAGTGACTACCGCCACCCATGGACGCCTATAACTCAGGCCCATCGTGCTGCTGGACGAGGCGGGCAAATTGTTTGAGAGGGTTCTTTCTGCCCGCATCGTCCGGCACCTCTGCGAGGTGGGCCCCGATCTGTCGGACGCCCAATTTGGTTTTCGGGCGGGGCGTTCGACAGTCGACGCCGTGTTGCGCCTGAGGGCCGTGACCGAAGAGGCCGTGAGCTGTGGCGGCGTGCTGTTGGCGGTGTCATTGGACATCGCCAACGCATTCAATAGTCTGCCATTCAGCTGCATCAGGGAAGCACTCCACTATCATGGGGTGCCAAAGTACCTGAGGCGGCTAGTGGCAGACTATTTAGAGGAGCGTACCGTCGTGTACGAGGACCGAGAAGGTAATTTGAGGTGTCGGCCCATGTCGTGCGGTGTTCCACAGGGGTCTGTTCTTGGACCCCTCTTGTGGAACATAGGGTACGACTGGGCCCTTCGCGCCGATTTCCCCCCGGGCTGGGTGTAATCTGTTACGCAGACGATACCCTCGTGACAGCCCGGGGGGCAAACTTCCAAGAGGCGGCGCGCCTGGCCACAGGGGGAGTCTCCCTGGTGGTCGGGCGCATTGAGGCGCTGGGCTTACGGGTGGCCCTAGATAAGACGGAGGCCCTGTTATTCCATGGGCCCCGTCGTGGTCCACCCCCTGGCGCCTCAATCGTGGTCAACTCGGTCCTCGTACCGGTTCGGGCCCAGATGAAATATCTGGGCCTGATCCTCGACGGGAGGTGGCTCTTCGACGAGCACTTCCGACAGCTTGCTCCAAAGCTGGTCGGCGCTGCGTCTGCCCTAGGGCGACTTTTGCCCAATATGGGTGGACCCAGCGTCGCGACAAGACGGCTGTACACGGGGGTTGTCCGGTCAATGGCACTGTACGGTGCACCGGTGTGGGCGGCGGCTCTGACCGCCCAGAATAGGGTACGCCTCTGGCGCCCTCAGAGGGTAATGGCGGTCAGAGCCATACGCGGTTACCGCACCGTTTCGACGGAGGTGGCGTGCGCGTTGGCCGGAACTCCCCCGTGGGATTTGGAGGCGGAAGTGCTCGCCGAAGTTTATCGGCGAGTGGCTGACTCCCGGGCGGAGAGCGGATTTCGCCCTCCGCCCGAGGATGTGCGCGAGTGGCGCGAAGCCGCTCGCCGAGCCACGATGGCTCGTTGGTCGTTCCGGCTGGAGACTCCACGCGCTGGCTTCGCCGCCGTGGAGGCTCTCCAGCCGGTCATCGCCGAGTGGGCAGGGCGGCAGCACGAGACCCTTTCCTTCCGACTGACGCAGGTGCTTTCCGGGCACGGTTGCTTCGGAAAGTACCTGCACACGGTCGCTAGGAGGGAACTGAGTCCCGCCTGCCACCACTGCGACTGCAGTGAGGACTCGGCCCAGCACACGCTGGCGGTCTGCCCCGCATGGGCGGCGCAGCGCCGGGCCCTCACTGCAGTCATCGGAGTGGATCTCTCGCTACCGGCCGTAGTACGCTCCATGGCCGGTAGCGACAGTTGTTTTACCGCGGTCGCAACCTTCTGCGAGGTAGTAATCTCGCGGAAGGAGGCGGCGGAGAGGGCCCGGGAGGACGACCTCCACTCGGACCCGATCCGCCGCCGGCGAACCGGGCGGCGGAGGCCCGGCTATCACAGCCTCATGCCGCCCTGAGTGTGGCCGCGGGTGGACGGGGTGGGTTTCCCCTCCACCCGCATTAGTTGGCCAGCCGCGAGGGGGCGGTGTCCGCGTGTGCCGGACGACGCCTAAAGAGAGGAACAACACTGAGACGGAGCCCGCACCAGGAGCGGGCTGGCGCTAGGAGGGGTCCGGATGTCTTAACAACAGCTGTTCCCGGATCCCTCCTGTTACAGGCGCAGAGTGGCACACCGTGTGGTTTTAGTCGGTCCGAGTCCGACACACCACCCCGCCGCAAACCCCGGAGGGGTGACGGTCCGAGGGGATTTCCACACGTTAAAAAAAAAAAAAAAAAAAAAAAAAAAAAGGGTTTGTGTCAAGTTTTCCTTCTCTTTGCAGTGCTGTTGTCCTGCTTAGTTTGCTCCCTTAGTCGGCTCTTACGACACCCACGGGATGAATTGGGGTGGTGACAATTTGTATTCTTAATCCGTCACCAGACGGCCAATTATACAATTATAATATTTAAGGATATAGAATTTCGTTAATATTATTCAACTTAAATTGAATAAACAACACTCGATAATTTTCACTAAACATACTTTCATGTGTTATATTTGCTAATCTATCCTGTATTGTTCTCATTTTAGTATATATATTACCAAAGCAAGTACAGACTGTGTTCAAACAATAACTTAAGTAGGAATTCATATAATAAATAAAACTTACTCGATAATTAGTGTTATACTGTCCCATATTGGGGTTAAAATTCTGCCTGGGCATGTTGATGCCTGGAGGTGGAACAATCATTCTAGCCCCTTGGCCCATCATATGCTGATATTGGTTGATGTTCGGTGGAAATGGGTTCCCGTTCGGTATCATCTGATTAATCTGATTGATTGGATTGACATTTTGACCCATTTGATTAACATTCTGACCCATTTGGTTGCTATTCTGGGCAATTTGATTCATACTTTGATTCATTTGGTCAATATTACGACCGATAGGATTCATCGAGTGGTTCATTTGATCCATAGGTCGACCCATTTGGTTCACATTAGGGCCTATGTGATTCATATTTTGACTCATGTTATTTGTTTGTCCTAATGCGTTCATAGGTAATGACTGTCCTTGGATGTTAATGTTCTGACCCACGATTTGGTTATTCTGACCCACGATTTGGTTATTCTGACCCACCATTTGGTTATTCTGACCTACCATTTGGTTATTGTGACCCATCATTTGGCTATTTTGAGCCATCTGATGAACTGATATGTTCTGTGTAAGTTGGTTCATCATATTTCCTGGACCCATTTGGTTGTTTTGAAATTGATTATTTTTAAAAAAAGGAGTGTTATGACTTATGTTATTTTGATGGGTCATCTGGTTCATAAGTTTGTTCAGCGGTTGGTTCATTTGACCGAGACCGTGGTTCATGGTTTGCTGTGGAGCAAAAGGTAACGGTACCGGTGCTTGAAGACCAGGTGGTCTCTGCAGTATAACAGGTGGAAATCTTGGCTGCTGACAAAATGGAACATAAATTATTCTCTATTTAGTAGTACAATTTTTGTTCTTGACTCCGCTTGCAGATGTCAGTTATTACAAAAATAGTCCAAATTTAACAACCGGTTATAAAATTTTGTATGTTAAACAAGATAACTTTTTTAAGGCTTAAAACGCACTTGCGGTTAGCCGCACTGCGGTGTGCCGTTGCGCCTCGCCGCAACGTATTCGGTCGGCGTCGTCTTGATTCTATCGCGGTCCGCCGCAATCGGCAGTGAGTCTAGAAATATTGAACATCTATATATATAGAAAGGCGTTCTTTGACATCTTAAATGACATTTTCCATGTCAAAGACCATGCCAAACATACAACGGCTAATTAAAATTCAGAATAACACCCCTACCTATATCGTCTATCAGTGACGGACTGGGGTGAGAAGCGGCGCCAGCGGCTGACCGCATCGAATGCGTTTGAACGATGCGGCGGCTATGGTAGACGACCGACCCACGTCAGTGCGCTGACATTCATATAAAAATCGATGTGCGACCACAACGGCACAACGCAGTGCGGCTAACCACAAGTGCGTTTTAAGCCTAATAGTACTGATTCTGCTTTGGTTTGGTTACGTTTAAAAAGTAAATGAACTATTACAATTTGCTATTAGTGCCATCTTTAGTTTGAAAAGTACCAAAGACTCACTTGGAAATAATTTTGGTTGTTGAAGTTTTGCTGTTGTTGTTTCTGCCGCAACTGGCGCTCCAATTCCTCCACAGTACACACATTCTTGAGACTCGAAACCAGCGGCTAGAAACAATTCCATATGGTATATTTTAGCTTATTTGTCTCATGACATATTTATACTTGAGTTAACGGGCCTGTTGGTCCAGTCTCATCCTCTATGTTTTGTCCAGAGGCGTACAAATATTTATTATTAAAATGTGTATAAAAATTAAACGAATCAAGAAATTAAAAATGAAGAAATGTCAGCAAGAGCTATGCTTATCAGTTTACGGAGTATATGAGCATAGTGTGAGTGCCTTACCGCTGGTGGAACAGGAAATGTTTGAGGATCATGACGCCAGACACTGGAACTGAAGGACCGTAAGTGTGGCGAGTCCGTCTCATCTAACACTAGCTGGGATAATGATGCTTCTGTAATGATGTTAAAAATATCTAATTTAAATTACTTAATAACTTAAAATTATTTTTGCCCAAATATATGATGCAATCCATAAGTTGTAATGGATAATTTAGTAAAAAAATGGTGTGTGATGGTGGATTGCAGTACGTAAGTGAAATAATATCAAGTTTTTATATAGTTTTTTTTTTAACCCTACAAATAAAACACAGGTTAGGTTTATCAATCATTACTACATAAAGTAGTTTGGTTACTTTGTGACTTCAATAATCGACTATTTATAGCAGTTAAAAAAAAACAATTGTGACATCGTAGGCCTATGTCCAGCAGTGGACTTTTAAAGGCTGTTAATGATGATGATGATGAATGACATCGTAGGACGTCTGACAGATATAAAACATCGAAATTTGTAGAAATACTAAGTTTAAAATCACTTTGATAATATCAACGTGAGAAAGTCGTAGGGTCATTTGTGAAGGCGACACGTCACCACACCGCATTACTTGTTATACTCGTATATACATAGCGTGGCAGCACTTGCCCTGACTACGCGTCGCCACGCCGAGAGACGGGCTGACCCTCTGCATTAGATGCTTCATCATTCAGATCAAAAGAAAATCAAAGCATGGACAGAGTGACATTGGCAAAACATGTAGTAACAAGTACTGACCAAGTTCCGTCTTGGCGATGTCATCGATACCGGAATTGTGTCGGCGGCTGCTCTCCAACTGCTCAGCCAGTTGTTCATGCTCCACCTCCCAGTCAAATTCATCAGCTGCAAAACGAAATAAACGCTACATTGTATTTCATTCTTTTATAAAAAAACAACTCCCGCACTAGGAATAACTCCTGTGTCCTGGGGGATTTTAAAAACATACATTAAACAGACACAAAGGACACCCAAAATCAGAACAACAATTTGTGGATCACACAAAGTGTTGTCCCATGTGGGTATCTAGCCCACAACACACATCGCAGTAGGCAGCGGCGAGGTAACAAACCACTAGCCATCAGTGCAGTAAAATTATAATAACAAAAGTTTCAAGGATTCTTAATAATCAATTAATTAAAATTCTTTGTACACTTTTTTAAGCAAATTTCGCGGACGGAGGAATGTGAAATATGTAACACTTAAAATTACTATGTAGTACTAAACTAACTAAACTGTTTAATAAGTATGTGTTACACATTTAACAAGGAAATAAAAAAACCGACTACGTGAAAATGTATAGATACTTACTTAAAATTTACAAACCGACTATTTTAATTTTTATAATTTTTATATACCCAGTGACACTCTCAAAATTAAGACGAATCTAACTACACCTGCCAAGCTTAAATCAATAAACCGTTTAGCGTGCTGAAGAAATATACATACATACATACATAGACTCGCAAAACATAACGCTCCATACGATGCAGTTATATAAAAATAATGCCAAAATTACTACAAATCGTACAGGGTTCCAGTATTACATTGTCACGAAACTTCGCGAAAGTTCGATAACCGCTCAATTCGGGGAACCGTTTAATAATAATGCAGGTTGGCACGGAACAATAAGTTCTATAACAATACGCATAGGATCGGAAATGGATTGTCATGCGATTAATCTTGTTTACATTCGAAATGGATTTGTATTTCTCAGAAGCGGACGGTTCTCGTATGGATTGGAAATTGCTAGAATGATCCTTTACCAGTATTATAAATACGGACACGTCTTCTTTGGAGTTAGTTCAGTTTGAGCTACAGAGCGATAAACGTCAAAGCGATCGAAGTGAATATCCGACCTCGACAGCGACGTCGGCGATCATTCCGGACTATTACTGAGTATTGTGTGAACTTCTTCAAGTGTAGTAATAATAAAGTATCTTTAGTCGTCAGAAAGCTTATTATTCCGAATCCATGAACCCTAAATCGTAACAATATATTTTGTATATTGTTATTGACCTATCTTAATATCGAAAGTCTATACCAGGGATTCCTAAAGTGGTCGATATCGGTACCCACCCCTTGGGCTCGAAATCGGTTTCCCAGAAGACAACATAAACGGAAACTGTTTTTGGAGGTCGATAGAAGATACTGTATTAGTTGTGTTACGCGTACCAACTAGTTATAAGAATGACTTATATTTTAGTAAGCAGTATAATTGGTGTACTTTCTAAAACCTCAACAAGACGATAAGCGTGCAGTAATTTGGTTTTGGGGATCTGAGGTATCAGTTCATTTTATAAAAGGGGTCTCTTGGCCAAAATAGTTTGGGAAGCCCTGGTCTATACAATGACAGTTAAAGCTATTTAGTCGATAAGATAAACCACCAGGCGCATCTCTAGTAATAACTATAGTCTAGGAAATAATTGATAGAGCTTTCTAGACCCAAACTTAGCATAGAATGAATAGAGGGTGGTGACAGATAGCTATCTACTTACACATTAGTTTTTAATAGCATGCAGTTTTTACATTTAAACACCTAAACCCATATATATATATATATATATATTTTAATAATAATGATCACACATATGGCAGTCTGATCCTAAACCAGACAAAGCCACTACTATCGGACCAGACTGGTGATAAACATATTTAAGTAAAATATATCTAAATAAATACTTGTTATAAATAAATTACACCTAGATACAATGATCATATTCATCACACAATTATTGGTCCCGGGTGGGAATCGAACACATGACCTCTGGCTTAGCAGTGAGGATCACTAACCACCGGTCACCGTGACGATCGAGTATCTGAGCCGATTATTCGACGAAAAGCAACGTACTTCTTATTGTCGGTAAGCTTCTCCGCTTCAAAGGAAACGAACTCGAATGTAAACGAAAACTAGGTATTCGGAACGTGTGTATATACATGCTCACTACTTGGCGGATACGATGCCAAGTACTTGGCATTCCACGAATTCGTTCAAAGTTCAGTTCCGATCTCCTCTCGATCTCACAAATTTCATAAAAGGTATTCTCGTAGTAAATTATTACTAAGACTAGTAGAATACCGAATCAACTTTCGGTCACAATACGATATAATCACATTACAATCACCGTTAACGTTTAATACTTTACCACGAGAATACCTTTTATAACATTTGTGAGATCTAAAGTAGATCGGAACTTAATTTTCAACGACTTTTCATTACGAGAATCGGCCCTCTGGTCGCGGCTTAACATTAGTAGGGTAATTAAATACGGCGCCATGCATCACCCAATAGGGCTTTGTACCACCTCTGAACTCCACCACCAACCAAGCGGGCAAGCATCTTAATACAAATACTCACAACCTTGGCCAAAGGTTTCGTCATTAAGGGCATCATATTCATCCTCCGATGGCTCCCCGCCTCCTTCATCGTCATTTAAGTTCTGAAAAATGAAAAAGAAATACATTTAATTCCACTTCTTCAAAAAATTATTACAAAAAGAAATTCCTGTTTTTTGTTTTTTCATTAACAGTTTTACAAGGTTAATTATTGCACTGTGTTGTGCAGAAAGATTCTAATTTATACACACATTTTTTTTTTTTTGGCAGGCGAGTGCGAGTTTGCACATTACACGATCGTCACGGAGAACGCGTTGCGATTGCGCACTGAAATTTTCAGTAATACTATATCCGAACCATCGCTCACCATCGAGAGCGAATTCATGTCACATACTGACACTCACTAGGCCCTCAAATGTGTAAAGGTAGCATTCGGATCTTAGCGACCGCGACCCACTGCTTTGTATGAATTTATTTGGAGTACTAAACAAATCCCTCGACCGAGTCGCGCGACCAGTTGGCCAATAGCGCCGTGAAGACCGCGACCAATAGAGCCACTATAGGCAGTACAGTCACGCGAGAAGCACTGGTCGCGGTTGCGTAGTGGCATGGTCGCGGTGGCTAAGAACGGAATGCTACCTATAGTGACTACAGCCGCCCACGGATACTAGCAACTCAACAGACACAAGGGCTAATCCGCCCTTGAGAGTCTTCTTCCCCCTAGAGCTGAAGGGCAACGAAATAATTATTTAACACCAGATTCCATTAAAACCGTGGTATCAGTCAAGTCGAGCTGGCTTTTATAAACTGAAGCACGACTCTTGTACTCAACTCACTTTTTTCATCACAACTACGTTAATTAATGTTTAATTAATATAAATACAGATAATAATTTAGACAGTCGATTTGAATAGTTTGTGGATAAAATTGTTTAATCCATTGAATTACATCCTGTAGGTATTACAACAACTAAGTATTTCTTGATTACTTTAATAATAAATAATATAAAATTCCGAGTGGAAAATTCCAATTGTAAATTCCACTCCCTAAGTAATTAGAATGATTAGTTTTTAAAGGAAAAGGCACATTGAAAATCCATACTTGACCTTACTTAACTTATCCTCACAGTTAAGGGCATTCTTGATTCTACCTACCTATACATGTTACAGTCAGAAATCTGAACCAGTCAAAAGAATTTTTAACTGGCAAAGGAGTTGTAACTTTTGTCTGCTGCGTCAGATGCCATCTACTATTATTGAATCATTTAGGTTAGGTTAGAATAGTGATTATTAACGCACGGAGGTGAGCGAGCGAAGGTATGGTGGCAATGACCACCAGATCCTCTCTATCATTTGTGAATTACTTGGGTTAGATGAGATTATAACAGTACCACTTTGCAGTCAAAAGTACTTTTGATTGATTTTGCTAGTTAACGACACTGCTGAACGAAGGCCTTCTCCCAAGGAGTACCAACTATCCCAGTAAAGTTTTGGTCTACTAAGACCAAAACTTTCTTTAAAGACTTTTATATGTAAGGCTGTTGATAATGATCACTCTTTTAATTTTTAGTTTCATTTCTTGTAAGTGAAAATGTTATGTGAGAACAATATACGTAACCTCACTATTATTATATAAAAACAATATATTTCTAAGAAACTTGGACAGCATATGAAAAATGTTGTTTATTTATTTATTAAAATGATTAGTTTTTATTTAACAAAATTAATATTTACATTGTTTTAATTAAATTATGAAATTCTTTAAATATATAACAACATACACTCCATCATTATTTACACATATGGTATAATTATGTGTTCTTATACCATACACACTAGGTTTTTATGTATGTAAATATCTTTGTTCGGCACACAGAACCAAATGAATGCAAGATTATATACTAAAAAGTTCTGCATACATAAAATGCGTGTTGTGCAGACCGATATCGCATGTTTCACAACAAGTATGACTCAGAAATTACTAAAAATATAATGTTTTTACATACATTTATTTCACAATGTTTCGACTACGTTTTAAAGAGATTTTTGGCGCGCGAAATAAGAATATGCATGTAAGGACTTTGTTTAAACCATTTATTACCTGTATTATGAATTTTTCTGTACATTGTTTGGTGAAACAAACAAATGACATGTAGAAATACTTAAACATATAGGTAACTATAATGTGCAAACCTCGTAATGTTTAGCATCTATATGCCTTATACCCATTAATAGTTCAGATTTAAAATCTTAATCTGTGTTGTTTGGTACATAGCGCGTAAATAACTTACAGAAAGTGAGAATACTTAATCGTCTAATGAAATTGAAGCATTCAAAGTGGCGTGCTGGCAAACACCTATTACACAAATATAAGGTTATTTTATATCAAAATGATCGTCTCTTTGCGTACAGTAATAATAAGACTTACCGATACCGAAGTATCGAACCCGAAGAAAGAATCTGCCATTGGAATTTTTCATATATCATGGACACAAATGACATGACTTGTCACGGTACATATGTCGCAATGGCGATCGCGGCCATGACATTTTGTGTGGAGTAGGGAGGTACTCAATCTTCTATCTAAGGACTCCAAACAGAATAGTAATAATTTTATTTGTATTTTTTAGTTAATTTAAATCAGGAAATTATACTAGAACTGTTCCATCTGAAATAAATTTTAGGTTGAGAAAATAAAATGAGGACGATTAAATCCTACATCTATTATAAAGATGGCGATAATTAACTAAACCGAATCATATTTTTCCCTATTATTATACTGGCATGGTCAACTGCGTATTTTGTTTTTTAAAACTAAAGTAACTAATACAGTAGTTTCATCATTTATTTTTTACATCCTTTCTTTTTAATTCAGTATTTATTACCCATTAAAAAAATGACTACTTGTTTTTCTACTCTAATTTCGTTCAGGAAACTACAGACCACTACAGTTAATTTAATATCGTTTCTCGTACTTGTAACGTAATGTATGACAGAAGTACAGAACAAAAACAGTAACATCAACACAACAGCTGATGTCGGAGTAGGAGTCCTTATCTCTTAAAACTGTGATTTTCGCAAATAATAAATATGTGTAATTTTTTTTAGTGTTGAAAATACAGTTAAAAAAGTGCCAATTGGCTCTGTTATTACTCTAAAGCAAATTATATTGCGAAAATTATTAATTTCTGTTTTCCCGAAGAGAAATTTAATAAGTTTGGCTTGCAGTTACAGGTAAAGTTACATTAAAATATATTTTTTTAATTTAATTTACATTAAATAAAGAATAGGTACTTATTGCAAATAACATCGAAACATACTTTTACATAATTAAAACTTGAAAGGAATTAGGTCTATGATTATCATAAAGTTCATGTCCAAAGGGCACAATGATTTACAATATTATTTTAACAAGCATGTAGTTTTTTAATATTATTTTTGTTAAAATATTTGCATAATTTGCTATTGCTTATAATTGGTTACAAAAGTGTATGGGCATAGTTTTGTGTTGCTGTATTCTTGAGGTTAAACTCTAATCGGTTAGCTCCAAACGGAGCACCTTTTGCGGTGGCTTCAAAACTTAGATTATACATAAATAAATATACTGGAATTGCTGGCTTAGTTATCATTCATACATTAAATAAGAGTTGACCTTTATCCTTATTTGCTACCCTGCCCCTTCCTCATTTCTTCTCTTCCACCACTGGTGGTCACAATGTGGGATTCCATTTTCCTGTTCTTATTTATTCACTTATGAAAAATTGCAAATTTTGTGACATAATTTAAATAAATTAAAACACTTATGCCAACAATTTTATAGATGACTAGCCATTGCCGTGACTTCTCACGTTAAAATTTCTTATTTTGTGTTTAACTAACTTTTAAAATGACAAACTTCCGTACAAACGTTCACCCCATATTATTAAGGCTAAAATAGACAAACAAATTCTTAGCGAGAGCTTACAACAAAAGAACTGTTGAAAAAAAAAAAAAAAAAACTCCCAAAAATTCAAATTTGTCTCCCCATTATAGATTGCACGTACAGCAGACTTACAATGTGTCTGACAAAATGTAAAAACCATTAAAACTGTCCGGCTATTGAGGTAACAATTTTTTATAGGTCCCCAAGTAACATATATAAAACTGGCTAACCCTGCAAACATTGTTTTGCTATTTACATTATTTAAAATGTTTTTTTTTTTAATTTCTTAAAATCCGTTCTTATCTGACCTCTACTCGGTGAAAAGAATATTCCTACCAAATTTCAAGTCTTTAGCTCTAATGGTTCCAGAGATATTGTGATGAGTGACTATATACGTGGAAATCTCTTATATATATATATAGATTATAATTTATTAAAGTTTAGAGGTGTCTGGCAGGGGGTAACAACTGTCATAGCATTTTATCATCATTCGCAAAAATATTTGAATCTCTGGTTTTCAAACATCTATTTCTATATAGTCATATTAAACCAATGCTCTCAGATAAACAACATGTTTTTTTTTAGAGCAAGTCGACAATTACCAACCTGTTATTGTACAAAAGTTATCTTTGTCAGGCATTCGCTGTCGGTGGTCAAGTTGACTTGGTGTTCACCAAATTCTCCAAGGCCTTCAACAAGTTTCTTTTTTTGTGAAAGAGGGGGCAAACGAGCAGACGGATCACCCGATGGAAAGTGACTACTGCCGCCCATGAACGCCTGCTACTCGGGAGTCATAAGGACTGCGCTCTTTTCTTGAAGGTGTTAAGGTCGTACAGGTCCGGAAATATCGGAAACGATAACTTGTTCCACAGATTGGTTCTGCGAGGAGAAAAATGTGTTACATTACATTGGTATTTGTGATAACAGACTAGAGTCTGAGGTAGGTTTCAAGAAAACCTGTGTCACAGGCCCCCATTGCTGAAACAATAGTAATGCTCTCATAAGATAATAATGCTATACAGCTTAATAAATTGTGTACACGAACAATATACAAAAAACAATATAAAAAATGTAATGACACAATCAAATGGTATAATATTTTAAAAAAATATACAAGTGCCCTGTTTATCTAGTCGTGCCTACTGACTGATAAACTGCAGGTCCTGGGTTTTATCGTCACCCAGGATAAGTAATAATGTGATGAGCAGGATTATTTGATCTGAGTCTGGGTGTAATTTATCTTTCATTTGTATATACCTATTTAGTCCGTGCCTCGAAGAACACGTTAGGCTTTCGGCGTCGTCCCGGTTGCTATACGAACATCTGTGGTTAGCGTTAAAATGTCCGACAACCGTCTTTCTACGGAACTTTGATATCGCCTACTTGGGTTGTGGAGGTCAGTAAAACAAAGTAACAAGTACAAAGTAAAAAGGAACAGACTAAGTGTCGCAAATAACACTTAGTCTGTTCCTTTTGACATGTAGTATCCATTTATAAACTAAAAGAGATCGTTCAACATCTTAAGACGTTAATGATGCAAATTTGTAATACTTTAGGTCATCTATTTCGAGCCCGTTTTTCTAGTTTTTCAGAATAATCTCGAATAATAACTAAGTCAGGATTCCTTTCCATAACTTTCTCAATTTTTTTATTCATGTTTTAAGATGCTTTCTAATTCAATTCAGTTCTTACATTATCGAATGCAAGGAAATGCGTCACCGATCGTCTCATCTTTCACAACTTTTTTCTAATTCAAGTATTGATAATTTTATAATTCTATAATAATTATCAATTTCTTTTAACTTTGCTTCTAAGTTTTCTTTATTTACTACATTTTCTGAATTTCTTATTGTGAACTGTTTAAATGAGAAAGCACGTCTTTTATTTGAGTGAAAAGTTTGGTGTAGTACGATGCTGCCGCTAACCAGGTGAGGCACCTGCCTCATCTAGTAATTACTGGCTGTGGAGGCAGCGGCAAATCATTGATTTAAAGTTCTGACTGTATTTGGGGCCTATAAAAAACGTCAACGTTTGGATATTCCAGTCTAATCTGCTCTGATACCCATGATACTGCAAAGTGCATGAACTAAACATGTCACATGTTTCATAGCAGAAAACAATAATTTTGAATGAAACAAACTGACATGTGCAACTTCATTTGCATCCCTCAAAAGGAATAAATTTTATCCGTTTTTGCATCTTTTTGTCATTGAAACTCCGCTCCCATTGGTCATATCGGGAAGTTAGGTAAATAGCCTGTAGTCTACCTAGATAAATGTGCTATCCCACACTACACCAAAGGGTTTTTCAATTCTTACCAGTAGTTCCTGAGATAAGAGCGAAGTCACACGATGCGTTGACGGTGCGGTGCGGTGTCGCACCGTAATTAATTCGAAGTATTGGGTGCCACGGATTGGCACCGCAGTGCACCGCTGTTTGGGAGATATGAGATAGTCCATATCTATATTTGACAACTTACGATTGATATAAAATATTATTATTACCTACATATTTTACAACATATGCGGTCTGCGACATCAGAGTGGCAGCGGGCCGCTTCGGCGCATACACCCTGCCCTCTCGTCTTGGACCGGTGTGCGCGCGGCCCGGCACCAAAACGCACCGTGTGTTATACTATACATATTTGTATGTATTTAGACGCAGCGCCACCGCTTAGGCGCCGCGCCGGAGCCGCACCGCTTCTTGTGGCTTCTCCCTTAGCGCGATCAACGAAACAAACTAGCAAACTCCATATAATTTAAATGTGGTTTAAAAATAATAGTTTTCTATATAAACCATGTCTATTTTATTGTGCGATTGCAATTGTGTTTCACAGTTATGTAAAAAAAAACACTAAAAAGGTTTTTTTTTATGAAAAATAGACAGACAGACAGAGGTGGTGTGGAGGTCTGATAGCAGTCGCTCCTCTTAAAAAATCGAAGTTCGAAGAATTAGTTCGAAGAATTCGAAGATTAGGTATATTTTTATTTTAATAATAATTACTTGACAAACTTTACACAGCGCCGTCTGACCCCAGAGCCAGTATAGTCGGGTTGTCAGAGGTTTGCATTTACTCAATACCTGCGTAAAATCATCAGCTGAACAACTTTTGTTTTCAACTTTTTTCGCCTTAATGCTTTATTTCCGAGATATTGCAAGATAACTGGAAGAAAATTCATTATTTATTTATTTACAACGTTATCCACTTGTGTACAACGGCGGACTTAATGCATGATGTGGGCAATAACCTTTAGTTTCCGCCAGATTTCTTTAAATTCCATCCAGTATCGAAAAAACATGTTTTTAGAACCTCTGACACCCCGACTAGTACTATTGCAACCGTACAGATAGCCTTAGAGTTGACCCCAGTTCGTTACAGATAAGTGAAATAAATTCAACATTAATTATTATCACCAACATCAAACCTATCTATGTATATATAAAAATGTTAAGTTGGTTTGTGTGCGCTTCATAAACTCGAAAAATTCTGCACCGATTGAGCTCAAATTTTGACACGATAACATTCAAAGATGTTTTTTTTTTGCAACTACGATGTGTCAATACGAAGCGTGGCAAGGTACAGATATTGATAATAATAATAACCTGACATATCTGACACGGCCATCTGATCCCAAACTAGGCAGGCAGAGCCTGTGCTGTAGTCCAGACTACTGATAAACACCCTTATAAATAGTCAAAATAGACATTCACCCTTGCATAAACTCCCAAGAAGCTAAATTTTTACATGTACGTCAGGGTTAACCATTATAATGAAATTTTGAAATCATCGACGCCATGTGTATTTTTTTTTTATGCACGTTCGCAAAAATGATTTATATTTTAGTGAAACGGTTATTTTCATGATATAAATAAGTCAGACTAAAATGTAGATCATGCAATTATCTACAAAAATTGTCCGTACACCTTTAACAATCCTTACACCTTTTCCCTTAAAATTCACCATATCTGAGAAAAAGCGATTCTAAAATTTACTAAATTTGTATTCCTCATTACATGTTTATATCCTTGGATGCATAATAAAAGTGAAATTATTAGTTTACGTGACTAATACATTAATATTGAATGATAATTCTGAGAATATGAACTGAAAAGAAACTCTCATTCTTCAAGAACACCTCTCTCATTCTTTGTGACATGGACACGTGCTTTCCAAGGGCTGCTCAATAAAGATGGTTTGCCTACCTACCCTTGATCGTATCGTCAAACAATACCTATGTGCTATTACGTTAAATACTTGCTTTTAGTAGATAGTATACACGATGATTTAGGAGGACTCGCGAAGTTTTCGGGATTGATAATTAATTACCTACTCATTTGTACTTAGCCAAAAAAATAGCGTATTTTTAACTAAACATTCTGTTTCCATCCACACAATTCTTTAGTTTTCTAACAGATGGCGTTAGGAGTACAATAAAATTATAATCAATAAAAATGGCTGTCTTATTAAAAATGTGTATAAAATAATATTTATGATAGATAAACACGTCGAGACATGAATCGAAATTACTGTTCCAAAGCCCAAACCTAAAAGTGTGATATTTTTTCAGTTAAGTGTACCACCAAAATGCATAGATCGTGGGATTGTGTTAGGGCTAGCTTTGCTTGGCCTGATTACATAAACACGGCTGCATAAAACTATAGGAGTCCAGGATATATCTATATTAATTAATATTATGAAGAATTTGTTCGTTTGGTTGAACTCGCTTATCCTAGGAACTACTGGTTCGAATTGGAAAGTTTCCTTATTGTTTAATAGCCCATGTATCGAGAAGGCTATAGGCTATATAAACATCACGCTACGGCCAATAGGAGCCGAGCATCAATCCAAAAATGTTGCAAAAACGGGAAGGAATCCATCCTTTTGAGAGATGTAGGCGAAGTTGCGCGGGTCACCTAGTTCGATATTTATTTATTTACCTATGCACTATTGTACATTGGCGGTCTTAATGCCCAGGGCGTTCTCTTCCAGTCAACCTTTGGGTCAAACACAAACTCAAATATCTTTATTTCATTTTTTTTTTTTAATTAATTGATATCGTCTCTTGTGTAGACTCTAAAGTCATAGATCAACACACACAATAGCAACAATCTCTGTTTTGTCAAATATTTAGCAATCTAAATATATACTATCGAAAATCTCTAATCTGTCCTATCTACAACCGCCCATTTCGAAGGGGTTGAGCCTCATGAGAAAAAAGGGCAAACAAACTCACGGCCAGTCTTTTCAATCAACAGATAACAATGGCATCATTAATTATACACAACATTGTTTTGATGTGTGCGCCAGTATGTAAGTTTTAAGGACTAACAGGTAAAAAGACAATGAAGAGAATACAAGATATAGGAAAAATATGAAATAAAAAAGAAAGTGAAGTAAAACATAAAAAAATGGAAAATTAAATAAAAGACACACTAGCCCACATCACTTTACCCCTACGAAATAGCCTGTGCTACATTAATCCCAAGCATTCTTGTCTTCTATGTAATCCACAATTGAGTAATAGGCTTTCTGACATAGTTTACGTTTTATTGTGGATTTAAATTTGTTTGTACTAAAATCTTGGATACTATTTGGGATTTTATTCTAAAATCGGAAACATTGTTTATCTTTTGGATCTTTTCTTCTTATCATATAACCCAACACAAACAATAAACAGATATCTTAAAACAATAAAACAAGGTTAAAATAGTACACGATTAGATTTTTGAAAAAGTTATCCTCTACCTCTTAAAGGTCAAGGACCATTCCATCATCAGCTCATCAACATGACATAACGACTACTAAATGCAAATACCCTGTGAAATAAGCTAAAACACGTTGTCGGGGCTGTAAAATTTAAGAGTTTCCCTCGGTTTTTTTAGAATCCCATCATCAGATCCTGATTTAGTGGTAAAGGGCCACCCTTTCGATAGCAAAAATAATTTTGAAAATCGGTTTACAATTGACGGAGATATCGCGTAACATAAAAATAAAATTGAGGACATCCTCTTCTATCTTTTTGAAGTCGGTTAGAAATGAAGGCGTTTCCCGTTCCTGTATGCTTTGATCTTTCAAACTACGCATCAGATTGTAATGCGATTTTCATCAACGGACAGAGTAATTTAAAAGGAAGGGTTATATGTATAATACATGCATGTTATAGTAGAGAAAATCCGAGAATTTCAAATATTTGTAACGTGATATCGTAAAATTGCACCAGTACGAACAGGGCGCCAGTTTATTTATATCTGAAAGTAAATATTTTTTGAAAATAAAAAGAACTTCTTTTACATGCATTGTGGATTAAAAATTGAATTTAATCATTTACCAATTAATCGATATTTTGAGCTCCTATATTTAACCGACTTCAAAAAAGAAGAAGTCATCCGACTGTATTTATTTTGAATGTTGTTACCACAAAACTCCGTCATTTATGAATCGTTTTAGAAAATTATTTTTTTATTTGTAAAATGTACTTGCCGTTTTGTCCCATTCAATATTGAAAATAAAATCCTCCCCAAGGGTAACATCGAGGAAAGGCAGGATACAGTTTATCATGATCCCATTGAAGTCGGCGATACTTTTTTTTTAAGCTAGTAACATTAAGAGTATTGTAGTTAGTTAATTGTACACATAACATCATCAGCCTTTAAAAAGTTTACAGGCTGAGTTTATAAGGCCCGTAAATAATATAATTATACTTTGACGAACAAAACGCTTTACAATGAATTACGTTTAATCTTCAGGCAGCGTCTTCATTGTCAAAAAAATTTCAATTCAGAATGTTAACAAAATCTCCTTACACACTAGTACGTCATACATACCATAGAAGTTGAAATGCTACGGGTATTTTATAACTTTTTATACATGAGATACAATGTTGCCATGTTCTAATCAGAACAATTGAATTATACTCCCATAATATATTAGACGCGCGGATATATTACTTTACTGTACGTTTTGTTTCTTATCTAAGTTATTAAAACATTCCTGTGTTTAAAAAAATATGTAAAAAAATATAAAATATAGTATTTTCCAATGTAATGTGTAGTAGTGCCTGAGAAGCCCTTAGAGATTGACGTTCCAGTGCTAAATACATTCGTAAAAATATCATTTGTAGCTTACTCGAGTGGTATTTTTTTTAGATTCCTGTTATATTAAATAAGTATATGTACGGTTTAACGTTTCACTATTTAACGTCTTCATCGTCTGTGGATAATTTTCAGTGAGCATTCCATTAATTTTTTGACCTATTTAGCGAGGTCATTGAAGGCAGCACTATTGACCTTTTACTTGCAAATGTCCAAGCTTGGCGATAGTCTCTTACCAAAAAAATAATAATCAAAGAGCGAGAATTTTAATTTAAACAATCGCCATCAACAGCCTTTACTAGTCCACTGCTGGACATAGGCCTCTCCTTAAAAAGGCATTTTTAGTCTACTATACCACGCTAAAGAAGGAAAACTTGACACAAACCCTATACCAACCCGTCTGGCCAGCGCGGTGTGGTAAGCCAAAACCTCCTTTCTAACGAGAGGCCTATGTCCAGCAGTGGACTAGTAAAGGCTGTTGATGTGATGTGATACCACGCTAGCCGGATGGGTTGGTATATGGTTTATTTCAAGTTTCCCAAAGTTTCCTTTGCGGTGCTGTTGTCCTGCGTAGTTTACTCCCTTAGTCGGCTCCTACAACACCCCCTGGGTAAATAGGGATGGTGACACTATATTTTTAATTATATTTATTTTTTGCAGCAAAATGTTTTGCCAAGTGAAAGTTTCCCAAGGTGTCTTACAAGGCAAAGAGTGCAAGACTTTTTATGGTAAAAAATACTACAGCTTCGAGGGTATACCGTACGCTAAACCACCTATAGGAAGACTTCGATTTAGGGTTTGTATCTTAGGCGCTTTTAAGTATTTTGTAATCCATACTAATATTATAAATGCGAAAGTGTGTCTGTCGGTCTGTCTTTCTGTCTGTTACCTCTTCACGCTTAAACCGTTAACCCGATTTAGATGAAATTTGGTATAGAGATAGTTTGAGTCCCGGGAAAGGACATAGGATAGTTTTTATCCCAGAAATCAATCTTCAAGGGGGTGAAACGGGGGGTGGGAGTTTATATGGGGAATCAATAATCGGTGAAACGATTCAGATGAAATATGGTATGGAGATAGGCTTCTTTTTACCATGATAACCGACATAAAGGTGGGCGAAGCCGCGGGCAAAAGCTACTATGTAGTAAGTTTGATTCCTATGAGTGATCTAGTCCACGCTGCTCTTTAGGTATGAAGCTACAGGATTAAGTGCTCGTAGGAAGCTACAGACACTTTTCGGGCCTATCGTTTAGTGGGCTGCCATGCCCGAGGTCCTTCCTGGATTTTTGACTCTTATTGGCAGATTTTTTTCTTTAAATTTAAATGAAATCCAACAGAAAATATACTCTACCAAATTTAAAAAAAAAACCCAAATCGATTCACAAACAATGGAGTTTTAAAGTAATGAACAAAACAAGGACAACCGGAGTTGACAACTCCATTTTTTGAAGTTGGTTAATAATTCGTAAATCTAAATATTATGTTAATTAAAATCTGTTAAATATTATTATTTATTTACATTTACATCTTACGAGGTTTTCTGTAACCATTTTCAGGATCCTCAGGAACCGGAAAACTGGACAGGCATCCGTGACGCAACCAAACCAGGAAACAAATGCTGCCAGTTAAATCCTTATGGCAACACTGCTTTTGAAGGCTCTGAAGATAGTCTTTATCTAAATGTATACACACCAAGCTTACCAGTTGAAAAAATAGAAAAACTACCAGTTTTCTTTTTCGTCCATGGCGGTCGACTTATATTTGGTCACGGACACTACTACCGGCCAGATTATATATTAAAACATGATGTTGTATTTGTTACTATTAACTACAGACTAAATGTCTTAGGATTTTTGTGTCTGAATATTCCAGAAGTACCTGGAAACGCTGGCTTGAAAGATAGCGTTGCGGCTCTAAGATGGGTTAAAAAAAATATCGGATTTTTTAATGGTAATGCAGATAACATAACCATCATGGGTGAAAGCGCGGGAGCCGCAGTAGTGATGTCACTTATGACATCTAAAATGGCGGACGGGTTGTATCATAAAATTATTTCTCAATCGGGCGTGTCGATGAGTGACTTGTATATGACTGATCGCGTTGATTGTGTAGAAAAGGCCAAGATGGTCGCCTCCAATTTAGGAAAAGATCTGACAGATCCCAATAGACTGTATGAATTTTTAGTCGATGTTCCGATTGAAGATTTGTTAATTGCTTTTAGCGTTGTAGAAATGAGTAAACCGCCATCTGTGATCGCTGCTGTCTTTACGCCAGTAGTTGAGAAAAAATTTCATGGCGTTGAAAACTTTTTCATCGAACACCCCCGGGTTGATATACCATTGAATCGTTTTAATAAAGTGCCTTTATTAATTGGCATGCATTCACACGAAGGTGCATTATTTTTACAAAGAGATTCAGAAGGCAAAATCATTTTTGAAGAGGATTTCTACTTTTTCGTGCCTACACAGTTGTGTATAGAACGTGATAATAAACAAGTTGCCATAATAGAAAAAAAGCTTCGTGAATTTTATTTTAACAATAGAGATGTGAACGAAAAAACTATATCGGCATATATCGATATGGTTTCGGATCGTTACTTTAGTTTCGATATAATGCATAATATTGAGGTGATATCGAAGTTTTCTCCGAATGTTTATGCATTCAGGTTTCAATATAACGGTAATATGAATACTAGAATTATGAAGAATTTGGGATTGGAAGGGGGCTCTCATGGTGATATGATACAATACCTGTTTTATAGAAAATGCAAACACGAGAGAGCCACAGAAAAAGATTTACAAATTGTGGAAATGTTGAGCGAAGCTTGGTATAACTTTGCTAAAAATGGGTGAGTGTTACTGTTTATTCTCTTATACTTTGGTAACGGCGTATGGGCCTCAGGTGAAATGCAAGAAAATAATTGTCTAATCGGTATTGGAAACAGCTGAAACCTTCTCTATTTACCCCATACGATTTTTCTTAGTTCTTACCGAAAATCCTATCTTCTATAGAATGTTATTACTGTCACGATCAACCTACCTAATATAAGTATCATCAACAACATCCTTAAATAGTCCACTGCTGGACATAGAGCTTTCCTTTGAAAGGAGGTTTTTGGCTACTATACTACGCTGGCCAGACGGATTCATATAGGGCTTGTGTCAAGGTTTCCTTCTCTTTGCAGTGCTGTTGTCCTTCGTAGTTTGATCCCTTATTTCCGCTTTGTATTTCCAGAACACCATCTTGGAGTGGTCAGAAAACAAAATGGCTGCCGTATACACCGACAGAAAAACTAACACTAGTTATAGATCGTAATATTGAATTAGTTCGAAACCCTGATACACATCGATGGAAATTTTGGCAAGGAATTATTGGGGAATCTTCAAAGTTATAAAAATTATATCTGTAGTAAAAAACGGCTTTCTGTAGTAAAAAACCAATGCTTAATATATTTTATAGGTGTATGATAACAGTTATTACAATTATTCATCAACAGCCTTTAATAGTCTACTGCTGGACATAAGCCTCTCCTTAGAAAGGAGGTTTTGGCCTACTATACCACGCTGGCCAGACGGGTTAGTTTAGGGTTTGTGTCAAGTTTTCCTTCTCTCTGTAGTGCTGTTGTCCTGCGTAGTTTTTTCCCTTAGTCGGCTCTTGTGACACCCACGGGATGAATAGGGGTGGTGACACTGTATTCTTAATCCGTCACCACACGGACACAATTATTAATAAAATAATAATGTAGGAATATTAAATAAAAGGATACCTGTAACTTATAGGCAGGTATATGTTTGAGATGGTGTTTTTTTACACATCCACCGTCAGACGATAGATGCGTAAAAAATGTACATCTTGTTTAACTAGTTATTTCTTGTAAAATAAGAGTTGGAAACTCAATAAGTAATTTGTTCTATTATTCTCTTTTATAATTTGAAATGGGATGTTGCATAATTTAAGTTATTTATTCTGTGATAAATTTATGATAAAAATTACAATCCTTCAAAAGTTTTTTAGTTTCAGCCGTAGGGAAACGAGAGTAGTGGTCTATGCCATCAAACCGAAAGTTTTCTTAAAATTATGAAAACAATACGTATCTCATCCTGAAGTCTCTAGAAAAACTGAGATACGAGTCATACTTTTATATTGCAAAATAGTTCGAAATTCGGCAATTTTTTTGGTTCTCGAAAGTTATTTAAAAAGTATTGGTTTTACAGAAAAATGTTACGAGTAAAAGTTGTTCAAGAGACAACTTTACATAGGGATTAATGATTTTAAGAAATCAACTAAGTTTTCATTGTTTATTTTTGGCCCTGAAACCTGGAATTGGAAAAACGGGAAAGTGAGTGAAAAAGTATTGGATGTACCTATACATACGTATTTTTTTTATTAATTTTAAGCCAAATTTCGGCTTGATGGCATCGACCACCACTTTCCCTAATTTTCATGTCTCTGGGGCCGTGACTATGTCACTAAACAGGTTGGTCAAAAGCACCTCAACACTACACTGAAAATCATTGGTAAATAGTGGTTTGCCACTTAAAAGCATTTGCGACTGACGCTCATAGTCAAAAGCACTCCTCAGTCAAAAGTGATTTTGACCAACCTGTTCAATGAAATGCAGTTTTGAGTGACAAAATCATTGATTAGTAATCTTGATTTGTGATTAATAGTAATGCTAATACTTTAAACCAGTTTTATTGTTTACAAGTACGTTTTACTCTATCACCAGTCAAAAGTTATTGTGGGCATTTATCTGACCGAAGACTTTTTTGACCAGGCATTTACCAGACTGGTCATTTTTCTGACGTTTTCAGTTTGAATGTTACCTGACAAGTTATTTGTTTTTTTGTAGTTAATATCTTTTATTGGAAATATATCGTCCAAACTTCCTTATAAGTACCTCGACGGGGATTAGTAGACTGCACGGATGGCGCAGTGGTTTAAGCGGTCGCCACGCCGCTTCCTACTGCGCCGAGTGTTGTGGGTTTAAACTCCACATGGGACAGGAATATATTCCTAATGCGGGAGTTCTTTTTAAAAAAAAATATGCTGGGCATAATATTAAGTATGAAATTGGTTTTGATATATAACTGTTTTGTAAAAACTTTATTTCCTTTTTTTACCTTATAAGATAAATATAAAGTACATATGTACTTAATTTTGTTTTGAGATTTTTTTACCCCATAACCAATATTTATTTTTTTACTTATACCCACTTAGTATGTATTAATGAATGGTGTAATTATATTTAGGGATTGATCATCATCATCATCACGAATTTTATTTGGGGTTACAAATACAAATGACTTGACGACCGGATGGCATAGTGGTTTGTGTAACGGACTGCTATTCCAAAGGTCGCGGGTTGGATCAAGCTCAAGTCAAACATTTGTGTGCATGAACATTCAATGTTTGATTTGGTCTGGGTGTGTCTATGTATAATATGTATGTATTTACAAAAAAAAAGTATATATGTACTAGTTGACCCGGCAAACGTTGTTTTACCATATACATTATTTCTAGGAAATATAAAAAAAAATTAGGGGCGGGTCACCCTTGTCATTTAGAGGGGTATGAAAAATAGATGTTGGCCGATTTTCAGACCTACCCGATGTGCACACAAAATTTCATAAAAATTGGTCCAGCCGTTTCGGAGGAGTATGGTAACTAACATTGTGACACGAGAATTTTATATATAAGATTTATATCAGTTGTCTAGTACCCATAGTACAAGCTCTGCTTAATTTGGGACTAGATGGCGTTGTGTTAATGTAGTAAAATATATTATATTACATGTTTTGGTCTTCCAACCTTCCTTCAGAATGTCGATTACATACCCAAGGAGGACTTTCAGATGGATAGACCACGAGGTGATCATACTGTTCAGATTTGCGGCGAGTTGAGACATAATGACGGGCGTGTTGTTTTAGTGGTTAGTGATCTGCTGGGCTCAATTCCCTCTCAAGACTAATATTGAGTGATGAGTATCACGTTATAGAGCCCACAACCGAGCACTTTAGTGATTAGATGGGCAGATTACGAGTATATTAAAATCAATTGTAGGTGAGAAACTAAAATTATGGAAGGAAAAGGTTATTGCTTAAATACGGATGGATTAGGGGGGTGTAACTCTAATTGGGTATCGGAAAGTCGGGGCCCTCTTGAATATATACAAATAAATAAAATTGTAGTATCTGTTTGTAATGTCAAAATAATGGGTTTTTTTATGCTCACACGGTAATTTGCACGATACCTATGCCTAAAAACCAGTTTAAATATTTTTTGTCTGTTTGCTCGGTTAATTTCCAAAACGGCTAGATCGATTGATAATATTTAACTACCAGGTAGCTGTCTATATGTATAAGAAGTAACTTATGTTATTTTGCCTCTCAGAATAACCCTATAAAATTTTGTCAAGTCCGGGAATTGAACCCGAGACCTCATGGACTGCACTCGCGTTCCTTACTACAAAACTAAGGCAGCGCTTTTTAAATTACACCCGAACGAAGTCGCGGGTACCAGCTAGTCTATACTAATATTATAATATTACAATGGGATGTCCTCAGGGATCGGTGCTAGGTCCATACTTGTGGAATATCGGCTTCGACGATTTTCTTGCGATACCAATACCATCCGGATGTACTCTGAACGCGTATGCTGATGACGGCTTATTACTGGTGGAATCTGATACTAGGGCGGGGCTTGAGAGATTAGCCAATAGATGTTTGAACTTGATATCTCAATGGGGTGAACGTAATTGCTTAAATTTTGCACCCAACAAAACCTTCCAGCTACTTTTAAAAGGTAACCTCAAATCACCGCCGAGCATTAGATTTGACAATGTTACTGTAAAAAATAAGGCCTCAGTGTGTTACCTAGGATTAGTTTTAGAAAAAAAACTTTTCATTTATCGAACATATTAAAATAGTTAATGAAAAGTCTAAAAAGAGTTTCTGTGCATTGACAAGGATATCAACTGCGACATGGGTCTATCATTTAATACATTAAAGATCATATACGGAGCTACTTATTTAGGTTCTATGTGCTATGGTGCACCTGTATGGGCCGATAGGGCGACCGCAGGCGCTGTCCGTCGCAAACTGTTACAAGGCCAACGACTTGCACTGATATTCTTGTGCAAGGCATATAGGCCGTCCTATATGAGGCTTTGCCGGTGTTGGCGGGTGTGCTTCCGGTCGATCTCGAGGTGCAGAGACGTGCAGCCATGTACTATTCAAGACAACAAAACATGGAATGCGATTTTTTGGGCGCGCGGGATCGCGGTAAAATTACAAGATTGCTTCAACAGCAGTCCGATGTCTATAATGACCTCATAGACGAATGGCAACAACGCTGGGATGAATCATCCAAGGGGCGCCATCTTTACCAATTCTTTCCATCTGTTCGCGAACGGTTGTCGAGGACATGGCTTGAGGTGGATCACTGTGTCGCTCAATTTCTTACGGGTCATGGTAACTTTAAGAGCAAGCTTTATTCATTTAAATTAGTCGAGTCACCATTGTGTCAATGCTCAACACCTAACTCTCACTATGAACAGTCTGCTCATCATATCCTCTGGGAATGTAGTCTTTGGTATAATGAACGTAATATAATGCTGAATACCTTGGATCTTGTGTCAACTAGGGTGAATTTCCGTGCGTTTAGGCGATTCTGCCATACATATTATAGAAATCAAATATAGCTCACGTAGGACCCGTAATATTTCGTGGCCGTGGTGCTTCCCTGTTAAAAGGGTGAATGCCCATTTTACTTCATTTTGTCTCCTGCTTTGCTAAGGAGGGAAGTGGATTTACTGTATTTCCAACTCCTCCAATTTTCTTCTGATTAATTTCGTTGCGGGTTCCAAGACAGTTTAATTTCTTCCTGGGACTTCCCGAGTGTCATAACTCGGTGTGTTCGTGGGTCACTGCTGTGGATCCTGGTGTACAGGAGTTACAGTGGTGGGCGTGTGGGCGGGATTAGTCCCACTAAAAAAAATATATAATATAAAGCCGAAGAATTTTATTGTTTGGTTGAATGAGCTAATCTCAGGAACTACTGGTTCAAATTGGAAAATTCTTTTAGTTTTGGATAACCCATTTATCGAGGAAGGCTATATAATATCACTATATCACCAATAGGAACCGAGGATCAGTGAAAAACGGTACAATAAAATTTATTCATTTTGAGAGACGAAGTCGATGCAGCGCGAGTCAGCGAGGTTCTTAAATATTTATCGGTAATTATATAAACACACCATTCTCGTAACAAAGTTTAAAGATACTTAATTTTTTAATACATTTATTTTTGTTCAAGTGCAAACTGAACATATAATACTTTTTTTGAACTTCGATAGATGGCGTTGTTCCTTTTACCTGAATCGCGTTATTGTTTCGCTCAACCTACTGTTATAAGATGGACTGTGTATTATTTTTTAATGAACCATCCTTGGGTAATAATACAATATTTTAGAACAAGTAAGAAGTTGTAGTTTTATTTACTCCACTTAGTTACCCCTACCAGTGCAATTGTGTTGTTCCCGATTAAATACCAGGCAACTCTTGGTATTTACGAATATTAATAAAATCTTGAAGTTTTATTACACACTCATAAACATTTTTGTTCCATAATTCTGCTCCTAAGTCCACTCTTACGTGTTTTGAACCCTGTTTATCTCATTGCTGTTTCGTTGTATAATTGTTACACGTGAAATAGTCACTGGTAGTTAATGAATTGTGGCGACTTCGACGTAGGTACAATGTTACACCAACACACTTCAGTGCCATCTACCGATGACACACCGAACTACGTAGTAACTGCTAATCGTGTATCGCGATATGAGAATACTCACATCGATTAGCACATATACAACTTCCCAACATGAACTAGGAGGATCCTGCCTTTGTGTTGGAGGGACATAATACCTGTTTTTTTTTTTTAATTTTAAAAACATGAACGAGCCTTACAGCAGTCGTATCATTATGATGTGTAACATCTTACATCTGACCTACCATTTGACGGACAAGTCTATCACCAATGGTCAAGTCAAATAGCGTTCGACTTCCTGTTATATAGTTTTGTCGTGCTATCGTGCTGGTAGAGCGGGCTATATTAACTTTTATTACTCTAAATATTATAGAAACTTCCTCCGAGCCTTTTTTCTCAAACTAGGTTGGGGTCAGCTTTAAGTACACTACGATACGGCTCAACTTCGTTCAAAAAATCACACTAATTAATCCCATGTCCCAATGGCCTCTTTTATCACAAGACTTCCCCAAGGGTTCTTGACCCCAGCCTCTCAAGCTACTACTGTCTCAGGCCTTCCAATACCTGGGGTATATCTTACCCTAGTTTTCTGACCCTATCTGGTCCTTACTCCAATTATCTTCTGTCGTTGTCCTATATAAAAACGATTACTTTCCAGGTTTCAAGGTTTTCCTTCTCTTTGCGATGTTGTTGTTCTGCGTAGTTTGTTCCCTTAGTGGGCTCTTACGACACCCACGGATTGAATACGGTGATACTCGGTAATTCTTAATCCGTCACTATACGGAAGACCACACCGTCAACCCACGGAATTGACTGTGGGCGTGCGTGCGGCATGTACGTGCGCGTACATGCCGCACGCACGCACACAGACACACACACACACACATTCACTCACACACACACGCAAAGTTAACATATATATTTTTTCAGAATGCTTATACTGTGTATTAATTCAATGTAACAAATTTTTTTATCATTTATTTTTGAGAAGCAACTAATTCCCAATATACAGCTCACGCTAGTTTGGAAATCAGAGCTAGCGCTTCAATTCCATGTACTTTTTGTCACAATATAGAATATTACATACATTTTTATTCTAAAATATTCTTATATTACAATATAACATAATCTCTAGCAATTCAAATACACAAACATGAAATTAGTACTTTCATTACTTAAGAATTGAATTCGTTTATGGACATTATTTCTGAAGTGACTCATAAAAATTCACGAACTTATTAACTCCAACGTTCTTCGGTAAGTCAGCCACTATTGGATCGTTGGCCCTGATTAGTTGTTCAGCCACTCCATTTGTGGTCGTGGGGTCTATATTTATATTGTTCAACATTTTTTCCCTGCGTTCTTTGATGTAAAGATCCTGCCAGAATTCTGCTTTTTCTCTGTCTTGGTTTGACTCAAGAGACAGTTCTGAACTTATGTTTAGATAGTTCAACTTGTCTCTGGATACTGGTGACCAGAGTACAGATAAGTAAAACTCTTTGTCTGGTGTTGGTTTTCTGGAAAAAAGACAGTAAAGTTTTTTAAACATTGGCTAAGTAAAATTTTGACTGAATTCTTTTATCGTGTTCAATTCAATTGTTCTATTTAATCACCATACCATATAGATTGATTTAACAGAATAAATTTCACGAAACTCTTCCCTAACAGAGCATAGTCTAAAAGTAGCATTGTCTTCCACAAAAAGAAAAGATCCATTGCATCTACCGTTTTCTAAAATGTCCTTTTGAAGAGTTGCTTTCTAAAGCTTCTTATTTTACCATTAAGGTGTGGGCGGACAAAGATGCAGACTGGTTGATGACAAGTGACTACTGCTGCTTGTTGACATTTACAAATAAGTGCATTTTTCTACAATGAGGGTTTTCGATACTTTTTCTGCCACCAGACGGCGCTTCGTCAGGTCCAAACAGCTGTCAGATAGCACAGATTCTTATCGAACGTATAATTTTTTAGTGAAATGCTATGTATTTGGAAGTGTTATTGAGTTTATTATGGATTACGGCCAGAGAAAGGTTGCCGAACTGAAGATTTAGCTCAAAAAGAGAGGCGCAAAAGTTTTATTTGCACACAGAGGCACTGCACAACACTGTGGCATTTTAGAAAACAATATTCCTTTTGTAACGTTTTTAAGAATTAATAAACCAAAAAAATGATCGAAAAATACAAATTATGTATGTGTTTTGACAGGTGGTTGGACCTGACGCTACAGTGCTGCCATCTAACGTGGAACATTTCAGAAAACCCTCATTGGTACAAAAGTGTCGCAATTTGAGTGTCAACCCCTCCTTTCTCCACCACAAATTCTGAGGTTTGCAATTGAAATTCATTGAACGAACAATTTTGGAAGACATTTTTGCTATACAAGAAAATAACATATTTCTAACTTATTTTTCAACTACCCTCTTGTACTACCTTCCAAAGCATGGTCAATTATAGTCCGCAAAATGTGGTGTTTAATATGCCTCTGTATAGACAGACATCTTTATTCTCGAAGGGGTAGCCCTTCGGGAATAAAGATGTAAGTGAATGTATGTATTGTACAGATAATATGTATGAAAGGACCGTTTTTTTTTAAAGACAACTTCCGGGGGACTTTACAAACATACATGAAACGGACACAAAGAACACCCAGACTCAGAACAACAATTTGTGGATCACACAAAGTGTCGTCCCATGTGGGGTTTGAACCCACAACAGTCGGCGTAGTAGGAAGCGGCGTGGTGGCCGCTTAAACCACTACGCCATCCGTGCAGCCAAATGGATGTATGGATGTTTGTACCGAGACAAAAAATAATAATTAACAAACTTACCCAGTCTTCGCAAAATTTGTCCACAGCCTCAACATACGTTCCCTCATTTCAACATCCCGAGCACTGTGCACTATATCTTCTTGATACTTGCTCCTGAATAGATACCCCAGTTCATCCATATTCAACGCCTGTTTTAAATTTGCGTGTTTTTTACGGCTAATATTAAACGCACCTGTATAATCAAAATTATAATAGTAAACAGGTTGTTTATCCACTTCTACTAAATATTTAATATATTTGACAATATCAGTTTTGACCGCTCGGTCACACGCCAAATGAGAGTAGCCATCCAAACTTTTACTGTCACCATCATGTGCTATCAGGTACAGTTGCTTTAATTTTTGTACAATTGCTAAAGACTCTTTAGAATTCTTCGTAACATTTATCTCCTCAGGAATGAACACTTGCAGATCGTCAATTATTTTTTCAAATGAGAACTCCAAACCACATGTGCCGATCATGACGGGGACGTCTGCTATCCGACCTGATCGTACTAAGTCACTGAATGGTTCATAAATAAATGCTTCGACACCAGCAAAATAGTTTTCGATAACAGGACCAAAGGGACTGAAATTACCAAGGAAATCATCGTTGGAGATCATGTCATCATATCCTTTCACGAGCTCTATAGCAGAACAATTTCGCAAGTGCTCTAGAACCTTTTCAGGATCAGCAGATTTACAGCCTAACATTTTAGCTAGGCTTGCGGCAGTATCCTCTGGATTTCTCTGAAGAGCCCAGAAGTTAAACGCTGTTCCTGATTGAATGATTGCCTTACTTATCAATTTCTTTGTAAGCTGACTAACTGTTAAATAACTAACTGCAGCGCCACCGGCACCTTGGCCAAAAATAGTTATATTTTCAGGGTTCCCGCCAAAATTATGGATATTACTTTTTACCCACTTAATGGCGGCTGCAATATCTTTCATACCGGCATTTCCTGGAACTTCAGGAATATTCAAACTTAGAAACCCAAAAACACCAGATCTGTAGTTCAGCGTGACTATAACCACATCTTTAGCTACTAAATAATCAGGGCCCAAGTCGATATTTCCTGAACCAAATTTGAAACCGTCTCCTTGAATAAAAATCATAACTGGGAGATTTGCTTTTTCTAAGTTTGGTGTGTAAACATTTAGGAATAGGCAGTCTTCATCCCCAAAATAGTTTCTGTTGCCAAAGTAATCCACCTTTGAATGAGGGTTGTTATTTCCTTCTGCTGTTGCATCTCGAATACCTTGCCATTCTTCGGGTGCCTGGGGATCCTGAAGATTCAAAAAAATTATTTATAAGCATGTCAAATGAAACACAAAAGCGTAAAAGTTATCCAACACGTAAAAACTACTAATTTCTTTTACTTCTTTCTTAGAGTTCTTACCTTAAACCTCAAAGCCCCTATTGGAGGTTTAGCATATGGTACACCTTGGAAACTGTAGAACGTTATACCAATGGGGTTTGTCACGACACGGCCCCGAAGCTGGCCCTGCGCGACTGACACGGTGGGTGCAGCAGTCATTCTGGACTTTGTACGCTGAAAATATACTGATATGAATCCAAAACTTTCGATATATTTTGCTGGTATAGACACAAGAGATTGTCTCTGAGATGGTGCTAGGATAAGGTGAAGATTTTTTTTCTATGGATGATATGAATCGATATATATATTTTACTTAATCGTCCTTAACTAATAAACCAAGTTTGGAGGATTTACCTCTCTCTTATTTTGTCTTTGTTCGAAGTAGAAAAGAGCGGGTATTCACTTATTAAACATAGACGTTCAAATGATATGCTCAATTGCAACTGCCTCGGTTTACTTACTACGGGGGCCAGAAGCGCCTCGTGTGCGCTGTATTCTTTTTCTTCAGGCGCCCACCGCCCAGGTGTACCCCTCAGACGAGGACTCTATTAAGCGGTTTATCTATAGCCATACAATGAAATACGACCATTTCATGAAATATTATCGGACATATAATAGCGTGGTTAATTCAATCGTGGCTATTTTTTACTGCAGTTTTTGTCTGCAAATATAATTCAATCGATTTACTTACGAGAATAAACAAATACTCTTGGTATATCATACAATAAACATAATAATTAATACTTAATATATTCCTCCTATTTTGTAAAAGCATTTGCACTAAACATGCACACTTACCTAACATACAATTAACCTTATCGTTTATAAAACGTTCGATTGTTACGATTACTTTAAAATTGCAAACAATCTGTTTAAAATCTAACAACTATACAAAAATTAATGTACCTACCTACTTATCTACTATAGTTAACTATTAATCATTTTTAAAATATTCATAATCATAAACTTGCATTATTTATCACGTACTCGTTCGTACGCATACATTTTAATTTTATCAAATCTTTTGTTAATCAGTGATTAATATTGTTTTTTACAATTTACAATTACTAATTATACACACGCTTATTTAAACAGAGCCTAAGTGGCGCCTAATCAGCAGGTCAGAAAATAAAAAACACGCAAATTGTACACTAAACTGATAAATCTCGACAAGTGTCCACAAACACAAGCGTGTAAACGGGGTGTTTGGCTTGGCTTGCGTGATAGTACGAGATCCGGCTGCAGAATCAGTGCACTCATCGAGTATGTGCTAAAAACCCAGTTATATCCATATTAATGATTAGGAGATTATATATCTACCAGGTTGCCTATCAAAATGTGGCCGCTAGTATTTTTAATAAAATTTTTGTTAATTGATTTTTGGGAAAACATTTCATTCACTTGTTTTTTAAATAAAATATCGTCCACTTCACGGCAAAATTGTATTTAGAAATAAATGAATATATGTTTATCAGCTTGTGGACGTTTGCCACGCTTCGGCAAACGTGTAATTAACATGAGAAAAGTGATGTGACATCTAACATCTCAACTATAACGTTTGGTTAATGGCTTTGTGGTAGAGTGTAACCACAATTTCGCCAATGTCATGTATTTGAAAGACAAACTGTCAAAGATCTAACATCTCATCTACCATCTGAAGCCAACTTTAGAATCGCAAACGCTCATTGGTCAAATCTGACGTCCAACTTTAGAATCGCAAACGCTCAGATGTCAAATCATAGAACGCGCGGTTCCCTGGGTACTTGGTACACAGTTTGCATCCCTTTTCACAAAACTACTCACACACAAAAATTACATCACACGAATTTCATGGTTTTTTTACCCCCACCTTGTCACAGCTGGTCGCGTTTGCGAGACCCCAGCCTCCCTTGTATGACGTTCCTTATTTTACAATTTTACATCTAGAAATTATTAAATTAAAATAGCAGTTCCAAAATTAGTTTTAATTTTAACATTAAATTAAAATTTACAAAAATAACCATTAAATTAAAAAAAGTAACCACTAAAAAAAGAACTAATCACTGTTAATAATTCAAAATTCGCGTTATATTACTTGGATATATTAGATTTTGAAATTGACGTCAGGAAACTTGGGACCCCTCCCACCCCTTGTCCCACTATGTTGATCCCCTTCCCCCCTTTAGGTGTGACGTAATTTATGGATGGTCCCAAAGAAAGTTGTCGCACATAAAAAATGCACGCATATATAGTAATGTGTAAATGTAGCAAGTAAGACCGGGATGGTGAGGGCTCCTTGGCCTTCGTTCAGCAGTGGACGACAGTAGGCTTATAATGATAGCAAGTAAACCGTGGGAGAACCATGCTTCCGCACATATGGGCCAGGCTCAACTGGGCTGATACCACGGCCTCACAGAAAACCGGTGTTGAACAATTCTTTCTTTACTTTTCACCGACTGAGTCTCCCTGATTTGGGAAGGGTTGCTCTTGTGACTTTCTCGTACGATCAGTTGATCCGTCTGCTCGTTTCGTACCCCTTTTTTTCCGTGCGGAAATCCCCTCGGATACCACCTATCGGTGGCATGTCGGACTCGAACCGACTAAAACCGCACGCCGTCTCGGGTACTAATAGCCGGGGAACCAGGTATACCCTAGAAAGGAAGTCCCTGGTGCCCCGACATACCTCGGGTCATCTACAGACGAGTAGACGACGCCCCCCCGTGTGGGAACCCCATGTTCCCTGTGCTCCCTGGAAGCGAGCGCGCTTCGCAACGCGCTCGCCGCCACCCCGGCCTGCTTCTGCTAGGGTGACAGATGGCCTCACCTGTCACCCCCAGGCCTGCGCTTATGGGCGCCTGAGTCGCCTGCGGTACCTGGCCCGTTCCCGGGCCTGGCGGGCCGGGAGAGTCCTGAACCTCTCCCGATTTCGTTTGGTACCCCTAAGAGAAAGAAACGCATTACCATTAATATGATTTAATCTCTTTTTAATAAAAATATTACGTTCACCTTCACCACCATACATGGCTCAGAATTGTCGTACTTCAAATACATAATTGAAAGTAATGCTTTTAAATAGATGATATTACATCAATTCTACTCAACATAATTATATCATTAGTAATTTAGTCTAAATGAGATTCGTGTTTTAAATCAACTTCAAGCAGCTTTTTTTTTATGTTTGTTATAAAGCTCCGTCATTCATGTTTTATATATTGGAGAGTCTAGGTACTTCATGTTTCACAAAATTTATACCTAGAAGAAATATCAACCCCAGGTTGGAAAATTAAGGAATAAAAAGTACAGTTTACTACAATTTAAAATATTGTAGTTGTCCGTGTGGTGACGGAATATAATACGGAGTGTCAAAACCCCTTTTTTTCTGTGCGGAACTCCCCTTGGATACCACCAGTGTGTGATTATGTCGAACACGAACCAACCAAAAACCGCACGCCGTCTCCAGGTAACAGTAGCCGCGGAACCAGGTTACCCTATAAAGGAAAGCCCTGGTACCCCGACGAATCTTGAGCCATTCACGGCTTATAGATTATCCTTCCTGTATGAAAACCTGGATGTTCCTTTCCTGCCCCCGAAGGGCGTGCGCGCTCCGTAGCGCGTCGCGCCACCACCCACCCTGAGTGCCACCACCCCTATTCATCCCGTGGGTGTCGTAAGAGCCGACTATGGCAGCAAACTACAAGGACAACATTACAGTACTGGAAAGAGAAGGAAAACTTGACACAAAAACTATACCAACCCCTCTGGTCAGGTGGTATAGAAGGTCAAGCAATGGATTACTAAATGGTTGTTGATGATGATGATGATGATAATGTTGTAGGCGCATTGAAATCAGTGATACTTTTTCAAAACTTTATTATATTTATAACTGTAGCTTTTCATGACTTAGGGACTATTTAAAATCATAAAAATAAAACTTTTTTTTACACACTTCATAACTAGACCTTAGATTATCTAATCTAATCTATTTAGCGGCATCTTTTTAACGGCAAACGAATCTAATACCGATAACAACACAAGACTTGCAGTCGCCACATTAAAAACTAGTAAGGTATTTAATTTATTTAAAACTATCGATCCGCTCCGGCTTCGCACGGGTGCAATGTAGATACTACTAATACTACTAATGTGGTGTTAGTGTGAAGTAATTAATTATCTATTGTTGTGATTGTACTATAGGACATCTTTATATGCAATATTTATAGGCCCGCTCCGATCTTGCCGGCCGCTGCCACCCGGGACGGACGTACGTTTTAAACCTCTAATATCTTATAAAATATTCATTTTAATGATATGCTGGTAAGGGCAATTTTAATCTACATTAAATGCACAACGTATCTGACGTGTTTAATTGGATGAGGAATAATAATGTATTCCTTAAAATAGCTTCGTAAATAACCCATTATTTTTTATAATATTTAAACTTTTTTTTACCTTGGTGGGTTATCCTTAAGAGATAGACATATACCATTGCGAACTTTTTTGTGGATCTTTTTAAGATAGTACATTATTTTGATATATCTCGTAAGGATTAGCCAGCGTTCGCAACGTAAGCGCGCAAAACCATGTATTTTAAGTCAAATCTTTGAAATTATTAGATTTTGTCTTCAATAACATGCATGTATTATACACACAAACCTTCCTCTTCAATCACTCTCTCTCTATTGGTGCTGCTGAACTGAGCATCGAATTTTAAACTGCATTAAGAGCCGATTCTCAGTTTAAAAGATCTAAGCATACGCTAAAGCGATTTTTTACACTATGTAAACATTGTGGCAAACTACTCGTATATAGACTTTATGTGTATGTATATATAGGGATGCCACTGTCTCAGAGAAAATCGGTGTTAAGTAATTCTTCCCAACGAGGGAGTGAAGTTAGCGGTTCCCCCCTCCCAAATTCTTAGACACTCAAAGGACAGTAAAACACTTATGACAGCAGTAGTTCGTTACAGTCAGATGACCCATCCGCTCATTTTACCCCATTTACCATTAAACATATCAATAAAACACGTGACATGACGATGGCACGTGATATATTATGGAGGGTAGAGGCAAGGAGTACCATCTAGATGTTTGAAAAGTGTCCGTCAAAATGCGTAAAATTTTGGGCGCTACAGAAACCCAAAGATATTTTTTTTAAAGTTGTTATGAGTAGGATAGAGA